CGCGCGCGTTACGCGCGCGCGCCGCGCGCATGTAACGCGCGCGCCTTATTTCGCGCGTAACGCGCGCGCGCGTAACGCGTTATAACGCGCGCGCGTAACGCGCGCGCGCGCGTAACCCGCGCGCGTAACGCGCGCGCGCGCGTTACAGTTTTTGCACCTTAGAAAGATGAAAAATTATAGCTTAATAATAGATTGAGCTTAAATAAGAAAGAACTCACATACGGACGATTAGATGACTGTAGTAAATTTATTGTCGTTCTGCAATATGACCATGACCGGCACTAATAGATGGTTATTTGTAACTATGAATGATGTAAGAAGCGTTGCAGAAGCAGTTGATGCCATTTTGTTTTGTGTACTAATCAGGAACTATAATTTTTGGAAATTCAAAGGATTCATATAAGATTGCTCTTGTTCTGGTGGTCACTACGTGGGTGGCCTCAATAAATATTTGTCCTTCGTCGATGAAATTATTCCTTAACAAGATTATAACAATAAAAGTACTACTAGAATGGAAATCAATCACAAGAAGAGCTGCACCGATACTAGTACTCAAGAATAAGACAATACGGTCACAAGACCATTGCTACCACAAGGAGTACAACTAAATGGTGAAGGACGTAAGAAATGCTTCTGATGGACACAAGATTCTTAGAACCGTATTTTTTGAGAGACAGTATTTTTTGATGTAGTTAGGTCAAGGACAAACAAGCAAAAAGAAAGTTGAAGACCAAGACACTATAGGAAGAAGCTTATCATCAAGAAAGTACTAAAAAGAGGCACTACTACAACAGGCCAACATCTATCTCCTTGTACAATTTTCACAATATCCTGTTGTAGTTGAAGATGAATTTTTGAAACGAAGAATTTTTGAAAGAATGTTGAAACAGAACAAATATTAATGTGAATTGCTATTGCTGGAACTGGATCAACAAATTGACTTACAAACATTTTTGAAAGAATACGAAGTACTTCCAATTTCATCCTCCGCAACGCGTCGACGTAAGTAAAGGTACTTCGGTGTTGTCCTACTTGATGTGTTATTTTTTCTGTACTAAGATATTAGATCATAACTTACTATTAAGATAAGGAAAAAACTAATTCATCTGAAAGAAGAACGAAGAACAACAATAGAAGTGTCGAAGAACATTGATGGCAGTTTTCAACAAATTCACAGATAATTTTTGCTTCAACAAAACCCCCAGAATACTGCAGCTCACAAACGCGGACCACTTCAATGCGACGGCTCAAATCCTCCAAGCAAAGGAGCAAGTGTTTGACTTTTCAACAATGCAGAAGTGATATCGTCATCAAACAAGGAAGCGCTCCTTCTTCGGGAAGTAGGAAGGCTTTTACCTCCTCCTATAGCAGAGTAGTTTATAGCACGCATGGTGCATGGAGTAGCATGGAGTGCATGGAGCGCAGAGCTTTAAGGGGCGCAAGAAGCTCCCCCCTTAGCTCCATGCTACTCCATGTGATCCATGCACTCCATGCCATGCGAGCTGTGAAACCTTATAAATTGCTCTGCGTATAGAAGTGGAACATTTCTCCGTCCTCTCTGTGAAGCAAGACAAAAGAAAATCCTATTGTTTCCAGTCTAAGCAAATATCTTAGTCTTTTTCAAAAAGATGCGTCGCTCCTCTTCGTTGTTCTTCACGACTGCCTCAATGGCTATGATGATGCTGTTTTTTGGTGCTGTATCGCCTACGACAGCACTAGCATCTTCTGTAGGAGTATCAACGGGAAGGGATCGAGTGCGCGTCACCAAAGAGCCAGACTGGAAGGCAGAGGTGGCCAATCTTCTTGGCGGGATCCTACAAAGATTGGAAAAGCGACGATCTCTTTTAGCAGTTATGAGGAATTTTTGGACTCAGTTGATATTGACGGGGTAATAGGTAGGAGCAATTCTACCTAGGCTCTAAAAGCAGTAGGTTTAGGTGAGAGCTATTGTTGGACAGAAGTGCTGATGTTGAAAAGTTGACGATCTCTTGCTCTTCTTCTACGGAGAGTGGTTATGTTATCAAGTAAAAGAAAAAAGAAATTTTTCGAAAACTCAAAATAACCGAGTTACTGACTGAAATATAAAGGGAAGTAGCTTAACATCAAGGCTGCTCTTCATTCTCATAAGTAAAAGTATCTCGGTTATTCTCATCAGTATCTCGGTTATTCTAGAAATTTTTCGAAGTACAACTTACTATGGATGCAAGGGCGTCGCTTGAATCGCACTCTCATGTACACCTCCTCCAAGTCCTCGGAACAAGATGTTCTCGGTGAAGCATTTCGTTCAGGCGGGCTGTCAGGCGCAGCCGTCTCCGAGTTGAAAAACCTGGTAGAAGATGCAGGATTATGAAAGAACATTTTATATTTGGATTGAAAACTTTCACTTTGAAATTGATAAAGTGATAAGTGAACAGGCCAACGCCTAAACCACTAAGCTAACTGCGCAGTTGCCTTAGTGGTTTAGGCGTTGGCCTGTTCGCTTATCATAAAGTACAAGCTAGCGTAGCGCCACCAGCTGTAGGCCGTAGTTGTGCTTTTGGCTCTTCAGTAGCCACTGAGGTCTGCTGTTGTTATGTTAGTGGGCCCACGGCTAACCTAACCTAACCTATTTTCATCTTTGATGGAGATGATTCGCTGAACTCAGTAAGCTTTAGGACTTTCAACATATTACTAAACTATAAGGCCATGAAGATCCTTCATGCAATCATCTTCTGATCATACATATTATGTTTACGGAATCGCAAAGAAAAATCAGACATCAGTGTCTTCCTTTCAGAGTCACAACTCCCATGTCATCGACGAGAACATTTTTAAGTGTAAGTATGTATACATTTTCTTCCTCCAAACAGTAACCTTTCCGACAGAGCTGACGGCTATCTTGGAGGCCGATACCTACCGGAAAGTACGAAAAAGGAAGTCGCTAAGATCTTGCAGGGAATCATTTCCAGGTTGTCGAAGTGAGGACCTCAAAACATGAGAGCTTCACAAATTGTGATATCCAGCAATGGACTTTACATGTGAGAGTAAGTGTATAGAAGACAAGTTGTGTTGTACGAGAGCTATGTCGCTCAGGTCAACATTCTAGAAAGATAAAGTAGTTAGTAAGAAAACGAACGTTCATCTTTCGTAGAAGTAGTTGTATAGCATATTTCTTTTTTTCCCCAAAGTCAATAGATGCAAAGAGCCATTTGTGTGGTCGTTTTGATACTCAAGAACCTGTCACAGTGAATGTAATAAAGCCTTCTTGAGAGTTTTTGCCGTTCTAGGTGTTCTTCCGGTTTTTTCGCTTCTAGGTGTTCTTTTAGTACTATTGTTTCTCGCACCAAGAAAATCCAAAAAGACGAGAAAGAGAGAGAGAGTGAAAAAACGCAAATATTATAGAAACGAGATGAAGGACGAGTTGACCACTACGAACCTGAACGGAAGTTAAAGTTGATGTTCAACTTCAAACAGACGGAGATTCAGAGATTCAAACCCAAAAATAGTTTTAGCAGTTAGCAGGCTATTTTAGGAATTAGGATACTTGTTGATAGTTACCCTTTTCTCTTTTTTATATCTTCCTCTGGTCTGTCTTTTTTCTAGTTAGGTCGGCTCCACCACAAGTATTAAGTAGACGCTGAAAATGTTGTGGAAAGCCTCATCTTCCCTTTAGTGGATTGTCCTACAGAAACAGAGGAGCTCACTTTCATTTTTTTTTTTTACCCTGAAAGACATTGTTTTAGCGATTGGAGAACCCCCCGATATTTGCGGTTTTTCTCCACCACACGACGAGTCCTCGACTACGACCACAAAGCCATGGCTGCAGTAGTAGAGGCCACAGTGCCTGGGTCCCCCTCGGGGACGGGGAGAGAAGTTTTTCTCTCAGAAATGCAGATAGATGAGATCGAAGCGTCAGATTCCCACGGCTCTTTCCGCCAACTCCGGAGAAAAGTGATGATGGTCTCATTGGGGAGTGCACTATGCATCGTCGTCAGTGGACTTGTCAAGTACGACTCTGTTGTATAAATTGGATAGTGTGCCTGATTGTGATCATTCTTTTTCCACCTCCGTCAGGAGTTACTTCTTACCTCATGATAAGATCTCTTTACTACTCGCAAAAAGTAGAGCGCAGAGGTACCATGACATGAAGCTATATCTAGCTACTAACCCCGTTCCCCCATTACACAACGACCAGTTACATCTGTCCTTATAAAGCCTCCACAACTACTTATCTTCATTTAGACTTCTTCGTCCTCTTTCCACACCTCCTACACGAGGAGCCTACTTCATAAATCTCGTTCCCATATCGATCCACCTCGTCAACGTAAGTCTTCGACCACATCACACCCATCAGTTACGTCTTCCAGATCGAAGGGCAATTGGAAGTCATGCGGATCGTAGAGCTTGCCAATGGGGGAAACGGCAGACATGACGCAGACAAAGTGACCCTGTTCGTTTTTGCTGGTCTACCTGCAGTTTTCTTGGGACTATTACTGTTATGGACTGAAAGAGGAAATATTTTGAATGTTTCGTAGATTCTATTTTGAATGTTATTTCGTCTTTTACGAGGTAATAAAGCCAGGACCTCGACCTGGTTTAGTTATCGTTTCAAGATTCAAACAGGATCAACAATTCAAACAAGACAATTCTATCTTGGCAACAAATAGTTCTTTTTCTAATCCCTGGCCTCGCCGTTCCCGCGTGCGGTTACTACGGTGCGAAGAGGGTGAACGAATGTTTCCTATGCATGTTTTGGTCTTGCTCCTGTCTAGGTGCGTTTTTCGGCTTCATCGGTTTGATTCTGTCAGTGTGGCTGATGCTTGGTGCGATTCCCGGTGTCAACCACTGGGTCGTCCACTGCGACGCAGCCTCAGTATGCTGCCATGCGAGCAGCCATAGGAATGGTACTAGGCTTGGTTGGAGCCATATTATGAATGGTACTAGTAGGCTTGGTTGGGAGCCATATTATGAATGGTACTACTAGTAGGCTTGGTTGGTAGTTGGGACTGTTTCTAATTCTTAATATTGTAGAACATTCTTATTCTAAGCACTAGTAGGATTGAACACTTGAAGATGTACTTCTATGTGGCTGCAGGTAGAGCTTGCAGCTGCAACCTGCCGTAAGTACAGTACTACCCATTCTTGTCGTCCCATGCACGAACAAACTATAATGCAAACCCCACCAGGTGAAGCAATCTGCGACAATAAAACTGGCCTGCCAAAACCTGGCTTCGAGCCTCAGTTCCGAGACTGCATCCTCGGTGCTCATGACGCCTATTCTAGGAAATTTGCTGGCGTTCCTCACCTCGACTCAGACAGGTGTGAACCGACTGTGCCATTGCTGCTGCATTGCGAAGGCGATGCATGGAGTTATGGGCTGCATCATCATGAGAACATAGATAGATGCTGAGGTTGTTTGCTTCTCACAAACCTCGAGAAAATCACACTGTAAATCCCCGTGGCTTCAGCTTCATCTCATCCGTTCCGACTCACGACCTACATGCAAGCCTCATTCTGTTTCTACCCATCCGGTCAGTTCTTCGACTCACGACCTACATGCTTGTTCAGCTTCATCAATCCGTTCAGTGTTTCGACTCACGACCTAGCACCACAATCCCGCTTCTAATCCCTTTTGGGTGAGCAAGAGGAGCAAGATAAGAGGGAGAAACTGATGTCCAGCAGGTTCGAGAAGTTTGAGCACGAGCACCCACATACCAAAGTACGATTCTTTGGCCCTGGTGAGGTCGGCGGTTCTTGGTATGATCCGCGTCGTGACGATCAAGCTCGCGGTGTGTCGAGAAGATTACACTTAAGGCAGTCAAGATATTCATACATATAAATATTTATTATTGTTTTTTGTTTCCGAGTTAGGTGTGCTCCACCGATATTATTGTTTTTCATCTTTTATTCTTTGAAAAACTGAAGTTGAAGTATCTGCGTTCACAATCCACGACCGCACCTGGTAACTAGAAGAACCATTGATCAACGAAACCGAAGAGACAGAGATTGAGAATACTATTCTTTCATACATCAGCTTACTTCACATAAGTACGTAGAATATAATTAAGACTTACATGATTCGGAATATAATTAAGACTTAATACATTAAATGTAGAATATTAAGACTTACATGATTCGGACATTGTAGGTCTACTGGCTCTAACAATCGAAGAACTTTCCCATTTGGCTGTCGCCTCTGTCCCCGACCAAGAGCTGCGGAGAATATTGCTCTCAGCAGACGAAGGAACTGGAACATCTCCAGTCCTGGCTCAAGGCAGCCCTTTTTCTCCTCAGCAAGTCGCCGATGCGATGCACTTGGGCCACAAGTTGAACCCCCACAACAAGCCAGTGTTTGGCCCGGATGGTATCTTCAAGAATCCAGGAGATGCTAAGAAACGTGCTGAAGAATTGAAGGACAACTTGGCCCATCACGCCGCAGACGGCGCCCACCATGGCTGGGAAGCGGCTCGCGACATCTTTCATCACCCCAAGGATGCGGGTCTTATGATTCCACCAAATTTTACTCTACTTGTTACTTCCGCAGTAAATTGTTGCAGCAGCAGCAGCAGCAGCAAGTGAGTGGTCTCGACCTCGATCTGCGTCCTCTGCATTTAGTAGCAAGAACTTATTTCTTGTTCTCATCTACTGTCTAGTTCGTCTTCGTTTTATTAGGCCTTCACGAACGGAGGACACTACGACTAGTACCATTGATTCAATCTTGCATGAGCTACAATTTCTACTTCTCTTTCAATCATCATCAACATGATCCCACCTTCACCGTCTAATCCCCACAAGATGCACGATCTGCATCATTCTTTGGACCACACTGCAAAAGCGCATGAGAAGCATGCACCTACCCCGTGGAAGCACTGGTTGGAGGATCAAATGGACCATCAGAAGCGCAAACATGCCAAGGATGCCAAAGGTGTGGAACATGTTTACGGAGTAGGAGAAAGTTTTGAATATGTTGTTGTTGAATGCGTTGAATTTTGAAAGTCTGAGTTTCGATTGGTTTAGATTTATGTGTGGAAGCTGTATCAAGCATGCCATATGTGGCACGGGTAACCACGTCGACGTTCGGCTCATCTAACCCATAGTGTTGAGAACCGATATTACCAGACAGGCTCGTCCACCCCCTCGGGCTCGACCCCTGTTGATCCTAAAAGCCTTTCAAAGCATTAGCATACGATACCCCCATTAAAAGCATACGTCGATACCCCCAACATTATTCTTTCTTCACTCCCCGTCCCATACCTCTAACCTCCCATCGAGGACAACAAGGTCGACCTTGGTGACGTTTTGAGTGGTATTGTGGATCGGGTGGATCCCGATCATAAGTTGCTGTCTAGTGCAGACCAATTGCAGCTGCCAGAGCAGTGGCGTCGTGTACGGATTCCAGAACAAATGCCGGATAAAGTCCCTCATTTGGGGGAAAAGTGGGACTGGGAAGAGGGGAAAGGTAAGTACTTCAGTAGGTTAATAGTACAACCTAGTATAATAGTACAATCTAGTAATAGTACAATCTAGTAAGTAATAGTACAATCTTCTAGTAATACTACATCAATCTAGCAATAGTACAATCTAGTAATAAGTACATAGTATTCGACGTATTGAAGTTCTTTCAGTTTGAGTTTCTAGTATTCGTATCGAAGTTCTTTCAGTTTCTTGAATTGAACAGAAAGTAGAAAGATGATCTTGATTTTACTTGCTCTCTCCGTGGTTGGTTTCCCTCTGATGTACTTGCATCTATCTCGACATGCTTCCTCCTCTTCAACACCACATCAACTCATAGTCCCTACAACGACTTATAATCCCCTAGCAAGAGCTCTAGCGCTTGTTCTACTACTTGCATAAACATATTGTTATTGAGAAAACTCCTTCCTTGGTTTTAGAGAACGCACTTTGAAATATCAATTCCAACAGATGCCGTCGCCCATTCTGCTGGCAACTTGTTTTCTGGAGATGAGGCACGGTCAAAAGCTGAGGCAGAGCGACTTTGGAAGGGTGGGCGCAAACAATGGGATGACGCAAGACGCCATGTTTTGAGGAAAGTTAAGTGTCATCGATGTATCATCTACTTGTTGTTGTTGTTGTTGTCGTTGTTGACTCTGACTTCAATATAATACCTAATACTAATCAAGAGTAAGTAAGAATGTGATTAATAGGGGGTCAAGTAGGTTTTTTGTTCGATATAATGGATGCTTTCAAGTATTAAGTATACAAGGACTACAACACATGCACCCACGAGGATTGAAATAACTACATTAACATTTGTTTCCACTCACAGTCACAAACCATATTGATTTATAATATACAACTCCTGAACACTCTTCTAACAATGACCGACATCACCATCACCCGCCTGAGCCGAGTTTTGAAACGTGTGTTGTGAACGAGAAGGCGCTCAGAATTATGCATGCGGTTCACGAAAACTTGGAAGACTTAGTCCCAAAAGCGGAGTTCTTGATCGGTAACTTCTACTACACTACCTGCATCGTCCTCATCAAAACGCAATGAAGTTCGTAATCAACATCTTTTGATGATCTCTAAGTTGCATCCTCATCCATCATGTAGTACTAACATGTCAATATCCTGTTTGTTTGTTTGTTTGTCTGTTTGTTTTGATGCGCTCCGGGCGACGTGATCCTCATCCATCATGTAGCACATGTCAATGTCATCCGTTTCCGTATGGTGATGAAGATGTCATTCTCACCTGCATGGACGGCGAATATTTGTTCTTCTTTTCTTAAAACCTCAACACCCTAAACCCTTTTCTTCGTCCAGCCGTCAAGCTCGTCCTCTCCATCCCGTTGATGATTTTGGCTTTCCTTGGGACGCGATGGGGATTCCGGATGTGGCGTGCGGCCAAGCGCGGATATCGTCCGACATTTCAGCAGACTGGCATGATGATTAAGGTTTCCCCTAATCCAAAACCATTTCTTCTATAGAAATCTTCTATACAAATTAATCCCTCAACAGTATGCACCCCAATAAAAGAGAGATACAACTGGCGCATATTCTTGAGGGATTTCCAGAGGGATGAGTTGGGGGGTGGTCTAAGATGATGCAGCAAGGCCCAATGACCGCGCCACTAGTGCAGAATGGACAAATGATCCCCATGCAGGGAGTCGCCGGCCATCAATGGATCAATACCGGCGGAGCCCCTGGGTTTCAGTTATGTGATGTAGTTCCTGTAGAAATTATAGAAATAATCGTGTGATTATTTGTGGAAAGAGAATAAGCAAGAGGATGTGATAGAAGAAAGGTCATATCGTGTGATTATTTGTGGAAAGAGAATAAGCAAGAGGATGTGATAGAAGAAAGATCATGAGTATCGGTGGAATAAATAGTATAATATACTATAGATTATATTGGGCTATAATCGTTGTCCATGAAAAAATAAAAGTAGTATCTTCTCTCTAACCTCTGCCGCACAAGACGGAACATCTGCTTACTCAGTGCAGTACCCAGCATTGACACAGGGCATGGCGCAGCAGGCTGCAGCCGCGGGTGACGCTGATGGAGTGTAGATGAAGAAGATGGAAGGGGTTTTTATACATAGGGATGATGTTGATGAATGATGACAAGAAAATAAGGTGGATGGAGGTGTTAGATGTATCATGATGAAAAAGGGTACTTGCACCGACGAAGACATCTACTACTACTAGGTGGACGGAGGAGGTGTATGAAAAAGGGTACAAGAACTAGGAGGTGGAAGACATCTGAATCTAATGGGTTGAGGTGAGACAGTACTTCTAACTACGAGAGGTGAAGGAAAGTACGGTAGTTATAGCGTTATAGAAGCAGAAAGGTCAATGTGGAGTTTAGGTGACCTTGCTGGTTCTTTGAGAAAATGATCTTCGACCAATTTGAGAATATACAATGTCGAATTAGAATTACTTCATCGCGCAGACAGAAACAGTAACGAAACAGGTCGTGAGATACTACCGTGTAGACAGCTAACAAAGTATGTTGTGAAAAAAGTCCAGAATGAAATAAATGAGTTGTATTGCTCTGGTGGGCTCAGAGGTAAGAATGAAACCATAACAAGCACAAGCATCCATGAAATATATCGATTTTGATTCGAAGGAGTACAGTCAACATCAGAAAAACTCCAAGTATAACAATTTTCGCTCTACAAATATGCATATAATGTTGAGAAGAATAGTATGACCAGCATGCGTAGTGTAAAATGCTGCACTATTGTGAACAGCAAAATCCTTGCTATTAGCAAAATGCTTGGGAACCGGGATATGACTAGCAAAATGATTGGGAACCTTGCTACTAGCAAAATGATTGTTGCTACTAGCAAGGTGATCGGGGATATAACAACATACAACGGCGTAGTCTTGAACTTTCTTTACTCATGATTTTCCAATGTATATGACCAATCTAATTTCAGTATCAAAAAATATTCCTCCAAAAATGCCATTGAATTCAGAAATGTATTAGTAAATCCAAAAAAGACAATTAAAAGTGCATGAACAATAGGCTGCTCCATTTAAACATTGCAGAAAAAAATATTTCTACAAAAGGTGAATTACAAGACCCAACAAAACTTTCGAGTGTGCTGCGAGGGTGAGGCTATCACTAGAGGTAGTGAGCAGTCCATTTGTATCTATAGTGAATTCTGCTTGTGGAACGTGCATTTTTCAAAAATAAGGAAATCTATGCGTATGCTTTCTTCATCAAAGAGTAAGCAACGATCGGGAAGAGGGCCAGAGTGATTACAAGTGAGGAGTGAAAGAGTGACACTACTCCGAGGACCAAAATGACTGCGCATCAGATATCATACTCTTAAATTGAACCTACTCTCAAATCATTTCCTCTCAAACCCATTTCTCCATAGCGAAAAGGGCAAGTCCAACGACTTGCAACAAGATAAAGAAATTACTAAACAAGCAAGTTATGTAATGTGGTGAATAACCTCAAGATCGGCGAGTGGGCTCATTCGGTACTAGCTAAACGAATTAGAACTGACAAATTGCAAGAGAGTCGTGACTCACGACTATTCATTTGAGACATTCAATCCTATTCTATCCTATTAATCTACCTATCTTATTTATTAATCTACCTATTAACAATCTATTGTAATTTGTAAATAAAGTAACACTGCTCACAAACAATCCGATTTTCGAAAAGATGTCATCCGATTGGATCTGTGCGGTGTGTCTGGAGATCAACGTCAAAGACGATGGCATGTGCAGATGGGGCTGCGGAACGGTCAATCCGACCCTAACCGCAACGAACCCCTTAGCCGCTTTGTTAGGCGGAAGCGGTGCGGGGAATGGACTGTCTTTACGGTCGTGCTGAGTTGAAGATGCTTGGTAGCGATTCTCATTTTTGACAGGATCGAGCTTGCGGACAGCAATTCCTAGAAGCGACCCACTGTGACTAGAAGCTGTCTCTTTTTTCATCAACAGTGTAGTTTAGATTTTGAAACTACCGCCAGTTTCTCATGATGCGATCGAGTTTTCACCTCTCTAATGCCCAGCCTTGGTCTCGGTGAAGGCACAGCAGGCAGTTCATCCTCCACGGCCAATGCGCTAGCAAGTCTCCTCGCAGGCGTGGCAGGCTCCGGGACAGCGACAACTTCCTCTGCTACGGCGCTGCCTACTGCGTTGCCTTGTTTGCTTTCTTCTAGTATTAAGAACGGGTGGTTTATTGCTATCTAGAGCCATTGCCTTGTTTGCTGTCTTCTAGTATTTTTATGAGTGGTCGTTTAGTGTATGAGTTGCGGCGTACAAGATTTGCATTTCTGTTGGTCATGTATGGTCCAAGCCTCTCGGATGTCGTGGCGTTTTGTTCTCAGTGGCTCACACAAAGCCTCGCGCTCGACTGTCATCGGGATGATCTCGCAAGACATGAATGTCAATGATCACGAACGCTACTTCCAACGCGCACTCAATGCACATTCAATGCATAAACATAATGATCAAGGTGTAGACTAGGCACGGCTGTGCTGATCCTAGTCGTATGATGCATGTTCAGTCCGATCCCTTCTGACATGCTTATGCTGCTGATGTATGATTCATCTCACCCAATGAACCAAACAGGGACTACACCAGCCAGAGATCGCAAGTCTCAGGCAGGAGTATCAAGATTTGCTTGCATTCAAGATCCTGCCTTTGTGTTTCCACTGAGAAACGAACCAAGGCACGGAGGCCTGCGTTCTTGTGGTCCAACAATTTCTGAGCTACTTAACTTTTCATAGAGTTTTTATACTTAGAGATAGAGTTTTTAGTACTTAGACCACGAAAAAGAAAATGAGGATCTTTCTCTAATGTGACTACTTCTACCTCAGGAACTGGAGCCCCTTGCACCACGACAACGAATAGTGCTGTCCTACATCAGCTTTTGGGAACAGCTCCACTCCCACCCCCGCCAAATGCTGCTACATTATGACAGAATGAGATCTACAAATATAGCGTTTTAGATCTACTAATAAAGTGTTTTAGTTGGGGTTTGGGATCTACTAATAAAGTTCGTTCGTACTAGTGCTCGTCGTCGTCGTTCTACGATGAGAAGCAAAAGTTTCATGACCACTCACTTTACCTCGTTGTAGTACTAAGTCCTGCATTGTTCCAAAAGCTTCCACCTATTGGATTAAGTAGAACGACAAGAACTACTCTGTCCTCTAACAAAAGCAGCAGTCTCAGCCACGCTAGACCAGCTTCTGTTGGAAAGCGCCGATCTAGTACCTGGAACAATGGACCAAATTGTGGCGGAATTAACTGGCACACCACTGACGAGTGCATCTGGAGGAGCGGGGTAAGTACTATTGATTATAGTTGTGGGTAGTTGTTTGCCAGGAGGAGCGGGGTAATATTCATATTGATTCTAGTTGTGGGTACTTAGTTTGCTAATATTGCTTTATGAAGAATCTTGATATAGGTGTTCGCTATTGCTTTATGAATCTTGAAATGAAAAAAAAATGGTGCGCAGTAGTACTAATAAACCAAAACCTTTCAGGAGTTGTCGTGAACTTTTATTTTCAATAACGAACAGGAATGCGCAGGTACTTACTTCTTCTACACCTTTAGCTTTGATCATTAGAGCAGATGTACGTTCTTTTGCACTGTTCTCTCTGCTTCAAAGCATATTTTCAACAGCAAATTTTACCTACAACTACACCAGAACCGAAGCTCCAGCATTGTCACGTGCGGAAGCCGATGAAATCCTAGACTCGATTTTCGGTCCAACCGGAACCGACCCAAAAGATGATCCACCACTACCTGCCAGGCCCTTTCCGACGAAGGTACTATTCATTGTTATAAGTAATTCATTGCGCAATTTTTATGGATGTCAACCATTATACTGAATACGCATACTTCACAGAAGGCACAGGCACAACATTTGCATCTCCAACAGCATGATGATGACATGAAACCGCGAACAAGCATATGTTGCACAATTGTCTTCAACAGCACAAACGAACCGGAATCAACCTGACCTCACCACATGCCTTGTCCCATAATCTCATCACACCTCCAGATGCCTTGCCCCTTTGGTAGTAAGGGCTTACCACCTCCAGTTTACGTGCCGCCACGTTCTAGAGCCTTTCCAGGAGACTGGATTTGTGGCTTGTGTGGCGACTTGCAGTTTGCAAGGAACTGGAAATGCAGAGTGTGCGGTGGCCCAAGACCTCGAGATGGTGGCTCGTGGTCGATTAGGGCTTGATGTTTTGTTGTGGTGCGAATGACGCTCCGTGTTGTAACGAAGTGATGCGCCATGAGTCCTACTTTGGGTCCTCTGAACCGACGCTAGAACTACTTACATTTTTCTGTGATGACTCTGCATTATCAACGATCTTGTTAAGTACTCGCTTGCGAATAAATTTATGGTACTCAAAATCATACTTCAAATCCTCTTCTAATTCCAGTGGCAGCAATAGATGTGGCGATTACTACCATCATCACCATCATCACGAGCACTACGGCAGATCTTGGGGAAGTGGTGGTAGACGGTCTTCTGGCGGTAATGGGTGCTCATCCTCAGAAGGTCTCTTTTCTCAACGCTGTCTAGAACGCACACAGAGCAGAAGCAAAAGAGACGATGGGCCTTACTCAAGACGTGGCATTTTTGAGCGGAGAACGTCGAATTATTATGGTGAAATTTATTAAATATAAGTATGTAGAGAAGAAGAACAAGAAGTTGCAAGTGGACTTGGAGAGTCTGATCGGGTAACTTTTTAGACCAATACTAGTACATCACGATCAGGAAGAAATACTAGACTAGAAGTGGCTGGGCGAACTTTTTGTAGACGCCGACGAGAAGTCCGAGAATATTATTCTAAGGTCCTATGGAATTATCCGATGACGAAGAAGATAGCGCACGTGGGTCGAGGTCTGCGAATGGAAAGCTGAAGTCACGCAGTCGGGAAGACGAGGATGATGAATTTATGAAGACAATTTGTAAGCAAGCAGAGGTCATCAAGAAGATCTTACACTCACATCTATTTTCAGTTGTACTACGAGTTGTACTCCTAAGAACTACTTAGGAGAAGCAGTACAGCTGGCTCCACCTCCAGCATCTTCTAAAGCCTTCAGACGGGACTACAAACTTGACTTCTCGCCCAAGAGCACCTTGCTGCTTCCCGACGAGTCTTATGAGCAATTGAGGAAGGACGCCAAGCTCCGTTTAGAAGTGAACTTTCCAGATATAAATCCTCGTACATCAACTACGACAGACGGAATTATTACTACTTCCACCTCTACTACTGCAATGCCAATGCCAGCCTCTAGGGACGTGGTGATGTCTGGGGAACATGAAGGATCATGTCTGAACCTGGGAATTCATCCTGCGGGAATCCTACTAGACAGCGCCTTGACGACAAATAAAACCATTAGTGATATCATTAAGGCCTACCGTAGCCGTACCTACTCTTCTATCTACTACCGTAGATGTGAGGAGCATCTTTGAATGCGCAGAATGCTTAAACATGAGTTTAATTAGAAGTCCCCGAGCTCGACTTCTATGTACTCATTTTTGAAGGAGAAAACAGCGTGTCAAAGATGAGCTTCAAGATGTTGACCAACTTGGGTCCTCAGCTCTAACAGGAGCGCCGCTGCTGTGCCGAAAGCGATTCCAGCAATCATAGATTCTACGTGTGCCAGTGAGTGTGGTGCTGCGACGACATCTGCTTCCTCTCCTGAGTTGCTCAGTAGTGCAAGGAGCAGTCCCACAGCGACCTCGTCTTTGTGTCCATTGCCGTCATTAAGGCTTCTTCATGTCCATTACCGCTGGAGCATGTCCTCAAAGAACAACACCATGCAAATCCAAATGATAGATGTAGATCCTTTAACGGTCGTGGTTCTTCTTTATTTTCTACTTGAAATGCACCCATCAACAAGGATCATCTCAAGGAAGTAGATGCAACTGTCTAATAGCTCTAACGTCCCCGAGAGTCAACAAAATCCCACCACCGACAAGGAGTGCCAGTAAAATGCCCAGTCCAGCAACGTCTGCGTGTAGCTCTACCTCTGTAGGAGGCACGAGAACATCGTCAACGGCGACAACCATCTATGCAGGAGCACAGAGCAGCATCACTGGTGGTACTCCAGTATTTCCACCTCACACCTCCACTATAGTTCAACAACATCCACATCTACTTAGAGGTCATCAGGGTGCGACAACATCTGGTGGTACTATCTACTACAACGGAGGTGGTTCTTACGGGACGTATCCGTCAAGACGGGGCCACCATCGGCATCTCACTGGGCCTGAGAGGAGAGAGCTAGCTGCCAGTCGCATCCGCCATCACGTTCATAAACCGAAGCCCCTAGACTACAATCAATTCAATCCGGCTAAGACATCTACTTCCACTTCAACTACTCCCAACGAAATGGAGAACGACAATGAGAATGCAAGACCGTCGAATGAAGGAGCCACTACACCAAAGAAGAAGGATGATGTTGGAGGTTCAACATCTGCATCTTCTGACACCAAGACTAGTACAAGTATGGCAGAGCTGCAGGTGGATCTAGATACGGAAAACAAAGTAGTAGAACCACCTGGTGCAGCAGATGGACAAAGTCGCGACACGAACAGGATGAGCGCAGGAGGAGCAGAACAACGGGTGTCTGCCTCATCTTCAGTAATGAATGCGAGTGGAGATACTCCAGAAGTGCCTGCAGCAAAGGGCGCTAGAAGCGAGACGACGGAAGCTGCGGTGTCATCTTCAGGAGAGGGAGCGATGGAAACGGATGTCAATCTTGTACCGCAAGCACCACTAGGAGTTCAACGTGAAAACACAGGAGCGACTAATGCCTTATCGTCCTCGTTAGATGCCATATTAACTGTTCATCAACGTCAACTTCAGCAGGACCAAGAGCAGCAAGAGTTAGTCAGCGGACAGCAGCAGCAGGAGGCTGTGGATCGTCAGCGAGAGGTGGCGCAGCGTGTTGAAAATCTTCAAGCGGCTTTTACCCCGACAGAAGATGCGCTTCCTCTTAACGCGATTAGCGCTAGCAGTGTAGTTGTACCAGGCACAGAAGCTAATCCTATTCCTTTTAATGCTACAGCTGCTTGCTTGAACCAAAACCAGATTCCAACTTCTTCATCGTTACATGAAGCATCGGCTACTTCGAATACGTCGCCTAGTACCGCAGCATCAGATCCGTCGACAACGGAAGAAGTGAGAAAACAGTTATCGAGCTGTGAAACTCCCATCGCTGATGCAGCAGAAGTTGGAGATGCAACACTCGGGAAGGTACTTATTTTGTCTCTCATCACAGGTGAAGGTCCTCTTTTGCATGCCTACTACAAACCACGTACTATTTTTTACGTAATATGCAACGAACTTCGGCAGTGGAATCATTCATGTTAAACTAACTATGCTTCACGACTTTCCGTTCCATTATCGGCTTTTCAGGTTGTAACATCGCGGGCCGTTCGCGTCCGTCCAGCACCGTACTGAGTCTTTCGGCGACATGAATTTCACTTTCGTATACAAGCAAGGCTTAAGCATCCAGTTCCTCACATAGGAAGGTGGACAGCTCACATCTAGTGATGAAGATTTGATTTTCTTTTTTCAATTTCGAAGACTCACTCAATAAAAAGATTCAGATTTCTTACAAAGATCAATTTCATTTTTTCGCATTTTCAGCATTCAACAATACCTAAAGATTATGGTAGGTGCACAGAGTACAATCGGTAAATTTAGACTTTGCGCGGCTCGAACGAGATAGTACTAGGACTCCGATAGTAATACTTAAAGCATAAACTACGTAAAAAGTGTTAAAGAGATGAATAGAAAAGTGACGGATTCTAACATGGATGAAACGTACCTGACCTGAGATAAAAAACGACCTGGGTATCATTTACAATACGAAGAGTTACAACATATTCAATTTTGCTCAATTACTCGTCAAATTCGTTTTTTGAAGTCTGTTATGGTGATTACTGCCCTTAGGAAACAACAACAAGAATCAAGAATCTTCCATTTTTCAAAAATCATCATGAATAAGCCGCTAGAAAACTGGTCAGCCCGTTTCGTTTTTCAAGATTAATCTCTATGATTGCTAGCATCAGAAAATCTAAATTTCTTCTCATCTTCAGGCTGTGTCCTGAACCTGATCAACAACAACAAAAATATTGATATTCTTCGCATCTCGTTCGTCGTTAGAGAATCATTATCCAACTGGAGGGTTCTCACTTCAATATCATAGAATAAAATCAAAATGGTAAGAGTGGAGGAAGGATGCACTTTTTTTGTTTCGATTTATTCCGTACTAAAAGTTTTGTTCCATTCTGAATCTTCAATTTTTCGTATGCTGCGTACGTTCAGACAGTCATCATTAAATATTGAAAAACGCTTCACCCTTATCCAAGCGTCGCTACATTTTTCGTCCAGAACTTGGGCGGTATCAACGTCTCTTCTTTCGTGAACTAGAAATCTGGTAGTAGGACAGAAAATGTATAGCTTTTGATGAAGTTTCTTCTACATGAAATGCCCCTGAAAAATGGACTGCCAAATGCTTTAAATATTTTTTTATCAGAAATCCGCTCTCGCTTTCAAATATATCTCCACCTCGCTTTCGCTTTCATCTTTCAAGCTTCCACCTCCAGGTTGCCATTGGAGCCTGTTGCCCTTATCTACGACGTATTTGCAAGGTATCATGTGAGCGAGGTGGAAAGCATGCCTGAATGAGGAAATGAAGATGAAAACGAGAAGTGCAAAAAGAGGCCAAATTATGAGTACGAGGCACCGGAAGGCGGCTCAGATGAGTTTAAGATGATGTCCTGAAGAGAGATTAGTCGTGCCAAGCGAGTGATGAGATAAAATTATGTTGAAGAAGCAAATCGAAATATAATAATAGGCAGTAGGATCAAGCAAACCAACGCGAATGACATGGCAACCAGCGAAAGAATAAGCGGAGACCTGTGCCGGGAATGGCATCTAGCGTGAGAACGACGGCTGTCAGGAGACGTCGTGAGGCTGCAGCATATGAGAAACGAAAAAGCTCTTGTATCCTCTCACCACTGAGGACGAGGGCTGCAGCGTCGCGAGTTCGCTAAAACAATTCACGAATAGGAGAGGCCGCGAACAACGTGCAGCCTAGTAGGCTCACGGAGGCAGAGGAGGCTCACGGCTGGTCAGGTCAGCCCATGCTATCGGCAGCTTGTATGAGAACGATTTTCGCTTTTGTTCCAGTATCCGGGTCCGCAGACTTCAGTGCAATTCACCGCGATTCCATCAGCGAGTCGTGTACACGTATCTACCTCCATCACTGAGTCTACAGCTCGTCTTCCCGCCACCTCCTCTCGTACAAGTTATAACCTATTAGGAAAAGACGAGTATAAAAACTACAGCAACAAGTGCCCTCCAAACAAGAACCAACTGGAGCAGCACCTCTAACGCAAGAAGCAGCTATATCATTACAGGCCTTCACGCTCATCCACAACAACAACAACAACAACCTACGCTTCTTGTCCAAATCTAGTATTTTGCACAAGCTTCACAACCAAGAACCACATCAAAGATGAAGCCGACCAACATCGACGCTCAGAGAATCCTGGCGATTCTGCAGGAGCTGAAAGAGCGATTGACTTACATGTCAGTCGTGACAGGTCAAGTGCTAGAATCTCTACAGTTAAGGTTCTCGATAATTCATCTCGATGTCCCCAACTGTAAGTACTATGTATTCCTCTCCGTACTAGTTTCCTTCTTGGAAGATTCTTAAAGTATACCTGCAGAAACAACTAACCCACAACTACACCCAAGAACTTAGTAGGTACAACTACCTGAAACAGGCTGCAGATGCTTCGGGGACATGATGGAAGTCCTCTTACAAACTTACTCCATAGAAATACTGACTTTGAAAAGTACTAGGTAAGCCTCATTATTATCTTCGAGAGCTCTAATACAGAGCGACGAAGGAAGTAATGTACGCGAACTTCTAGGGCCTGAGACCTTCAAGCTTTTCGTGGATCAAATTCTCCTGGAAGAACAATACGTCCTATCACACACGCCAGAGAGCACACTGGAAGCGGAGAATGCGGGAGGGGAGTTGGAGGTACTACAAAAGGTATGATGATTCCTTGTTTGTTTTTATTACCTGTGTTAATTGCACACTAGTTGGAAGTGAAGCAACGAAGTAGTGCTAGAACTACAGGACGAGGATGTTGAACAATGATTTTTAGGGTTTCGTCTTCCGCGCGATTCTCGTTACATCTTCAAAGCTCAAAAACTATCCTCAGGCCCAAAACCGCGAGCTACTCGAAAACTTGTCGAAAAATACTGTGGATTTGTGCAGAAAGCTGAAAATGACGAATGTCATAACCGAGCTTCGATCGTTCCAAGAGACGAGACCACAACAGGTTAGCTTTTGTAGCTTCAATGATGCAAGGTTAGCAATGATGCAATAGGAAAAGTTGGAAAACCCTCTAAGCATAAGAAAGTTGAAAATAAAGTCTCTAAGCATAAGAAAGTTGGAAATAAAGTCCCCAAGCATAAGTAGTTAGTTTTTGTACTTCTGTACCGTGGTGATGAAAGTAGGGGTAGAACAACTTCACGCATCAAGAAAGAAGTAGCACTTCTGATCTTCATCTATGCTTCTTTGTAAGTTCTCTTCAGTCCTCCAGTTAACGAGGGCACATGACATGACATCTCAACCACTCCGTACTAGGTGCTCCAACTAATCCGCACCCTCGCGGATCTAGAGGAGTTGACATTAAAGCGTCTCTCAACAACAGTGGAGGAGGAGAGGTCCAGACAAGAGCTCATTGAACACTACAGGAGTAGAGAAGAAGCAGCGACGAAAAAGAGTAAATAGTTCTGCTTCTGCTTTGTACTCCTTTTAATCTTCGGAAGTTCTTATGCTGCTCCACTTGTAAAGTGGTCCTGTCTATCCTCGTTGAATATCTCGAGTAAAGCTAAAAAAGGCTAGAATATCTCCTTCTATATTATTTTTTTAAGCGAATCCGAACCATTCAATTTCTATAAATTATTTAAGCGAATCCGATGAACCATCCAAGAATTTCAAAGAACCTGGTAAAAAATATCATCACCAACTCCAGAAATCCAGCTTGAAAAGGACCTTGCGTCTGTCCGACGGGAGCGCGAGAAAGCACAGGCTAGTCGCACAGAGGTGCTTACGAAATTGAAGGCGGATCTTTTGGACGTAAAAGACTCAGCAGACCATAGAAGTCGAGCTTTGAAAGACAAGTATCTTTCTTTTGTATGTTGGTATGTCACTTTTCCTTTGCTTCTTTGTATGTCACTTTTCTATTATGCGGCCTCGTATGACAGGTAGATAGAACTAGAAGAAAGTATAAGAGCATCAGTCGATTGTCCTCATCTACTTTTCACTGAAATTATGATTTCACCTTCCACATCCAATGTGGATCCTTGATTCCAAAAATAACAGGAAGAACCAAAATCATTTTCAAACACCATCCACTCTGATCAGATACGAAGGACGTATGCGAGAGTTGCAGGAGAAATATCAGAGGAAAGAAGAGCAATACTCAAAGGAAGTACAGACACTTCGGGACCAAGTTAGGTCGCTAACTAGTGCCTCACAGGAAGACGAAGTCGGGTTGAGGAGGAAAAAGAAACGGTACTTATGTTCTTGGACTAGTACCCGTCTTTGCATGTTACTATTTGTTATACATAGTCAACAGGTATACATAGTCAACAGGTGGATACTATTGCTTGTGCAGCTTTAGGGAACTTTCATACTAGAATTCATGTTGAATTCGAAAAGTTGCAAATCGCACTGTAAAAATCTCGGAAACGTCTCAGATTCGAAACCGATATCGAAGAATTGGTTACGAATTACGATAGCGTAATGCGAGCAGCGCATGAGGAGTATGAGACTAGTCTAGTGGAATTGCGAAAAGAACAGAAGGAACTTGGCGTACTGTTTTTTAGTTGAAATTGCTGTTGATCTTGATCCATCCTATGTGGTGCCGTAGTTCAGACTCTGTTTGGTTCTGTTTGATCAAGACCTCTAGCTGTTGCAAAATCTCTTGTACGCTTGTCACGTACCATCATCCTCGGAGGCGAGCATGTGCCTGTGGGGCTCGTTGTGAACGATCCACAACCTAATATGTAACCACTATGACTAGACGACAAGAATAGAGTTTGTAAAAATCCCACAGGAACTCGAAGAGCACTTCGCCAAGTTGGACGAAGAGGAACGTCGAGTCAGGATGGAGACGGAGATGGAGGCACTCAGGGACAAACTGGTCGAAGAGGAGAAGGAGAGGGAGGCGGAGGCGGCGGCCACCCTCCAGGCCTTCTGGAAGGGTATGACCGGCCGTTTGGACTACCAGATCATGAAAAAACAGAAGAAGGGGAAGAAAGGAAAAAAGGGGAAGAAGTAGACGCCTGTCTGGTCGTGGATGTGGTGGGGCGGGTGGTGAAGTATCTATTTTTGTTTGGTTGTCGCTCGTTGTCGGTTTGAATGGTTGGTTATTTTATCTGTAATCTTCACCATCTGGCCGACAAAAACACAATTATCCTTCATCTTCACAGAAATATTCAAAGATGGATTGATGGCGTGTCGCTTATCTTTCTAGTGGTTTCGTTTACAAATTTCGTTTACAGTCATTTTGAAGAGCTTACACTATCTAACTATTGTAATAACCATCAAGGACAAGGTGCTAGTCTAGGCACTAGTTAGAGGATCTGTTTTTGGGTAAAAAGGACGGAAGAGAACTGATACTGATTCATTTTTGTATCTTCTACGTAGCATTAAGCCGGCATATGAACAAGATTGGATGAAGATGATGAGATTCCTGGTTTTTTTATCATGCAATGAATGTAAGATCAACCGAAGATTAAACAAGTAAAATATATACAAGACAGTGCAAAAATTTAGGCCTATCACCACGTGATTGATTGCGTCTACAATTTTTGTTCTAGTAGCATGCAATCACGAAAACCAGGTAGACCCACCGATTATGGTTGCAAAATGCTTGTTCTGACCCGATGTAAATGACCGTCGGGATAACTTTGGGCGTGATTGACAATGACGATAGCACATGACAATTGACAATGAATCCCACAGACCCATAGTAGAACTGTAGAAATACTAAAACTGACAGTACTTATTGTCGACCAGGGTGACAGAGAACTACAACAACAGTCACAACCATGTCCCAAGCCGAGCCGCAAGAATCTGGTAATGCCAGCCTTCCGCCGGTTCTGCTGGGAGACACCCTTGCGAGCTCGACTTTCAGTGAACATATCACGAAGACGTACGCTTGGGACTCGGAGGAATCGGGGATGGAGCAAGGACAAGAACATCTTATGTTCGAATGTCGAAGTTGCAGTAGACTGGTTCTATCAATACTTTTGAATTGTGATTTTTTACTTCTTTTTCGTTAGGTGTAATTTTTGATTTTTACTTCTTTTTCGTCAGGTGTAGTCTCTTCACGATAACTAAATCTTCTTTTTCGTTAGGTGTAGTCTCTTCACGAAAATTTATCGTTCCTTACCTCCTCTAAAAAGCATCAAGACAACGTTCCTCCTGGTGGAGGGATGACAAAAGTCGTAGTACACCCTTCAGAGGCTGAAGCAGCTGTCAGAGGCGCAGCAGGCGTCTCACCAGCAAAGACGAGTCGGCTTCCCAGTATCATTTTCGGGACTTTTGGCCGAGCGACGAAACTCCGACAGTCGCTGTTGTATGGTGGGTATAATTATGACATGGAGATGAGCATAGAAGAGGGAATGAGGGTCATTCATCTTCATAACCGGCTTCTACAACGTCCAGTTTTTCTCATCCATCAGGTTCTTTGGGATGCACTTCTAATCCCGAAGAGCTGCCGCGTTCGGCGCACTCACCCCTCCTTTACCTTTGGTCGCCACCTCGAGCTTGGGGGTGGGACGCCATGGGCTGAAACATCTACTGGGTAGCTAGTTTTGAAGTAATTACATTTTAACTAAATCACGCCTTTCTTCGTCCTTCTGCCTTGCTCTTGACCCGTGCTGTGAGAGATGAGTGCGAGTGGGTTTGCTACGGCCATCTCCGAGTCCACTCTAATCCCGAAGAGCTGCCGCTTTCGGCGCAAGTAAACGTGCCACTATGCGGAACGTGCTTTCCCGTATGGCTGATTGGGCATGTAGCTACGAAACGGAGGCGGAACTTTTACAACGAGAAGCCTGGCTCGAGACCAAAGCTCGGAGATGGTATGAAGTTTTAGGAAGGTCCTGATTCAGTGTGTGAAGATGAGTCTAATTCGTAATGAGCACAAAAGAAAGGAGCATCAACGACGACATTTGTCCCAGGAACCACAAAACAAGGAAGTCAAAGTACTTATATCACAGAGTAGTTTCTAGCACGCGTGGTGCATGGAGTAGCATGGAGTGCATGGAGCGCAGAGCTTTAAGGGGCGCAAGAAGCTCCCCCTTTAGCTCCATGCTACTCCATGTGATCCATGCACTCCATGCCGTGCGAGCTGTGCAACCTTATAAATTGCTCTGTTCTATTATAGCGTCACCGGATATTATATATAGCATTTGAATAAAGAACCTCATCTCGTCCTACTCGTCTTCTAATCCCCGACGCTACTGGTGGAGACGTCTCCAACGGTCTACTGAAGCTAAGTGGGTACGGGTGCGACTACGCCAGTAGTTCTAGTGGGCAAGCGTCAGACAGTGAGGCAGACGAGTCCCCGGGCGAAGACTCTCCACACAGACATGGCTATGATGTTGTGATTTTGGACATTTAGTAGGATGAATTTCTGTGGTTTTTCACGTACCCACTGGGCGTACAATATCCATGAAGCAAGATGTAGAAGGAAGTAGTTGCTGGTTCTCTCTTCTTAACCCCTGGAGTGGGTACATTCATTCATTCATTCATCATGTGGATCATATGCTGGTCCTTAGAAGGTAAAACTCCTGATCCCCGCTTCATCCTTCGGCATCAGACTCTGTCCGCCGTTCTTCCAAGGGCTCGCGAAAAAGTCGGAAAAGCCAACGCCTAGGAGTCTCTCAGGTTTGCCAATCTTTTCTCTCACCGCGAGTCTTGTTAGCGAATCTACGTGGTTTTCTGGCTCGCCTCAATCCGTTGGAAGGAGAGAAGAACGACACCTATTCCCGTAGTTCGGTCTTTTTCAGAGGCTACGTGGGTGCCAATGGAAAGAACATTAAGGGTTCGTCCCACATTGCATTCATCTGGACTTGCATGATCCTTGATGTTTTCTAAGAAGAAAACACGACTACAGGAATGTTCTGAAGACCTCCAAGAACAGTCTAGCTTCAGCGGACAAGTGGCTCTCTGATCCGTCTTTGAGCGCAGAAGAACGGGAGGAACAAGCGGAAATCACCGCAAAGATGCAACGAGAAGCGAGAGAGCGACAGCAGGCTAAGACACGCGAAGCAAGGGAAAAAGAGAAGCTGATATCATCTTTGAGAGGTGAAATTTTTGATCCGAGTATCACCTACTCGATTTATGACGTTTTTGAACCGGTCTTGTTTGGAAATGGCAAGACGAGGAAGGGGAAGAATGGGGGTGCTCCTGAGACCGAGGGCGGGGGGCAGGTAGTCTTTTTGCTCTCCCCTAATGAAAGATGCACCTAGTACGAGGAGACCAAATCCAAATTCATCCTCAATTTTTTTTACGAAAATAGCATTAGCAAGCATCTTGATCTTCGTCATTCAAAAGGAGACACCCCTGCCTACCTACCTCCCTACCTACCTATTTACGAACCTACGCACAACAATCAGGACGGCGAAAACGACGACGATGAAGCATCGTCCAGCGAATGGGTTAATCGTGCTCTCTCCCGACTAAGTATGTTCGCTCAGCATACCCTTTCTATCTTTGCTGCTTGGAGTTTCATCCTTGGCACAGGTTTTTGGACCTGGAACGAGTATCTGCCTTTACATGATAACATGCGATGGATGTTACTGGAGATAGATTTGATGTTTGACCTGTTCTACGCCCTTCTGGGTCCTATACTGTGTCTACGAACTACGATTTTGAATGTGTTGCGTGGGATTGAAGTGATGTTACGGCCAACAACATAATTTTAATTAGTGGTTGTGTCCATCTTTCTTAGCATGAAAACATCTCGATAGATAGTACCCTTTATTTCCCTTCGTCCATTCTATGGCTAAGGGGTCGAGATGAGACAGCCGAGATGAATAAAAGCTGACTCTAATGATGGGGCCGGCGAGTTACATCGTGAAAATCCAGATCAGCGATCCCACGTGGTGGGTGGACGTACTTATAAATATATACTTATAAATTTTTCTATGAGAGGACTTCTTTCAAAAATACATCATGGGACTACGACGTTCTTTCGCAAGCTTCAAGTTCAGCTGAGTAGTCAGAAACTACTTCATCAACACTTGATGCCATTTGATTTCAACAACCAGATCCTTACCTGCTGCCTTCCTCTGAAGGCAATGGGCGCCAGCGCAGTACCTTGGGTCGCTTTATTCAAAGCGGTTCGGATGTGGCGTCTTGCACGTGACCCGATGTACATGCAAATTGCATGTAGGACATGGAATGTGGGTAGAATGGCTCGCCTCATTCTCATAGTGCTTTGCTTGGGACACATGTGCGGTGCTCTATGGTTTTACACTGTTGACGAGGCTGACCAGGCGTTGGCTTTGCACATCATTCGGAAGGATAAAGCAGACACACCACAGATTAATGTGATACAACAACAACAACCAGATGACAATGAGGGTGAGGGATCTTCTGGGTCGGAAAACGCCTCTTCAACAACTAGTGCTACTATTAGTGGTGGGAGTTCATCAACAAGCTTGAGAAGGCGAATGCAGCTGATGTCGAGAATGGCTCCATCTCGGCGACGTGGAGAGCAACCTGAAAAATCCTGGTCAGAAGACGAGAAATGGGTCGGATCTACTTCGAGAACTACACGAGACCACGCAGCAAACGATATTAAACCAAGACGAGGACTCTCACTCATAGACGACAGGCTAAGAAATGAACTCCGTTTGCAGAAACTTCTCAAAAATAGCGGCCAGGGTAGAAGAAGTACCTCCAGAGTCCATATTGATGGACAAGAAGAAAAGGAAAGCCTTCACCTTGCGGATGAAGACCTAGTCCATGACTACCTCTGGGGCCGATGGGAGGACCGACACTTTTTGGAGCCAGAGGGTACCACGGATAGTGGTAAAGCAAGAAGTATGGCTCTGTAAATGAGAGTAGCAGTGCCCTCCAATGAATCTGTCTCACTCTGAGGGTAGAACTTAGTAATTAGCTGTCCGCACCATCTGTGTGTGCTGTTCATCACTGGTCTGTCATTGAGCAGAGAATTGAGAGGTGCCGCTGCTATCATTTGGGGACTAGCGTGGAGCAGCGACAAGGTAATCACCATCCCAGAAGCGAGAGTGAGTCGGGCTTACGGACCTAATTCGCCGTCTGTTAGGAATGGATAGATTTTTGAGGTAGTACTTAAAACATTGCCGTGCTGCAATCAAGGCTGCTGCAGAATAGAGCGTAATAGCCGAAGATAGAACTTCAACTTTGTACAACAAAGTACCTACTCCTATTTCATCAAAGTAGCTCGTAGTTCACGTCTAACCTCCTCGACGCCGAAGCAACACCCTTGTTATAGCGATTTCTACTCTAAACCCCTTGCTGGGTACATTATGATCTTCATGAGTATGACTTGTTACACTCTAATTTCCCCTACGCCGAAGCGGCCCTCGATGCATTTGGACTGACTTTTGTGGATCTCTACGCCTACTCCCTCCAACATGGAATGATCATGTTTTTGGGGAGGATGAACGCACCTGGCAACACCGCGTACGAAAACTTGCTGTTCGCCTTCGTCGCACCGGTCGGAATCATCATTCAGTCTATGATCTTCTTATGGCAGGCTCTACCCGAAGCGGTTTGTTTGGGTTGATTAGATTCTGTGCTGGTAGTGGAAGCATGATCCTCTCTTTGTTCGGCCGCGTAGGGTGTCTACGAAACAAGTTGTGTTTGTTCGTGTTGGAGGTAGTTCAGTGAGTTCATGCTGCCTTTCGAATTCAATTTCATTCTCGCACTTTAAAAGATAGAAGGGAGGTCCAAAAGAACTTCAAGTATATCGTCCACTCACGTCTTTCTCTTCCTCTAATCCTTTCCAAAATCAACATGATGTTCATGGCACGCGGACAGCATCTTGTGCGGCAACAGCAGCTTCTGGTCGATCTCCGCAGCAGCATGAAGATGCTCCGACTACCTCTTGGTCTACGGAGTCGCATTTTGTCGTTTTTCACTTATCATTATGGCAGTTATCTTCAAGCTCAGTGAAGATGGACTTAGAACAGTATCATTCTCCTTCCCCACACCAACCAACAACAAATCCCTAACCAGTGAAGCTGAAGTGTTGTATCCCGAAAAAGAGGAGCAGGCGTACTCCTGAAAATCACTATTGATTCAGCACGAAGAAAAAAGGTGTCAGATGTTTCTCTTTGTGAGGATACCTACGTTCATTACCATTCGCTAAGATTAGCGTGTTCACCGCAACCAGGATTTTTTAGGCGTTTTGAACAGTAGTGGAGGCCAGAGTCGACAATTGAGGTGGCAGCTGGCTTTGACCTTGTACAAAGACCTGCTCGATCCGGACGTGGTCGGTGGATTCTGCCTGCCCACAGCTAGTTTTGCGGCACTGAAGGCCATTGTTTTGGCTCTCGTGGATGAAGTGTGTCTACCGGGAGATTATATTTGCAAGGAGGTAAGTAAGAGAAGTACTTCTTTTTCATAGACTTAATATTAAATATTTGCTGTTCCTGGTACTGGTTCATTCAACAATGTCAATGAAATGGTGCTTACGACGAGTACATAGATTTGAAGACTTTCTTGCTTTTGCTTTTGCTGTTCCTGGTTCATTCAACATTGTCAATGAAATGGTGCTTATGAGTGCATGGATTTGACGACTTTCTTCTTCTTCTTCTTCTTCCTCTAAAACTTCTTCTTCTTCTTGTTCTTCTTCTTTTCTATTTTTTAAGCAAAGCTGAGGATTGAACGCGCAGCAAATTCTACTCCTTTCAGGGCGACGAAGGTACCGGCATGTACTTCCTTCTCAAAGGCGAATTGGTTGTCAGCACCCGTGGCGAAACTTTAGCAGTTCTACGGAAGGGGCAGTTCTTTGGAGATCTGTCACTCCTTTTAAGGCTTGTTCCCTAACCCGGTTCTGCTTAAAAGATGAACGAGGCCGCTTTTCCTTCCTAGGAGCGACGAGGCTTTTCTTTCAAGGGGAAAACAAAGGGTCCTCCCAGGAAGGACGCCCTTCGAGATGGATAATTTGACTGAGTTCATTCTTTCACAATCTAATTCTTACAGGCCTAAAACGAACAGCTAGCGTTAGGGCTAACACTTTCTGTACTCTAGCGTTCTTGAGTAAGGCAGCGATGGCGCCGATCCTACAGAAGTACCCGGACCAAATGGAGCTCATGGCGAACGTTTTCCGCAAGACGATCATCAATATGAATAAAGGTATTTGTTACAACACTTCATCAGTATTCTGTATTGAATACACTTCATCAAGCTCTTTAATTGTGGAACAAAATTTCTTCATCAATATGAACAAAAGGTATTTATGAACAAAATTTCTTCATCTTTTTTTCCGGTAAACTCACGACAACAAGGCATTTACTAGATGACGACTTACAGAAGTATTTTTAGCATAATCATGACCATGAATAAGTCTCTATGATCCATCTCCGATGAACCAAATTTTCCCACGACTCTTCCCCCACCACCCAGGTCCATCATGGCGCGACTCTTCCATGCGAGAGCACATGAAGAACGAACTGGAGGAACGCAAGCATTTCATCGATCCCGGAGAAGTCGGTAGCAAGGAAAAGTGGGTAGAGAGGGAATTGTGGCACCGATGTGAGAATGCGGACTCGTCTGTGTTTAAGGTTCGTCACTGTATTAATCGGCGTTTCTAGTTGTACTTACAGGACGACAACGAGTGCATTTATTTTCTAGCTCTACTTGTACTTATTTTCTTCTTCTGCACCACCACCAGTACGACTGACACTGAGAAAAAGAGAGCGAACCTGAGTAGAAGTGGTATCATGATCAACTAGACGTGTGCTCTGGGGCTCGGGGATTACTTATGCTAAGGGCCACATGCTGGCGGGGCTCTTTATCGTGTGGTGAGATGACGCTCACCGGGGGGTGGCGTCGGCATCTTGATCCCTCTGCAGCCCTGACTAGGGTGTGCAGTGCCGTCCATGGAGTCGCTGCCATGCCCCTTCGGCCCTTGTTGGTCTGGCTTCGGCCCTTGTTGGTTCTAGTTTCCGATGTTTGAAGGTAAAGGCTCTAATGTGGCCGGATTTCATGATCAACTAGACGGGACGCGAGGAACGGGCACTAGCGCAAGCCGTAGTCAATCGCATTCGTACTCTACCACTTCTTCCCAGCGATCTGGGGACTCCTACATGTCTGCCGGCAATGCTTCAGCTTTTGTTATGGCTTGCCTTATAATGCGAATCCTTATTTATCCATTTTCAGAGGCAGACTACCTGAACATGAGTTCTCAACCACCCTCCTCTGGAGAGGCTTCGCTTTTCTAGGGGAGTAAAAGGGTTCTCTAGAATGTATGTTCTAGGGGACAATCCGCTTGTTTAAAATGTGTTGCTGAGTGCTTCCGGCATTTTTGGTATAGCCTGAATTTGATCACAAGGGAAAACAAGAAGAGAACCCTTATGATCGAATTCAGGCTATACCAAAAATACCGGAAGCATACAGTTGCTCAGGGCGGGCTCTAATTTTGCACGTACTCTATTGGAGGAAAAAGAGAGGAAAGAAACGGAGAGGAAAGCAGGTTTGATCGACGGCGATGAGGATTACAGCTCTGGGGATGAAGTGTGGCAGGATGGGGATGACGATGAGGAAGAAGAAAGCAGTTTCAGCGATGAGTCGATCTCGCGTAGTAGCAAACCTTCACGCGCTAGCAAATTAAGGGTTGTAGGCTTTCGGTGTTTCTGTTACCGTTTGTTTTGACTCTCCACCTAGTTGTAACTATTAACTGTAAGCAGGGAGAAAAGAAAGCAGAACAAGCGAGGTAGAGTAGAAACTAAGGAAGAAACTACCTCAACGACCTCTAAGCATCCCAACAGCAACTACTTGTTCGAAGAATGGCGCTGTGGTAGACCTGGTGCTGCAAATGCAGTCGTCATCAAGCAACATCGATAGAAGTCTGTATGGAAGTAAGAATGGTGGGACAGGTTGTAGAGGTGTGGTAGAATCAGGTGGTGGTGATGGTGATCATCACCCGCCACAACATCAATTTCCATGCAATGGTCCACTACATCAACATCAAGAACAAGCGCCAGGAGTACATGACTACTCCTCTCCGATGGTCAACGCCGAACATGGGGATGATGAGTTGTTGCGCAGTATTTCTCTAGCAGAGGAAGACGTGCTCCTGGGTAGAAGCGGGACTTGTTCTGGAGCGCAAGGGAAACAAACAGGAGGAGCACCATCCAACGAGTTCTCGGCTTCCTCCACAAGTCGTGGCAATAAAGTTTCACCTCTATTTTCGACAACTACGTCATCGATTAGTTGTGCTTTGACAGTCGGAGCTGGTGGAGGTGGAGTTGCTGGTGGACTGACATCTTTAAGGCTACGGAGGTAAATGCATATTTGTAAAAATTCATACCCTGCTTCATTCTGCAAAGAGGTCGACATTTAACCATGGTCGTCGCAGCCATGCCTGTTCCAGTGACAGCCGCACCAGCACCACCTTCAATAGCCGCATCTTGGTGCCCGTTCTCCCTTCAATCTTGATCCCGTTTCTGAAGGGAGAACGGGCACCACGATGCTCTTGCATATTCTGACGGGAGAACGAGCACCGGAATTATGGAAGTTCTAATAACAGGAGTAGCGAATGGAGCTAAAGATCGTCCATCTACAAACAACATCAACGGCGCACTCGGTAGTCCTTGTCCTTCGACTGCGATTTTTGGATCAGTCGAACCAACGACATCAGAGGAGCACTTGCAACACATGAACTACACATCGTCTTCGTCGAGTAGCTCGTCCACTTGTTCTGCAAAAGTGAAGATATTAGGAGGTAACAAGAATACGAGTTCGTCGACGAAGGTGGTGACGTATGAAGATGACAGTGTAGAAGTTGTAGGAGGAGACGGTGCTCCACCTGTAGGATCAGGAGGACATCAAGTAAATGAATCAAGTACAAGTTCATCTAGGGAGAAAAAGAAGCTCAGGAAGGACACGCCAGCAGCTAGGACAGTAGCTCGTTTTCCTTCCGAAATAGTTGACCGGGATGAGTTCAACAAACTACACAGCGAGGACAAAACTGGTCGTGGTAACAAGAAAATTATACGCAAGGACACACCTGCGCCACCTGGAAACCCTACTGCAGGAGCTGCTTCATCTTCATCTCAGTCCCAGTCTCAAATGATCCTGAGTAACAAAATAGACGATGAATCTTTAGAAGCTGCAATAGACGAGATTATGCGGACAGCATCACCCGGAGAAAATCTTCGACCTAATATTGGTATCGCAGTGGATCCGTGCTCCCGCACTCATTCCTCTGAGGAAGCTAGTTGTACAAGTTCAACAAGTGCTGGTGGCAGCCCGGATCATGATGAGGACGAAGCTCGGATTCGCGCAATGGCTAGTCGCGTTGTGCGCGATATTGTAGCACGCATTCTCCAAAAGTGGGGACAGACAACTAGTACAACTCCTAGTTCTACTGCCGCGATGGAAGCAGATGTTAGTGGAGGTGATGGCATCGGTGTCGGTCTTCTTGTGAATAATAATCAGAATATTTTTACGACAAGAACTTCATCTTGTTCTCCTGGTCAAGGTACAACTACTTCCACTGGGCCAGCACCACCTGAAAAGAGAGCAGCGAGTGGTCATAAGAAGAAACACAAGAAGCGAGGACAAGGACAAGGAGATCAAAATGGTGCAACGACAAGGGAAGTCCTCGGAGGTCATCAAAGTAGTGCTCCTGTTTCACCAGCAACGACATCTACACAGGAGGGAACAATTTTTGACTATAATGTTGACACACCTGCTGGAGGTCATCATCAGGACCACAAAAGGAATCCAACTCACTCAAGCACAACTACGGCACCATCTTCGTCTAAGAAGCAACATCATAAGGGAGCCGGAGTTCGTCGTGCCTCCACAACAGGCGCCGTTCCCTCCTCGACAGCTGCAAACTCTCCGACAACGATGCTGACAACTGCACCTGGGAACAGTAGTTAAGGCTCAACTTCTTTCAATGGTCACCATTGAGATTGGGGTCACTGAGATCGAAGAGGCGACCCCTTCTTGAGAGAACCAACGGGGGAAATAAAAGAAGGGAAAGGGGAGAGCTTTGAAGGGGGTCAGTCTCTTCCGTTCAGAGTCAGTGACCCATGAATGCTGAGCTTTAAAGTAGCTTGGCAAGTCCTACAGACGCTCCAGCAGCGCCTCCACGTCGCGGGCCATCGCGGATGAAGACGGTACAGATACTAGAGGATCCGACTGAATGCATCAGCGCTGAGGAGCATGAAGACGATGACGAGGAATCCTCAGAGAAACATCAACAACTAAGAACTTCTACATTAGGCACGACCACAGTTCAGCAAGCGTCAACATCGATCCTTTCATCGACAATGAAGATGGGTGCCGCGCTAAAGAGAAGCCTGAGTCGAAGACATATTACAACAGAGCCGTTAGCTATGGTGATATGAAATTAAAGAGCAGACTCAGTCGAAGACATATTAATTACAGATACAGAGCCATTAATAGTATCTATTAGTTCTGTGATCATAGATATAGATTCTGAGTCTCCGATAGGTCATTATCTCACGAACAGGGTCCACTTCTTCTCTGAGTCTGATCACTATTGACTTTTCTAACTTTCTCTCCGCTGCCAAAGCGATCGTCCCGGGTTCAGGTGAGGAGCCTGCGCAACCTCCGAAGCTACGTAGAGCAGGAACTAGTTACTTGCAAGAAACAGTACCGCATAGCCACCTGCCAGGCATGACTCCTGATAGCGATCATCATCAGACCAGCAATAGTGCGAATGGTGCACTCACTGGCACTCCTGGTGCCACCATCACAAATATTATGGCGAACATTTACTTTATTATAATTCAATTTTTGCGTTTGCCACTTTGAGTGGCGTTTCGCGGTGTTACATAGTTCTTGTCTTTTTGCCTTTCTTGCTCGCAAGAAGGGGCTGTAGCGTTGTTGAGCAAAAACACCACGAAGTAGAATATCATGAAAAGGTAGTTTCCTCTGCTGTTGTTTCCTCTAATTGCTTCACAAACTCCTTGACCAGCATCGCAACTACTACCACATCTTCCCCCAAACCTCCAGAAGGCAACAGCATTGGTGCAGACGAAGCCGGACACGGACAAGGGAGACCAAGTACTAGCTCCGCAGCCGGTGGAGGAGGACCTAGTGGAGGAGGACTTAGTGGAGGAGGACCTAGTGGAGGAGGACCTAGTGCCACTTCTGGAAGTCGACATCAATTGCAGAGGTCAGCAACGCATAGACTGGGCGACAGACCAGTATCGCAGCTATCCAGGAGACGCAGTCTACGAGAACCATCCGTAAAGAAAGACTACAGATTGGTGGATTTTGCAATGTTGGAACCGCGATAGTTGATTTAGATTTAGATTTTACTAAAATCAATGAAAATAAGATGCAGAAACAAAGTCAGATACTGCTATCATAGGTTTTTATTTCTAGTAAAGAATGTGTTATCTTTTTCGATCCAAAGAAATCCTCCAAAAATATCATGAAATATTCTATCAGACTTCATTCGTACGTAATCAACAGGACTATATCTCGTCCTGTAACTACTTGTTCAAACCAAAATACTAACATTTATCACTTTCTCAACATACTTCCTCTTCATCACTTATACGTAAAGAAAGAGAGACTCTAGGGTATCGAGAAACAATCAAATTTTCATACATAAGTACAAGGAGCCTGGAATGGGCATTGGGGGTGATTATTTTTTTGAGAGGTTCGTTTTATGGAAGTCAGTGACACGTCGAATAGTCTTTAATGCATAATCAGTTGACATGTTTTTGCTTAGGATTTTTTTCTTGAAGATTTCAGGACCACTATAATGAAACGTCTAAGAAAGTCGATATTTCCAAGAATAATTCAATAGTTACATTTTCATCTATTTCAAACTAAGTATGTTCCTTGTTTATTTTTTCTAAGAATAAAAAGAGTGCAGTCAGTTTTCGGGTTTTCCTTTCGTTGTATTCGGCTGTACAGAATCAGAAACACATCAATCAAGTCTGCTCTCCGATGCTAGACACGACTAAAAAGACGAGACGGGAATAAAAAAAATGACTAGTTAGCAATTAATATAGTCAACTGAAATAGAGTCCGATTCGACGTAGATCTCATGATAAGTTTTCGTCTTTTTGAATTAGCATCATGATCACCTTTAGACATGATACCCACAGACATGTTCAAGTCTTACTTCACTGTTCAACATAGTTTTGCACATCCATTCCAACCTAGGAGGTTGTTTCAAGCTTATTTGGCAATGGCAGCCTCGATATCCGTCCATCTTTTCAGTATGATGAATTGGTGGACAGGCGACAATGGGAGCCCACTCAACACAAGAAAAAAGATTTTTCTGAGGCATGCAAGTCTCAACGAGAGAAGAAAACAGAAGGGCACAGTGATCTTCGAGAGCCAGCGCCGAAAAGGGATTTTTAGGAACAAAGCAAAACGAAAAAGAAAACATTTTTTCTAGACCTTGACATGCAGCACAGAATATACCCACGCGCATAGACAACAGCTACACGACTAAGAATTGCTAAGCAAAGACATAAAGAAGCAGATAGGTTTAAGTTTTTGTTGTAGGAGCCCAAGGCTCACATTTATGTAATGCATGAGGAACTACATTGGGAAAACTAAAGGACCATGGCGGACGGATGCCACATACTAGTCTAGCATGCAGCAGGAGGAGGTTCGCAATCAGTCGACAAGCGGCAGACCGACCATGCGGCGGTCGCTGCTTCAACCAAAGCGTCGCTCGCTCTTGCTGTGCGGAGCTATCTCCCTGATAGGCAATCGCGCAACATTATGAAGAAAGATGTATTTTGTTTTTGATGTAAAAAGTTGTAGCGAGGAGTCGTCACTCTCGTATTACAACATACTCGTTGAATTTGCTATGATGATGATTTGATGGTGGTGGCTTGAAGAGTATTAATTGTCCCATTTTCAGGAACATAACTTCCATCCTCTACCTCTAAGTTACAACAACATAGCAGAGGCGGCCAAGGCCACCACTTCTACCATTGTACATGGACGTACAAAACGCAGTGCTCCGAGAAAGCCACAGAAGCGTCGCCAATCGAACGCTGAAAGGCTGAAAAAACTACAGGCCCATCTAGAACAAGAGAAGAAAGCGCATCCTGAAAGGTTTGCAAAAGAAGGTCAAGGCGCTTCACAGGCCGTTTCTGGTGTGGAAAAGGGACGAGTAGCGGCAGCGGGAAGGGATCAAAAGCAAAAACATGCAATAGCATTCTCAATATCTTCACAGTCGGGACGAGTAGAAGGAGAATCTTCTTCGTCTTCAAGTTTAACTAGAAGTAAAAATAAGCAAGGTACTGCGGATGCGCATCACGAACGAGAGATAGTTGGTGCACTTGAGGTAGGGCATGAGTCCGAAAATGGTGCTGCCGAGAGTAGAAAACAGGACAGAGTAGCAAACATGAACGAACAGTTATGGCAGCCTTAACGCGTTATTTTAGCAACACGTTATAAAGCAGAATATTACTAGAGCAGTACCTAGGCGCTAGTAACACTGAAATAGCACCAGCAATCAAGCAACATGTGTTCAACTGGAAAAACAAGAATAAGAGGAGAGCTAAAAACAAAGCATCAAAAAAGCTTGATCCGATCAGTACTAGAATCCATATCCAACCAGCATGCATCGATAACGCGTTGCTAAAATAACGCGTTAAGCCTGTCATAACAGTTGTCCGAATCTTCGTCGCGAGTCGGAGTTGAGGCTGTTTCATCTAGAGTTTCGTGGCCTGTTACTGACGATCTGGGGCGATCTCCTTTATGCTCATGGTCAACGTTTTTCGAAGTTGTAACTAGCAGTATCATCATTTCCTCGTTTCCTTCTAGCATTCGCCACTACTTGCTCAGGACGAGTCAGTAGGATGAATTTATTTCCAGTAGCTACTTACAAACTAGAAAATACTCTCTAACTCCACCAGACGAAAATCCAGATGTTGGCGAAGCTGAACCAGCTTTGCCTACATGGAGGCCAGTCGCTATGGGACCTAAAAGGGAAAAAGTGGGGGCTTTGGAGGGAGAATCAATGGAAGGATCGACTTCAGCGAAAGTCGCAGATGTTCTAGCTGACAGTATCAAACCTTCTGTGGTTAGTACAAGGGATATTGGTGTAGTACCTAACAAGTCATCTGCTCCTGCTGGGCCAGTGGGTGGGGATGTTGCTGCAGTGAAAAAGCCACTTGCTGGAGCGACCACAGCAAAGGCTGAACCCCTAGTAGGAGAGAATAGTGCACAGAAAAAGGAGCCACAGGTTGTCGTTGTGCCTCATGTTGAGCCACGAGAGAGCCAACGTGAGCCTCACATCCTGCCTCACGCTGTGCAGTTCGATATCAACGTGCCAGATCATGCGACACACCACGTGACAAAAGACAACAATGACAACAGCACAGCACCACCGACAAATGAAGGAGGTGTACAACTCAACGAGCAAAGCAGTGTGCCTCTTGACATGCCGGTTTACTTAAATCATGCTGAGCAAGAACAAGCACTAACTCCTGCTGTAAGTGGGTCAATTACTTCAGTACTTTCTGGAGACGCTGCTGACTTGCTGAAGATGAACAAAGAGTCACTTCAAATTCCTGCTCCACAGGTAGAACAGCAAGCTGGATCACTGAGCAGTGTTTCCAGTAGTTCTGCGCAAATAAAAACAAACATCAACAACATCGGATTATTTGGTCCGACATTGTTGGAGAGTAGTGGGAAATCTACATCATCATCAACATCTGAGGCACAGGCAGAAAGTACTAAAAATGAGAAGTCTACATCTACTACGTCTTCAATCTCTACTGAAGCCTCTGACTCTTCAACAGCGGGTCGTGATCTCGTAACGGCACCTCGTAAGAACTACGCCCACTTGGAGGAGGAGGCAGCGGATGCAGCAGCTGAGGCAGAGGTGCGCTTGCTAGAATTCAAGCAGCAGATGGCCTCGCTACAAGCACAATTGGGGAAGTTCAAGGTCCCCATAGAAGATGATGACGTACTTGCAGATGGTGGAAGTTTAGATCAAGAACATGAAGAGCTGACTTCTACTTCTACTTCTTCTAGAGATACAACTTTTAGACGAGGATCTTCAGGATCGATGTTCAGCTTGGCAGAAAGTAAAAGGACAAATCTACTGGAGAAGAGCGAAGCTGCACTTGGAGGAGGAAGCACGACTTCTACTACAGTTGTATCTGGGTCTGGGAACAGCAAGCCAATTGGTAACGCAAGAACGTCCAGCCGGTCAGCAGCTTCTAGCGGTGCACCAACATCCTCATCTTCTGCGTCGTCTTCAAATACCAAGACATCAAGCAAGAAGAACAAGAAAAACCTTTTTGCCTCAACACCGATCGAAAAGTTCTCACCCGCTGAGCGTCAGAGGCAGAAGGAGGCCATCAAACGTGGCATTCTAGAGGCCGCAGCAGAACGCAAAGGGGATTTCAGCTTCACGCCAGAGAGCAAATTGTTTTTAGCTCCTCCTGGGACGTCGGCTTCTACAACTTCATCTGTTGCGGGTTTGGATAGGACTACAGAAGCAACAGCGATGAGCGAAAAGCCAGCAGATGCTAGCATTAGTTCTAGTGCCGGTGCTGCCTCAAAGCTGATAGAGCCATCATCGACGGGTAGCGGTGCATCACTAGCTTCTCCTTCTTCTTCTTCCTCCATGCCCATGATGACTTTGCTAGAAGACTCTACTAAAGGTGTACCTGTAAAGCAGACATCACCGCATTCGCAAGGTACGTCGATGGCTCATCCTCTAAACCCCTCAACAGCGGTGAAACGCACGGCCAAGCAAGTGTCCGAGCATATCGCCGAGGAAGCGAAGAGATACCTAGAAGAAGGCAAGATCGGAAAGACAGTACATCATCACAAAAAAGCACGATCTTCTGTGGAGAAGGGTTCTCCGAAGTCATTTAGGGATCTGTTACCACCTGAAAAAGCAGAGCAGCATTTAGTAAAGAACCGACAACACACGACACTCATGGTCAGAAGTGAGGAAGTGCCAGAAATAACGGGAGCTACAACTAGTAAAAGTATTTATCAAGAAGAAATGCCTCCAGCTACTTCATCCAAGAAAAGTAGTAGTACCACTACTACCAACAAGCGTGAAACTGAAATGGCAAGCAACAGGGAGAACACTCCGACTAGTAGCACCACCTTTTTGCAGATGAGCGCAACCTCATCTTCAATTTCAGCTTCTCACAGCGAGCTATTGTCTGAAGCAGGAACTGAAGATGGGTATCCAGTGTACGGGCGCAGATCGAGAAAAACAAAGAAAGGACCATGCCCTTTTGATCAGAAGGCAGACGAAGCGACGTTTTCCAGGAAGCGGTCGCTCTCCAGGAACGAGCACCAGAGCGAAATCGTTGTAGAGGGAGGAAGGACGTGTATGGTGGTGGAGATCACACCTTAGTAGCAGCGTCATCTAAATTCCACCAAAATTGAACATGAAGAATGGACTAAATTTTCATTCCTGTTCCTGTCCATGCATGTTCATAGAAATGAAAATGATCCATATTCATCGTTGTAGAAGTAGGGTGGACGTGTACTATGGTTCATATTAACCTGTACCTAATCCTGACACTTTTGACATTCTTTGTCTAGTTATGTTTATGTAGTTTCGATTTGAAGAAGTATTTGATTTGTTGAATTCCCTCGTCCACCCTCCCGGTGGTGTTATTCAATAGAGCAAATCCGGCGATGGCTTTTCTGGAGGTTAATAGCGAACCCAGAAAGGGAAGAAAAGCAGATGTAGAAGAGCAGGAAGCACATCAAGCGGAGGCGGTAACAATCTCTTCTACAACTATTAAGGGTAGGTTAAAGGTGCTTTCGTTCCCGTTTGTTATGGCTCTCCTAAGAGGGCAGCCATAACAAGCGGGAGAAACGAACACCAAAATCCTACCGCTAATACTCGTAGAGAAGAAGGACAGCTAGACGTTGACGCTGAACAATCGGCGAATCATGTTGACGTTGATGATTATGAACTGCATTTGGCAGAAACTTCTTCTTCTTCTAGCGCTGCAAGCAACAGCAAAACCGAACTCGATCAAGAACGGGAACTTCATGAAGACAAGGAGAAAAACAAGAACAACTTCAGGGGAACAGATGAGCAGAAGAAGTCGTCCTCATCTTCGAAGAAAGGAAAACAAGGTTCCAAGAACAACAAGCGCCAAAAGAGATCGAAAGCCCAAGTCGCGATCCCACCAGAATTGGCTGAGCTTGGCAAAGAAAAAGGCCACGACATCCCTAGGGCGAAAGCAATAGGCCATGAAGCCAATGTCGCAGCGCAAATGGCAATATTCGAGCAGTTGTATGGGAAAGCGAGCACCAACATGCACACGGGGCAACAAGCAGGCACTCCCATTTCGTCTCCCTCCTTGGTAGAAGGAAAGCGAAGACAACTCACCAGTCTGAAGAAAGCAGGTGCAGAGATAACTTCTTTCAGCAAGACTGGCACTGAGACATCTTCTACTTCATCTTCCTTTTCATCGACAAGCAGTAGAACAAATACAAAAACAAGTCATCTTGGAAGAGCATTCTCAAAAGCTGCAAAAAGCAAGCGACAAGGTAAAAGTGCAACAGGTGCAAGTGCGAGTGCCACAACTAGAACTACTTCTAGTTCAGCCAAAAGCAAAAGATCGCGCCGGTCCAAAGAAAGTGGCCTAAACCTAGTAGAAGCCAAGCGCAGGTTTACTATGCCGGCAGTTGGACATCTGACCGTAGCCGGAAAAGCAGTATGTGACGATGAAGGAGAAATCTATCCGAAAATGTGTGAGCCAGGTATTTGTTACTTCTTTAAGTTTAAGGCAAAGATGAATCCACGTCGACTTGCTTTTCAAGATGATTCTTCCAATTTTTACAAGGACGATGGATCAATTTCTTTCTTATTTTTTGTAGGAGTGGAAGGATCTGTAGTTCATCCTCTCTCCTTGTGCCAGAGGACAGCAACCTTGGTTTGGAACTGGAAACCACTTGTCCTAAAAAATTTCTTCAAGAATGGATCAAAAATATCTTCATCACGGAACCAACTCAACAACTACGGACGGTCCTACTCACTCTACAGACGACCGCCACACCAACGTTCGCTGTTGCTACACTTCGAATGGTGAAGTACACGGTCTCGAGATGGACCGAGTTCAGGGTGGCGGGATTCTCAAGTGCGGTGCTGAGTTTGCCAATCGTATCTGGTCAGAAGCCGATCAAGATGTCTGTAAAGTGGAGTTATGAAGCAGGTCGTGGGGGCCTAGTTGTATAAGAAGTTCGTTCCCTGGTCGTGTGGATCTGAATCATAAGTAGATGATTCATTTTGATATTGAACTAGAAGAAGTTATTTACTAGGATCAAATGTTTTTAGAAACGATGTTGAAAAAGAACATGAGCAGCGTGACAGCGTTAGGCTCAGAGTCAGAGGTGGTACCGATTCGTCTTGCCTAGATCAACATCTCCGTCAGTTTCAAGCAACTTCAAGTTTACTGATTCGTCTTGCCTAGAGGAACATCGCCGTCAGTCGCTAATCCTAGTAGTCGCCGCTCAAGCTGCAGGCGCTTTGCCTGGAGTGTCAGCCACAGACGCGAGTACATCCGCCAGAATCTGTGAGTTTGAGGAGATTAGAGACAACGAAGCCGCTGGTATAGGTTGCGGCTTCGACACAACACGAGTCTGGACCAATACGCCGTGTTATCAACTAGGTACTGCGACGGACTATCTACTACCTATTATTGCTATTATGAAGTAGTGAATTACTTGTTCATGCTTACTGACTACTACCTATTATATCGGTGGAGCACACCTAACTAGGAAACAAAGAAACCAAAATTGTTAACTAGGAAACAAAGAAAACTACTACCTATTATGAAGAATTACTTCGTACCTACTTCTTCAGAGATTCTCATTCTTCATTATTTGCTTCGAAAAAGGCTTAAATACGATCTTGTTCAGTGTTCACTGAACATGATGCAAAAATTTAGACAACTTCTACATGATGCATTCAGGTTTTCACTGCAAGTTGTACAACTCAAGTAAAAAAGTATTCCCCTGCTCTCATCTTCCACAAACAAAGGCACTTACTTCCACAATCAAGGTATTTACTTACATTGACATCCACTCGTGGGCACACCACCACTTCCCCAACCAAAGGTACTTACTTCCACGCTTGGGCAGATCGTAGTTTTTTTGACCTGCATCCTGCCGCGGAACCCGTAATGGGTCCTATCATGGCTATCGATGGCAATTTCATTCCTTCCGGAGTCGGGAGTACTTGCGCTTTCGCACCGTTGTTTGTTTTATGGCAGTGGTTTCTGTCCTAAGTGTAAAATGGCTTACACGTGACGCAAGAGGTTTACCTTTCCGTTTTTTGGGTGTACTCGGAAACTGAAAATAAGCAAGTTATACTGACTGAATTATAAAGGGAGGTAGCTTAACATCAAGGCTACTCTTCCTTCTCATCAGTATCTCGCTTATCCTACGTAGTGACTTGCTTATCCTTATTTCAGTTTGTCGAGTGGTTATTACAACTTTCTCTATCTTGATGTTCAACATCGGTTGATGATGTCTAACCTGCGATCCGGTCACGAACACGACGACTCCGTTTACCATGTGGGGCTTACGATTCAAGCCAGGACAAGAGCTGATGAAATTAGGTTGACCGGAGCTAAAGAAATTATTGTCTTCCTCGGTCTATCCTATTATTGTCGTTGCAATCTATGTACTACATTTAGTTTCAGAACCATGAAGGCGAGGAACAGGAATGAGCTGTGCTAGTTCTGTTGATTCCCCCTTTAGATTTTTTCTTTTCCTAAATCTCTGTCTCCCCAAGTATTTCTCAGAGAAGATTGTGGCGGCACCTCCTCGCACCAGCTCCAAGAGCATTTGGATTTGCTTTTCTTGTCTTGAATTGCTCCGGTATTTGGTAACCTGAATTTGATCACAAGGATTCCCTTCTTGTTTTCCCCTATGATCAAAATCAGGTTACCAAATACCGGAACCATGTTTCCCTCCTCCCAGTCGAGGCTCCCACCAACGTACACTCCAACGCTGTTTCCCTTCTAACTTTTGTGACGAAAGTCGTTCTCTTCGCGGCTCAGGGGGACAACAGTTTGAATGACGTGGACGTGACTGTGGAGCGAGGTCCCCACGTCATCTTCAAGGAGCTTGTCTCCGACGTCGTGCCAGCAGCAGGAGTGAGCACTACGGGATTCTCCCTGTCCATCGAGCTGCCGGCGGGGCTGCTCGGCGACGCAGTCACAATACGAAAACAGTGCCCAGATAACATCTTTCCGTGTGTCAAATTGTGTGGGATGCGAGTGGGCGTGGAGAAGGTGTACAGGTTGTACACCGGTGAAGCGGCGAGCCAAGAGTAGAGATGGGAGAAGGTGTACAGGTTGTACACCGGTGAAGCGGCGAGCCAAGAGTAGAGGGTGTACAGGTTGTACACCGGTGAAGCGGCGAGCCAAGAGTAGAGAGGGGAGAAGTTGTATAGACGCGAGAAGGAGTCTATAATTTAGACGAGTAGTTTCTGAGTGCTGTAAGTATCTGTACACTGAATATCAATAAAAACTTGAACAAACCATCCTAGAAATGAACAAAGACTAGTGATATGCACGGTACCACGTTTCACCAAGACAAATACTGTGCTTACCCAGGGCGACAGATTGCTTAGGTGATGACAATTGCACAGAGTTTGAAAACGAAATGGCTTTCCAGTCCTTTTCCACCGTGATAATAGATTGTATACCTTCTAGTACTACTAACATGTTGTTGTACAGAAAAAAACTAACTTGTTCATGATCTCGCCTTCGCCTGTACAAAACTTATAGTTTCAACACAACTATCATAGCTAGACGCATCTTCACATAGTAAGGAGTCACTGGCGAAGAAAGGCACTCAGAAAACTAGAGCGTTGCTGACGAGCCATCTATGGTCACGATGAACGGTCAACGTGAATCTCTTTTGAGATCGACAACACTTCTTCTTCCACCTGTGCAGCTTCATCAGACTTCACAATAAAGAAGGTTGGAAATAGTGACTTCCTCTCTTCAGTTATCATTCTGCATCCGTGTTATAATGTTCTCTGTGCACTCGGTGATGCATGATCACTCGAGCACAGAATGAAAGATCTTCATGACTCGGATTTAGGAGTGGAAGGGGTCATTGAATGACTGTCATTCCTAGGATGTTGAGATCAACGATAGCTTACTATCAATTTCTTAAGGCTGCTCTAAGAACACGAAGCTTCCAATTTTGGTCTAACTCTAAGTCTACAAACAAAACAAATAGCGAATAGCAAGACATGATGCCTTCGTCCTTGTCCATCTGGTGGACCAGGAAGCTCTACTTGCTTCCATTCATCTTGCTGCTACCACTTTACTTCGTCACCGCCAGAGCAGCATCTTCGAGTAGCTCAGCATCGGGTGGACCACAAAACAGGTTCCTGATCAATCCACCGAAAGAACTACATCAGCATCGTCGTGGTAGAGGAAGTAGGCGTTCTACTTCTTCTATTTTAGAATTGTCGTCGGTGTCGGATTCAGATGGACATGGAGCAGGAGCATCTTCTAGAATTGATGACGGAATAAAGCGGAGTCCCACGATGCCGAGGAATCTAGGTCTCGGTGACTTCAGGAAGAGGAAGGGGAAGCTCCCACCGAAGAAGAATATAAAGGGAAGTGCGAATGCGAGAGCGAGCAGGACGAGACCTTTCTACGCGTACAGCACGAGCACTGATCATGATCAAAATACACCACGACATCAGTGTGAAATGGCACGAAGACTGATCAATCAACACGACTATCTTCACCAAGCACTGGGACACTTTTTGCATGTTGATCAAGAACGCCTGGTTCAGCAGAGACGGAAAGAGTTGGAGGACAAGAACGATGACAGTGGTCACGCTCTAGTAGATCACGTAGACCTTTATTCAACAAAGGAAACGCCCTCAACAACGGGCTCATCAACAGCAGCATTTTCCAACGCCATCCCTCACCACGATGTTCATGAATCTGTCAAGATTCCCGAGTGTGCCATCTGTTTAGAGGACATGTCTGATCAACACGCGGCAGGAGAAGTAGCAGCTTGGGTCGAACTTCCGGGATGCGGACATCATTTTCATTTGTCGTGTTTTCTCTCCTACGTCACTCGTTCCACGCACCCCTCGACCTTCGTAGTCCTGTGTCCTTGCTGTAGGCAGGGAGAGAGGTATGGCGTCACATCCTGGGCAAAGACGGTCGAGAAGTGGATGAGACTAGCACTAGATCCCAAATGGTGCACGTTGGATTTATTTCTAGATGAAGATGATCATCGTGAAGTAGAGGAGATGAGTACGAGTACAAGTAGCAACTTTTTGTCGTGTTTAGAAGAAGTAGATGCGACGAACGAGGAAGTAAGGACTAGGAAGCAGAAGCTCGTGGATGCGTCTGAGAAAGGAGAAGGAGAAGCGAGTGCCAGCAAGAGAACTCTTCGTCTGCGTCGACGCACGAAACACGATAAAGTAACGACAGTCCAGACCCAAGACGTCGTGGGTACTATACAAAGACCTACGAATGATACAGCGCCGAGAAGTGATGATGGAGGAGACCCACGTGTTGCAGGAGAGCAGCAGGGGCGTTTGCGTGATGATCCAGCAGTGGACCATCTCTCAGATCTTTTCTCGCGCATGCAGTGTTGTGCAGCTAGACCCGGTAGAACTACAACTACTGGACCTAATACTACTGGTCTGATGTCTTGTTCGTCTTCATCTCCTCACTCTTATCTCCAAACTGGGGCAGGAGATCCCATGTTCTATTTTTATAACATGATGCAACAATTTATTCTACACGAAGAAGAGGATGATGAACGGCAAGTAAACGAAGGTTTTGGTCTTGGTTGTGATCAACAAGAAGGACAACAACTACCATTTGGTAGCGGCACAGAGGTGCCAGGTATTCCGGTCCATCCACCTCTATGCCCGCCAGGAGATCTTGCCGCCTTGATGGCTCCTGAGCAAATGCATCTATTCCACATGCAGGCAGAGAGTCTGAGAACAGGCGATCTTCAGGGGTTTCCTCCTGTAATGTTGGACGACTTGCAAGACCATTTTCGTGCGTTTGTTGAGCATCAAGGAAACCTCCTACATGAACTTGAACAAGCCTGTGGAGCAGGACATTTTCATGGTAGAGAAGAGCATCAAGGGGAAGGCAGTAGGACGAGGGACGAGAGGGAGACGAGTCAGAGTACTAGAGAACATCAAGAGATGAATCAAGGGTTCTTTGGTTCCTCTTCCTTTCGACAAGACGAAGCATTTTTAGATGAGCGCGGTCATGTGTGGCTGACTCCAGATCAAGAGGAAGAGGTACTAAGACAAATGCTCGCTGCCGAAGAGTGCAATTCTCGGAAAACTTCTTCCGGAAGCCATCGTGCGCGAGGTAGACGTAGTGGGAGAAGAAGACAGCGCTGTAGAAGGGAAGAGCAGCTGGCACAAGAGGTCCTAGAAGAAGAAGGCAGCGCAGAGAGACGAGATGGACGACCAGTCGGAGACGGAGTAGGAGAGAAGGTTTCGCATTCATCTTCAAGTTCAACGCAACAACGATCATTCGCTCACGGACAAGAAAGACAAACTCTCGAGGCAGCAACAATTCGTCGCGCACTCGTGTCAGCTGCACAAGAGCGCGAAGAGGATAGAGCAAGTAACGCAGCTAATGCTAATTCCGGCAAACTGAAACTACTACTTCTTTCATCATCTTCTAAAAGAACAAGCTTCTTTTCTCGATCTCGTCACAAACAAAATGAGAATCCATCATCAACCTCGAAGACCGAAGAACAACGTCGAAAGACTCCTTCTAGTAGAAGTAGAACATCTACTTCAGAGCCTCGCTTTCTGTACAAACCCAGACAAGAAGTAGGATGCTTTAATCGTTTGTTCGGCGTAACACCAGAGGTTATCAAAGTTCCTCTATACTTCTACCATACTGAAGATGATCCTCGCATCAAAGAACAATCTGCCCTTTCCAAGAATGACAAAATTGATGTGTCCTCTACATCTTCTTCTTCCACATCTACATCAAGCCGATCGTTTACCGCCAAAAAGATGATCTGCAGTCTCTTTACCTCTACTTCAAGCCCTTCTTCTTCAACATCGCAGCACGACAAGCGTGGTGGTCACCACATCAAGGACACATCAGCATCGCCATCGTCAAGATCAAAATCACAAGACAACCACAAGCCTTGTTCCTTGATTTTTCGAGGTTTTCCAAGTGGGAAGGAGGTTTTATACGAAAGCAGCTGTATGCCACTAGCTGCTTTGTCGGACTGCATCATCCCGCTTCGGATAATACCGATCAACCTCCCCCGCGGTCTGGAACGAGCACCACATTCTCCCGGTCGCGTGATGCGTCATCTCTACTTTGCTCTTCAGACGTTCTACTATGCGAGAAGTGGGAATGGGGTACCCGCTCCTTGAAGAATTCATGACATTTGTTCTTGGTTAGCATGTTCTTGAAGACTTTGAATTTACTCTGGTAACGAGTAACTTGGAGCCTAACCAGAAAGTGAGGACATGAGATGTACTGCATGCGCATGGAGGTGGGGTTGGATGAGTGATGTACTGCATGGAGAAGCATAAATACAACTAGGGTGATGATGATGATGATGAGACGTTAATATTTTGTTTGTGACAAATTATACATATACAAGTAGTGCGTCATGATTTTTGTTTTTGCACTAAACACCTACTGACAAAACTGTAGCACATTACCGATCTTCGAGAAGGTTTATCAACGTCTAAAAATTAAGATTAAGATTTCGATTTCGTTTTTGAGGTTTTGTTTAAATTTCTGCCTTAGACAAATGACATTCCTATCATCAGTTTCATGATTTTAGTGCGTTAAAAATTTGCTCACTATCAACGTATTTTCATGGTCTTTTACAGAAAGTCCCGTATTTTTTGTCCTCCATGCTCTAGCGTTCAGTTCCATGTTGTCAGTACCAGTGAATATATTGAATATATCAAAGTTATTGACCCTTTCAAGAATTGGTGACTGTTTCTGCTTGCGCACAGACTCAAAAGAAATAACGACATGGCAACGTGTGCCACATTGTTTCTCATCCTGGTATGCTTTGTTTCCATTAACAACCCCAACACGAAAACCAGTCCCTCCTGAAAGGAGACGGCGACGGCCTGTGTGATGCCGCTCGCAACGGTAAAGGACAAGACGCTCGAGTAAGTTAAGGTAGAGGCATCCCACTTTTGTTAGTACGCTTCTGCTCGTCATTGTATGTTGATCGGCGGCCCATACAATCGGTAGAAGTTTCATGGTCCTCCTGGCCACTGCATCGCTTGCCCGGCTAAAAAAGAACCTCCACCGTACATGTAAAAACGAACCTCCGTACAAGTAAGTAGAGGGAGCGTTATATATTTACATTCAGAAGACTGCAGTGCCACTGTTTGGCAGTCCTTCTTCGGCTACACATATTCGCCCGAGGATGCCGGTCAAACTGTGGGCGGCGAGTCAACTCCTATCCTATCCTATTCGAAGTCAGTGGAGATATAATAGCGCGACAATTCAACTCTCACAGTAGACAAGTATATACAATACGCGCAAGCTCAAAGCAGTAGAAGCTTAGCGACCACTGTCATCTACTGTGATCTACTAGAGAATGTCATATACTGTGATCTACTAGAGAATGTTACCACTGTCATCTACTCTGTTATCATCTTCGACTAGCTCTAGCTGCACGTCTTGTTAGACGTCTTCTACTTCTACTAGTAGGTCTGCTGGAGGATCTACTGTGGAGCATGAGCATAGGTCAGTGGAGCATCTGCGGATCTGGAAATCGCATTTGGATGAAGGGCTCATCTCCGAAAGTGAGTATGGCGAACTCAAAGCTTTTCACAAGGAGGCGTAGTTTGGGTAGACCAGGTCTGGACGGGACCCCGATGATATTCGAAACGCGATTCTTTTTTGCCTAGTTCTTGCGATGAGGACAAGCAGATGAGGTGATCATACAACAACTCCTTTTCTCCATCTTCTCACGATGTGCTACACCTTGGTGTATCTGCTACTTTTCGCCACGACTTTGATTCCTTGTGAATTTTCTTTTAGTTTGGAATCCTCGACTGGTGGTTCGAAGGTGGATGAGAATGGCACAGGTGGAGGTGTTTCAGGGGGGTGGGTCACAAAATGCAGTGAGAGGACTTGCTGCAACGTCGTGATCGTGAAGGGAATCCGTGATTTGAATCGTTGATTTGATGTAAAGAGTGCTACCACGCAGTAATGACAGACTTGACCAAAACAGATTATACGACGCTCTATGAAGCGAGCATTTCCGCAACATTACAGCTCCAGCAGTCCTTTCATCATTTGAAATCGCGCATGACAGTCGTCCTGAAGGACAACATCCCTGCCGACGTCTTGACAACCGACTAGGGAAGAATTCTTAGGAACCTTAAAGCCTGGCGTTCCAACGCTGTGAACACAATGTTCGGCGGCAAGACCTCAGAGAGAAGTTTCCTTGCCACAGAAGCAGCTAGCAAGACTGCAAGAGTGCTCTATGCTTACTGATCGTTAAGTATCGATGACTCAAGTCCAGTATCGATACTGTCCAAGTTCCTCTGCGTTCCTTTTGTTACACTTTTTTACACATCATGTGCCACTGCGAGCAAATATATTTTCGTGATATTTCAGTGTTAGCCGCGTCTTTATTCTCAAAACTGTGGGTATTAAGTCCTTTGTTACACTTGTTATCATATATATCCGATGACTTAGGCATCCTATCCTATGTATACTTAGATTCATTTATATATAGAAAAATATGAATAAACCTAACCTCTATTGTTCGATGGAGCATCAATGAATGTCAAAAATCGTTAGTTGTAAATGTAATCATCTCTTTCCTTGGATCTGGAAAGTCATCTTCTGGCTTCTTCTACTTGTTGTCCGCCAGGTCTTTCTAAACGACTAGGAGGTTTTCACAGCCGACTTCTCATCATTCTTGATCATCTTCTTCGCGTTCAAGTCCTCCTTCTTGTCTACCCACTCTCGCTTTTGACTGCTTTGCAAGAGAGTGTCCGGGGTGCACTCACCAACTGCGAAGTCGCCGATTTTCGTCTTATCTTGCCCACCACAAAACAGGTTGTGTTGAAAATGAAACGAAGAGTACAAAGTCGGGCTCTCGTACCTGCGATGGTAGAAGGTTTAGGGTTTTGGTCGTTTAATTGTAGCAATGAACATGATTAGATGAAGGAGTTTGCTAGGGTTGACTTGAAGAAATAAAAATGTTGGTTTGATGTTGTCAGTTGTGGTGTAACTAAGTATGCACAGGAAAAGGAAAATTATCAAGATGGGTGGTTCTAGTACTAACTCTATGGCTAGGCATATTTCTCATTCTCTCATGGTGGACATCCATGGTGGAAAACAAAGCTGCAATGCAGTGCAAAACGATAGCGTCCTCATGATGGACGATCTCTCCACTCTCTCCCGGCAGGAACTTGATCCACCGCGAGACGAGGATGATTTTTCTAGACAGCTGTATGTAAATAAAAATAATAAATGCATAGTACTGCACGCGAATCGAGCCTGGCGCGGGAATGATTTTCCGCACGCATTCGTTCATTTTATCCTGGTTCAACACCTCGTATTCGGGGCCAGAGCAGTTGAGATTGTTCCAGCGGCGAAGTTCCGCAGCGTACGGAATCTTAGCCTCAGCAGTACTATACGGGGCCAGGAACTGTTGAGTGGGAGATGAAGAGGATGCCACGCCGTTGCCCTCCTCCGGACAGCACATCATGGCGACATTCGTCAGACTAGCACCCCCCTGCTGCACGACCATGTCTTGTTCGGAAGTTGTGCCACCCTGCTGCAAGCGCATAAGCGCGAAAACCGGAGCTAAGAGTGCTTTCACGGGCATCTTGTTGTTTTGTTATTGTTGTGCGACGTCTGAAAGGTCGTGGAGGTTGTGCAGCTAGTAAGTCAGGCGATAGCGATCATCTAATACGTAGGGAAGAATTAGTGCAACAACTTTAAAAATCATACAGAGAATGTATAAGAAGATCGCCGTCAACCTTTTGATGAGATGATCCTAGACCCATGAACGGATCTTGTTGGAGAACCGGTAAGACGATGCCAGACATCATCCTCTTCATCAGACACGAGTTCACTTCGTCACGTGCCGTTACTACGCTGCTTCAGCTTCACTCAGGACTCTGCGTGACCAAGAGACCAGACCTGTCTCTTCTCGCCTTGTCTTTGTCAGACGAACACGCTTGCGGAATAAGACTGTCGTCGTGTGATCTTAATGGAATAAGACATCGCCCCCGTCGCGACCGATTTATTTCGTAGCTCATCAGTACATACAGAGGAGAAAAACTACAAGCCGATCCATTTTTATAGTTACTAAGATACTTTCGTAAGAAGTTAATTGTCATAGTGATTACTGTTAGGAGTACAATAAGTCTCTCAATTGAAAGCTCACCCAGCAGTGACTAAGTAAGAGTGACCACGTGAACAGCAACAGTTCCAGTTGTATGTAGTAGTAATAAAAAAGTGTAATACAACAACGAATAGTTTAAGAACTTTTCTTCAGGAGTATCTTTTTAACGATGAAGTGCAAGAGTATTCGTAACCTTATATAAGAAAGAGAACTTTTCATCCTTGTTCGTAATAGGTTAGTTTAGGTGTGGGCCTACCAGGAAAACTGGCAGACATGAATGGCGGCGGAAGAGCCAAAAAGTAGTAGATGGCTCTTTACCGATTGCGATTACCCGGACCTCGCGAGGAAAAAGGCTGCGTTTCCGGTCATCACACTCCGCGCTTGACGTCCGCTGATTTCTACTTCTAGGTCTAAGAGCCCTGCTCTTTGCTTGTTTTTGATTAGATTTAGAAAGAAGAAGAGACAGATCTATACCTAAAATGTGTGCTGATCTAATTCTAAGGTGTATTGCTTGAGATATTCACTCAGAAGACTACGGTCACGACTGGGCTACTCTTCAGACTAAAGAACCAACCCTAACGAAACCCTATTATTCCAGATCATGCACTGAAAATGTTTTGGTTGAAGAATGATGGGCAGAGTGTTGTAGACCCTGATGAGGGATGGGAAAAGAATCACAACGCCATAATTTTTATTGGGCCAAGCTTGTTGATGCTTATGTTGTATTTCAAGCTCTCCTTCTATTTTATTTCGCTTTTTGCGCCCCATCTCATGAAAGGAGGAGATGGTAGAAGATTAAGATGCGTTCCGCCTGTTAAGCTTAAGATACGTTCCGTCCGTTAAGCTTAAGATAGATTTCTCCTCCTGTAAAGGTTCACAAGATAGGAGAGAGGAAGGTTAAAAGCTTCTGAAAGATATGAGCAGATGGATGAATACCAGTACAGCGCTAGGCTAGCATAGGAATTGATCCACCTTGGTCCACGGGGTACTATTCAACTTGTTGTAGTTTAGTAGTACTGTCCTCCCGTGGAGATGGGCCTTCTTTGCCCCTAGATTTCGCCATATCACTGGGATCACCCTTTTGGAGATCTTGGCCTACAAAAAAAAAGCGGTGCCCTGTGGAGGCAAACTGACTGGCTGACTGACTAGTACTATCCCCCCGTGGATATGAGCTTGGTTTGAGGTGGTCCTTCTCTAGATTTCGGGAGGACATGGGGCAGAGGAAAGCTCATTTGCCTCCGACACTTGAAGTTTTTGCTTCAATCAACTCAGCCCTTTGAATATTCTCTAGAACTAGATTTCGCTCAAAATTTTTGCAACATGGACGAGCAGTCGGCTTTGCTAGTGTAAGTATTAACAACTTTCAACCGAGAGGACACACAATTGCCTACGAAACACAGAAAATGGAAATCGGGGTACTTGTTCTACCTCTTGCGTGAGTCTTCAGATGTCGCCCTCTATGTCAGATGTATACTCAATTATACGTTAGTAAAGAGGTCTCCTAGCTGTGGTCCTGCTTGATGACCATGAGCGTGCTGAAAGTCGAAATCTTGTGCGATCATGATGGGCAGCAGTGCAGATCCATGATGCTTGGGACAGATACAAAAATCTTGCTCGAAGTGGTACACGTAGAGTCTATAAGGCTTCTAAGACGTAGATCACGCTAGTACAAAATGCTAGTACAAAGATTATGTTTATGGCCTAGAGGCTATTCTAAGAAGAAGCAGATGCAATGCGGCACGATGGAAGTGAAAGTGATACCTGAAGCATGTGTGTGAGTGTGTTGCAGAAGCCATTGCTGCATGGCGGAAATGGAACGTTCTCAAAAGGAGTGGGGTGATTCATTACAACTTCTAGGAGTCCTCGAAAGCCAAAATATATACTTTGTTGATGTCGGTTTTGAAACATATAAAAACTGAGCTACAAGTTGTTCGTCTTTTTGCTTTGAACGGCCAGCTTTCCAAATTGGTTTCGCTCCACTCGCTTCCGCATATGGCCAACGTAATGGAGCAATCTCTTCAGGCCATAGATATAGCCTTCGTCCCGGCCGCTGTCGGTGTAGTCTTCGGAAGGGTTTAGGTTAGAGAAGATCCAAACACTTCATTTCTTGCCTGCATTTCTTCAGAGTCCCAAGATGGAAACTGCAAGAAATGCCTCGTAGAAACGAGCTTGGAAGCGGAGAGAACAGTGCGGGAAGAGAAGAGTAACATCTAGAGGTAGAATGAATTACTTTGAGCCTTAATTAGGTTGCCTTGTTGATGCTGTAAAGTGCTAGTGGCTGAGTGTTTGTATTGACCTCTACTAGGAACCGGGGTGCTCGTATTTGGTCCTCTGTTCGATGTGCTCCTGGGCAGTAGAGAAGTCCTCGTCGCAGTTGCCTTCTTAGAATCAATAGGAGAAGATGGCGCAGTGAAAGTGATTTTGAAAATAGGATAAATTTATCTCTTTCTCTTCGTCATTCAACTTGAATCTGATCAGGAGAATAAGTAAGTACTAGCACGCAGTAAATAATACTCTATTTAAATACTATTAAAAATCCCCGAACACTCTTCGCCTTTAATGTGAACACTAAAGGACCCCTAAGACGCCTTTAGTGTGAATGCTAAAGGACTCCCCTCCCCTTTAATGTGAACACTAAAGGACCCTTAAGGCGCCTTTAATGTAAACACTAAAGGACCCTTAAGGCGCCTTTAATGTAAACACTAAAGGACCCCTAAGACGCCTTAAAGGTAAACACTGAAGGGCTTTCATGTGGGCAGCAGATGCCCTTGAGGAAGAACAAGAACAGCAACAACAGCAAGAACAACAGCAAGAACAACAGCAAGAACAACAGCAAGAACAACAGCAAGAACAACAGCAAGAACAACAGCAAGAACAACAGCAAGAACAACAACAACAACAACAACAACGACAGCGAGAACAACAGCAAGAACAACAGCAAGAACAACAGCAAGAACAACAGCAAGAACAACAGCAAGAACAACAGCAAGAACAACAGCAAGAACAACAACAACAACAACAACAACGACAGCGAGAACAACAGCAAGAACAACAGCAAGAACAACAGCAAGTACAACAGCAAGAACAACAACAACAGCAGCAGCAGCAAAAACAACAAAGACAGCAAGGACAACAACAACAGCAGCAACAACAACAACAAGAGCAACAACAAGAGCAACAACAAGAGCAACGACAGCAACAAAACAACAGCAGCAACAACAAAGCAGCAGCAGCAAAGCAACAGCGACAAAACAGCAGCAACAAAACAGCAGCAGAAAAACAGCAGCAGAAAAACACACGCAACAAGCCCTAAGGCGCCTGTAATGTAAACACTAGAGGACCCCTCGCCTTCAATGTAAACACTAAAGGACCCCTAAGACGCCTGTCAAGTAAACACCGAAGGCCTTTCATGCTGCCACATTTACAAGGGGAATCGGTGGCAGTGCTGCCACCTCCCTCTTGTATTTAAAGCCTGCGCGCTCCCGCTCCCCTTTGCCGCAGCGCGGAGGGGAGTGCGCGCCCTTCGGGCGCCCGTTTCACCTTGTGAAACCATTCACCCCTGCCCACGTCCCTAAAGTATCCCTTTCCCTTCCTTAACGTCTCCCGGGGCACCCGGGCCCGGGGAGTTATACTATTATACATTTTATAGACATAGAACATAGGTATTCCGCATTGTCATAACACTAGAAGTCTTTGGAATTTCGAACGCGTGAGCGAAGTCGATGAGATAGACCCACAGGGTTTCGACGGGCCTCGCCATATCGTAAACCACCAAAATCGAACTCGAATAGAGTCTCCAGCGCGGCTCCTTTTGCGTTAGAAGAAGTTCCTAGTCTGGTACTGGTTTAGTCAAAAAAATGAAAAATTGGTACTAGTACCACTCTCCTGAGTGATCTCCTGTGACACACCCAGGCTGCTCTAGTACTGAGTGCAACATCTGTGGGAATAAATCCACTCGTTCAACATGCGTTGTTCTGCTTCTGTACAACATGTCTTCATACCTCAAAAATGTCCAGAATCTCTCTCACTAGTGTCTCGAATTTTTCCAGCATCCCTTTCAACAGCGCCCGCTGACGCTCCACGTCCACTTCGCGAGGCACTGCGTCCAAAATGGCTCGTGGGTCGGTAGTTAGAAGAGCTACGTCAGCCTAAGAAGTCGATCCACGAGCCATTTTGGACTCAAATAAGTAGTCTACGTGTTTCCAGTCTAAGATCAAGAGGTAGTAGGTAGCATAAGGATTAGGACAAAGAAGAAGAACTACAAACGGTGCTCCTGTCTGCAATGGAAGTAGAAAACAATTTAGAATTACTGCAAATAGCGGTACTGTCTGCAATGGAAGTAGAAAACAATTTAGAATTACTGCAAATAACGGCACTCTCTGCAGTGGAAGTAGAAAATGTAGTACAACTATAACTTCAAGAACTCCTTTATTAGCGAAGCGAGGAGCTTTAGCCGTAACATGTAAGGACCTGCTTGTGCGTGTTGTCCCTGTCCTTCCCGTTCTCCTTCCCCTGCCTCTCCGCTGACGGTATGAGAAAACAGGTCTTCTACATGCTTAAAAAAGGTCTCGAGACCGTGCAAGACTGTCCTCTCGTTGAGCCGTAGGCCCCATTTGCTATTCCGTTTACTCACGCGGAACATTTTTTCAACTTCGACAGTGCTGGAATTAAAAATAGAGCGATCGCGTCTCTTTGTTCATCCCTGGCTGTAGTGGGTGGAGTCCCTCCTCCATCAAAATGTTGTTCTTTGCATACGGAAGAGGGATCGTCCACATAGAAGAGATAGAGAAGGTAGCGTTCTTGTTGCTAGAGTCCTCTACCTATAGTAGATAAGTACTTACAGCTAAGTACTTAGAGTAGAGATCCAGATCTCCACTTTCACTTATAGGGATGAACTTCTAGACGAGGTAGTGAGGTAGTCTTAATAATGGGAGTAGCATTGTCCTGTCGACGTGGGCTCTCCTCGAGTCGACTCTCTTTCTCAGAAGACGACGCAGGTCCTACTTCCGCTTCTGCTCTTTCGTCCATCAGGAGTCGTACCACGCGAAAAAACTTCATGCCAACAATGCGAAAACCAAGTTTTTCCTGCAAAGGATATTTCTTGATGCACTTTTTTCGCTTTTCTTCCGACGCTAGCTCATCGTATGTCTGCTGGCCAATTTTAATGTCACAAACACAAGGAAACTGCAAGTTAGCTGTGACGTCCTCTAACACCAGATAGGTGTTCGCTTTCTGCCGTTTCTTTTCGTTGGATAAGGCTGTATTAGAAGATAGAGCGGCTTATAATATAATAACCATGATGATGATAGTAAGAACTAAGTATAGTGATCAATTAATTCATATAAAAATTACTGATCGTGATCAAGGAGCGCCGCATCTTTCACACGAGTTAGAGTTGCCGAAGATGCTTGGTTGTTGTGCTTCTTAAGATGAGTTTCAATTTGGGGGAGCCTTAACACTAAGATCTTTGTGAGCTCGTAGCTGTGCGGACGTTCTAGGTGAGGGCTTCAACATTTTCGGAAGCCGCTCTTTACTGGAAGATGACCCTTGTTTAGATGCGGATCTCCTCTCTGCAGCAATGAGCACGTTGGCATCTAGAGAGTGTTTGCGGCCTCCCTTGTCACGCAAAGAACTTTTGATGTCGACAGAAGCTCCACCACCTTGGGATGTCGACGGTGAAACGCGCAAGAGATGCTGTAATTAGAGCTCGCCGCAGTTATCAAATACTAGAGTCCATCTGCTCGAGAAAGAGAAACATCCTAGAGGCTTTGACTTTCTCCCCAGGATGAGAAGTCCTACCTGAATGCCTCTGAACAAGATGCGTTGGCGGATCCTCTGAAAATGGATCAGCAAATTCCTTAATGGAGACGGTTCTTGCGAAGTTGGAGATACTCCTTGTTGCGTTTTTTCTGCAGTTCTCTTTGCTGCAGTTCCGCCCCAACATGTTCTTGAACTTCATCGTCCTCTTGCAGTACACGTCTAATATTGTCCAAGGGTACAACAGAAGATGTAGTAGGGTCATCAGAAGTTGCTCGGTTCAATCCGCCACGTCTGCAGCTTCGTCCGTCAGGAACTAAAAGATTCGGAGCGGACTGGTTGAAGACCCTTCTGTAATCATGATCGCGAAATAAAGCTGTCGAGGAATGAGCGGCCCCAGATGTGTGGTCACGCCAAAGCCGTCTGCTTCTTCCTCCTGCTCCACCACTTAAAAATTAGAACTAAGAGTAATTTTGTTTCCATCTTGAAACAAAGACATCCTAGCACACCTGAGAGACCCCTGCAAACGGTCGCAGCAGGATGCCTGTGAAGATGGATTTCTTGTAGAAGCCTTAGAAAAATGACAGCGTAGACGACGTCGCGCGTGATGCTTGCGGCCCTAGGTTGTCGCGAGATCCACTAGCCGAGCTCGCTAGAGAGGAGCGATTCTGCCCCCGTCTTCTAGCAGCTGAGGAAGCTAAGAAAGCGAGGTTGTCGTGCAAATGCGTTGGGAGGTCGACGTGGAAGTTTAGAACACGCACTTTGGTGCCTGGGGTTCGGAGCAACAGCAAGCATCTTTCCTCTACTGCTGAACAAGAACCTTTCTTGCTGCTGAGGACCTTTTTCCGTTCCTTTACAGTACGAAAATAGTCCGAGTTAGTGAACAAGAACATGGAGAAGTAAGTCCTGTTGCTCTAGTAAGAAAGTGTTTCTTGGTTACTCAAGAACTCCTTACTAGTACGTACAGGAGTGAATATGACAGCACAGGAGCTTTCATCCACTATTTCTCTCTATCACTACAGTGCTATACTCCTTAGACTACCACTACAGTGCGATCTTCCGCCTTAACGAGTGCATAGACGTCGGATTAGTTGACTGTGGTGAGTCCTCGTCACTGTAGGGAAAATCTTCCCGTCCTCCGCTTTCCGGATTCTGCACCACTCGAATATCGTTCGAAGCATTGAGAACGAAACTGCCATCGTCTATTGAGTTGTCCCTATTGCGATCCATCATCATGGTGGATAAAAGGGTGTCTGGATGTTCTTCTTCGTCATGGTCATCTCTGCTTTCTGGAATTGTTTCGATGAAATTAGATCCTATCTTGTTCATGAGGGGTAGAAGATGATCCATCTTTCGGCCCAGTTGATGTTTCACTTTTTCTGCTAGTTAAAAAGACGCAGAAAGTGAGCAGCTAGAAGATGCTGGACATGAATCCGTTTCTGAGTAGCCTTAATGAAAGCTGCTGTGTCGTCTTGACTCCGCAAATCTTCTACAATGACGCCTCCATTTCCTAGTCCAGAACAAGCTGAGCGTCTCCGTCCATGTTCTTCTGATGCAAGAAGACGCCTCCACTTCGAATTGGTTTTCGTGCGATTTCTGTAGTAAGAGACATCACGCACACGCTCCACCCCATTGGATGGAGCATCTTCTAAAACTATCAGAGGAGGTTGGAGTTCTAATGATTCTTGCTCTTGGTCATTTGGTTTTTCTGCTACTGCAGCTCCGTCTGGTGCCCTTCCATCTACAACTGCTTCTTCTAGGTGGGTAACTGGAGATTTGTTTCCCGACTTCTCCTTCTCGTTATTGGTGGCTGGAGATACCCTTGCAGTCGCCATATGCCCGCTGTCATTGCTGATTTCTCTACTCAATCTATCTCCATTGCTATCGGTGTTTGTGTGGGTCATAGAAAGAGACTCGTAATCTAACCTATCTGTGCCGTGAGACATATGTGTGCCGTGAGACGTCTCTGTGTCGTGAGACATTGCTGACCGCATCCTTTCCAGGTGTTCCATTCTCAATGACCTGTGATCGTCACTGGAGCTGCGTTGCTTAGAGTCGCTCTGGACGTGACGGACTTTCTTTTCCCCGATGTAATTCCTCTTGCAAGTAGTGAAATAGGGTCCTCGTTAAGGATGCTCCTTCCCCATCGTCCCACCTTAATTTTCTCTATGATATTATCGTGATCGAAAATCAAAACCATTGCCTCCCTTAACTCGTCGCTCAACATGATCAAGTGCCTGGCTAAGCATCTTGATGTCAGCAAGCGATTCTGAATGGGTTTCAATGCCGGTCTCGGACGCTGGAGAGCTTAGCATCAAAGATTCTATAGCAGACTCAGCGTCAGAGTGGGATTCTCCGCCAAAGGAAGTACCAGGACGACGGCCTCCGAGGTGCTTGTGCTCGTGTTGGGAGGTGAGATTAGATGAGAAGCGCAGGAACGAGCTCCGAGCGGTTTTTTTCACTTAGTACTCATTTCTAGTACTAGTTGTAGTAAGCAAAAGCTTCCTACTAAAATTAGAAATTGTTAACTTCCGACCATAATAAAATTCTGTTTCTGTGACATGTTGCCATCCAACACTCCAAATCCACGTTGGGTCGGATCGAGGAAAAACGTCTCAGCCCCAGGATCGTCGAGAAAGGGTAAGCCTCCTTCTGTTAGGGCTAGCGGAGCTAGTGCAGTGGAAGCATACTGTACATTTTGGACAGTCAAGGATGGCGTTAAGGATCATGCTCTCTAAGAAGTTCAAGTAAACAAGCAGGAGTCTGGCAAGGATGCTGGTGCTCAGCTTCAAGATGCTCTCTTGGACTTGGTCGTGGTTGCCTTAATCCTGCTATTATCTCAGCAGTGACTGTGTCGAGAGAACTAGCTCTCGGATCATCTTCCTCGCTTGATCCTACAAGAGGCAGACCTACTCCTGGTCCGGAGAGCACTGCATCAGCAGTAACGGCTTTGACTATCCTTATACTGCTCGTGGTTGCTGGAACAGGAAGGGAGGAAAGCTGTTTAATGCCATCATTAGAGCTGCTACCTCCCGTGGTCGTGCATACCTGTGCCTCCACCTGTGGGGAAGAGGATCTCTCAAGAATATCGGTATTTCTCGTATACCTCCGTATACTCTTGCGGGATCGCTATACTTCTAAATAGAAACGGACTAGTACCGGAGTTAGCCTTAGCATCAGTCTCAAGCCAAGTCGTGGCTCTACTTGTCATGTCGACCAGCTCCATCTCGACCTCGAGAGGGGGTGCAAACTTCTTACTAAGAAAAGAGCTAAGTGGGGAGCTTGTTGTGTCCAGGGTTCCACCTGTAGCACCTGAAGGATCATGATCATCTCCTCCGCCTCCTGTACTGGTTGATCTTTTACTGCATTTCCGACTTCTAGCCGTAGCAGTGGACCAATAAGTAGTTTGCAGCCCTAGTGGTGCCCCTGGTCTAGTACTGGTACCACGCTCATCAAGCACCTGCTCACCCTCACCACGAACTCCTAGACCGAGTCCGACTCCGTCGTTTCTTGAATGTGGTGCCCAGACAGTCGGGAATATAGACATCTCACGCCACAAGGCTTCCTCCGGTGGCTCAAGACTTGTTCCTCCGATCTCATCGTAGCTACCAGTGGTCGGAGCATGACTGTTGCCGCTGGGAGATTAGAAGGTGGTCTGAATGCTTCCGGTATTTTTGGTATAGCCTGAATTTGATCCTAAGGGAAAACAAGAAGAGAACCCTTAGGATCAAATTCAGGTTACCAAATACCAGAACCATACATGGTCAAGGTCAGCAAGTAGGTGAATAGACTGAAAATACAACATGTTGCCTCAGTCATCTTCCTACTTTCAAAAGACTTAGACTCACAACTAACGAACAGCGCATCGTCATGCATGCTGTTGTCCCTGTAGCGCATGATCACAACACAGAAGTACTTATGCTTAAAATATACGTTCGACCTGCCTGTTTCTATGCCTTAAGTTTGTCCCTGCAATTGGTCGTCAGACAGTGTTGTGTCAAGCGAGTTGAGCTGACCGGAACTCGACATGTCCGGTCCGTTCGGAATTCGTAGAGTATCCGGAATACTTGCGAGCATGCTAGTTGCGGTGACTTCCACACTTCTATCCATGGCAATGCTTTTTTTACAACCAAGAAGAGAAACCCATCTTCGAACTCGTATTGGTTTCAGTTTTCCCTTTCAAAACGGGACCAAGATACTTGGGAAGATGGGTAGATTTCTTCTAGCCTTAACCTTTGATACTGTTCCATCGTCTGTCCCAGTCACGTCATGTTGTGCGCCCTCCTTCTTGCCTCTATCATTCTCCACAGAGAAACTCCGACTACTTACAGGAAGACTCTTCGTCACGACCTCCGACGAGTTGCGCCGTTCGCTCGAATGGTCGTCAACACTAGAGTCGCGAGGACCCTTGTTTCGTTTCGCACACCTCGTCCCTCTAGTCGATCCTACTGGCATTGATTGTTCAAAGAACGATCCACCAGTGATGAAAGGGCTGCCGGTGGTCATCTGCGATTCCCTCGCTTTTGACATCCTTTTTCTACACGAATTCGGGGAGTGAGAAGATGGATTTGGCGAGGTAGACACTTTTGGAGATGATAAGACACGTCGTATCCCGATAGATGAAGTGTTGTTATTGTTACTCATGTCTCTAGACATGGAGATAGCTTTAGCTGTGAGTAATGCGTCGCTTCCACGTGCGTGAGCTGTCCCTGTCGCTGAATCATGCATGCTGCTACTTGACCGGTGCTCGTCGTCAGTGCTCCTGTGATCCCCGCCTACTTTATTGTTGGCTACGAAAGATGACGAGTCGTAGTTGGCGCTGGCCGTTGTGCCCGATGTATCAGCTGCCCCCGAACTTGGAATCGTGATGTTTGCTCCTGTTTATTAGAGAAGTAGAGTCTATTGTACACAGATGACTCTCGCTAGATCATCTAGCCTAAATGGACATGGAAGACACAGAGTCAACGCCAGAGTGATCAGTAAAGAAAGATCATCTTAATGTTTTCCAGATCCAGATCAAGGATGAGTACTACACGAAAACAAACGCTTCATCGTGTTCGTGCCTTAAAATAGACCACTTCCTGCGAGGACATCGTTCTCAACGCTAAAATCCAAAGAGTCCAACTTTCTTTGAATGTCCTCTTTGTTCTTCCGGGTTTGCTTGTTGGGAATGATTGATGTAGACGCAGAAGCCCCCGAAGCCGTTCCTGTTGTTTCAAGACTCTTGCTTCCACTACTACCTGGTCCTCGATCATCCACTTTTTTATCCGCCACCCTCATTAGACCTTCCGGGAATCCATCTCAAGGACCTTCTCCTGGACCCGTTTTTCCCTTAGACGAAGGCCCGAAATGCTTCTGAAGTAGATGGATTTCCAGAAGTCTTAACCTTGAATTCTTCGCCACCCCACGACTTGGCGACTTCCTATCTTCTCGACGTTTCGTCCCACTAGTTGTAACGTGAACCGACAAAATAGCAGGAACCTCCGACCGCTTACTGTTCATTCGCTTTCGCAGGACCTTCGTCGTTGGCGGCCGTCGGGAAGTAGATTCGTGTTGGGCGCGGAAATTAGAGCATTCTTGAGGGGCGGGAGAAGATGAGATCGAAGATTCAGTTGGGCAGACGAGTCGGCGGCCCTTCTTTGTCCTACGACTAAAAAGGCCTACCTCGAGAAACAGTCAATACTTGTTTATCTTTATTTTTTTAGCCAGTACTACTAGTATACCAGTAGCACTAGAGGTAGACCGATTGTCAAGCAGTATTTTTCCCACAATGGTACTATTGGTATTTTTGGTACTTAGACTGAATTTGCCTTAACCAAATCTTTTCCACCTCCACCCAACAAATCGTTAATTGCTCGTTGAAAACGGGATGGAGAGAGATCGTCTGAAGAGCCTAGAAGAAGATCTCGATCATCATTCTCTAGAACATCGTAAAAACCATCGTCGGTATCAAATGTTGGACTATTGTTTGCTTGTTGGTCCTGTCCTAAAAATATTTGTTGTTTGTGCGGAGACTGAAGCACAGAATGCGACTTGTTCGGGTTGGTGTCTGGAGATACATCCGCCTGTTGTTGTTCCGCATGTGGCGAATTCAATTTTTTCTCGAGAACCTGTTGTAAGTCACAGGAATCGGCGCCCCAACCTAAATCATCTAATGTCGTTTTCGCTTTTCGCATACTGGACGTTGCACTGCTAGAGGAAGTTCCTCCGCTAACATGATGAGGCACCACCACTCTTTGAGGTGCACCGGTGTGTGTATGCGATGAGCTACCACTGCTGCTGCGATGCATGTCCTCTCCTGAAGATTCATCTGCGGATGACATTTTTCGGTTGTATACTGAACTGGATGATCCACCTGAGGGACCTGGAACTTCTCCATTCACTCCGGCGTTGCTATTCTTTCTACTGGATCTGGACGTTCTGGGGGACAGAGCCGACAAAGAGGAGGCATCTGCCTTTGATGTCTCACTGCCTCCAAGATGCTGACTTGATAGTATTTGCCCACCTCCTGCTGCACCCCCACTGGCACTGCTCGAGATAGACCCTTTCCGCGAGTCAGAAGTAGTTCTTTTCGGCTCTTTACAACTACTAGGCTGACGGTCCTCCGTGTAGTTGTTAACCAACATATTACCAGAGCGCTCTTTAATACTACTACTACCGGTCTCCTCCGTGCCTGTGACTGACAGAGATGCCCTTTCTATTCGTCCAGCGGTAGTTTGATCTTCCTCTACTCCGCTTCCTCGTGCACGCTCATAATCATCTGTTGACATTCTACTCGGTGGTGGCGCATGATAAGATCTTCTACCTGCTAAGCTCGCTGTCGCATTCGTCGACGAGGTGGAAGAGCCATATTGTTTATGATGATGCCACGTCTGCATGTTTTTCTTTAGATTCTTCTGCAGAAACCGTTCTACTGTTCGTGGATACGCGAAAATAACGTCCTGATCATCGCACAACAAGCCTACCAGTGATCCTCCACTACTGATAAAGTTAGAGGAAGAACTCCGACAAGCGAAAACCCATCTCAGCATGATACTCGAAGATGATGATCCTTTGCCTGTCTAACTGAGTTTTCAAGTTTAGAAAACAGCTACAGGATCGATGCTGTTGGAGATGGGTTGACGTTCTTGCTCGTAATAGACGATGCGAAAAGCGTTGTGCTCATCGCATGCGTACTCGGAACACCTCCTTGTTTAGTGGAACTCTCAGCGCCTCCGAGTCCACTTCTCTGGTTGTTCACAATCGTCTCGTACAGTTGTAGCTGCGTTCTGGTTTGGTCTAGTTCGTCTTGTTGCTCTTGTAGTTGTTGAGTTGCATTGCCATTACCTGGATCATGAGCAACTTGTCTTAAGGGTTGGAAGTTGACCTATCTTCATCTAAGAGCACCTCTATGGCTTCTTCAAGTAGGAAAGCCATAGATATGCGACCTACTAGATGGGGGCCAACTTTCAACCCGCCCTAATTGTTGGTCATCTCGTAGGAGTATTTGTGCCAGAGGTTTCGGTCTCAAAATAGACGAGCCTTGTTCTTGAAGAACAAGACGTTGTTGATCAACAACAGAAAATGCTGAAGTACTACCCTTTGCAGAAGATGCAGATGGTGCAATCTCTTGGCTCTTGTCCTTGTCATTAGCCTTCTTCTCCTTTGCTGCATGTTCTGTATGATCCTTAACAAGTAGTACATGTGCAACATGATCTTCAGGAGGACATTGCAGTCTAATATCCTTCCTAGGCAGACCCGGACCTGGAATGCATGTAGTAGGTGAAGAAGCCGACAATTTTTTCATTTCGACAGTAGCGGTCGTAGTTCCAAGATGGTCGTCGTCTGCTGCCGTGTGGGACAACGCAGCTCCTGCTCCTCCTGAACTGGTATAGTATCCGACCTTTTTGCTTGTGATTTGATTAGAGCTTGCCCTTCTATTCTTGTTCTTCCTCCGCTTTGACTCGTCTCAGAAGAAGAATGTTGAGCTTGAATGAGGTGCACCCTTGATAATGATACCCTTTCAGAGGAATGTTGAGGTGGTGCACCCTTGATAATGATAGATAGTACCCTTTACTCTCTTTCCCAATAAAGAAAATGAAAGGCAGCTCTTTCCTTAATGTGAGTCCTGTTCATTTGCGGCGTTTCCGTTACTGTGGATCTCAGGTGAACCAGATTGGGATTACTCTGCACTTTATGCACCAAATTCGGGTTACGTTGACGTTGGTGGAAGAAAGAGCATGAAAGAAGAGAGCGGAACCGGAGCTGATGGGGAATTCTATCGAGCCATTGATAGGGCGCTTTCCTGGCTGCATCATAAGTGAAAATTGATTGTGGAGCATTTGTTTTGACCTTGGCGGAGTAGCGCTTGTTGATTCTCAATCTTTCCTTCGAGTTCTACAATTTCATTGGCCTTAGAATTCAAGAAACTTACTCTTCCTAGGAGATCGTTCGAGTTGTACAAAAAAATATATTCCCAAAAAAAAAGTGGCCCAGACATAAAGTAGAATTGCTCTTCATCTGATCCTCTAACGCAGACCACGGGTTCGAGAGTAGTTCCTCCATCGTTGGTGATGAAATGTTATTTCTATGCGCAAGAAGTGTAGCAGTCTTTGCTGATGTCATGAAGCTGCCACTTTGATGACGAAAGATGAGTGGTTTAGGAGCTAGTGCAACAAAATCGCTAGGTGTCAAAAGCGAGGAGGAGGAAGCACGTCGAACGGGAGAAATTTTGCGTGGTTCTTGAGGTACTATTCCTCCGCTTGTCATAGTTGCATTATCTGTAGTATTGGTTTGCTGACTCGGGTTCTTCACATTTAGGGCATGATCCGAAGGTTCATAAGACGTGGCACCAGACGACCTCGCAATTGGTGCACCATCATGACTTGAAGAAAGAAACGAAGGAATTGAACCCGCTGAGGTCGTTGATGAAAGTTGAATCGCTCCAGCAGCCGTTGAGATCATTAAGCCTGTAGTTAATGCTCGCCCAAATCCATCTCGAGACGTCCCATCTTGTCTTGAAGATCTTATGCTATGGGACAGCTCCAAGATGCTTCAGAACCAGAAGATGGATCAGGGTGACGAGCCTTAAGGTACTAGGGAAGCCATTTTCATGTTGGCTGAGGATTCCATGTTGTTGAACAAGTATCTGGCTTGAGGAGCCTACAAGTGTTTGCCCTGAGGAGCCTACAAGCGTCTGCCCTGAACCTGTTCCCATTGTAGACCTCGACGTCGGCGAGGTACTCGTTCTACTCGATGAGACGTCCGATGGTGCTAGGAAGTCTTTACTACTTCCCCTCTGCAGAAGTTGCAGCTGATGTGCTGGGTGAGGGTGAGTCCTCGTCTCCGTCTGCGCACCTCCAGGGTAAGCAGAAGCTTGAAGATTGACAACATTACCTGTTTTAGAATGAAGAAGCCCATCTTCATCTTGATGAGCGTCTTTGTACTCGTTTCCCTTTCAGAAACGAGGCAAGATGCTTATGAGAATGGATTTCTGGTGCGAGTCTTACTTGTTGATGCAAACCCTGCTCCACTCCCATTTGTAGTAGTTGTGCTCGTCATCTTCATATTCGGGTCACCAGTCGCATTCTTGCAATCCAAGAACGGAGACGCATTGTGCAAGAACAAAGTCTCCTGGCTTCTGTGTGCCGGATATTCGATGCGTTGCGTCAGCTTCTTACGTTGATCTTTTCCGTAGAATTTCGGTAAGAACTTCACCAACCGCCCTCCTGGAGCAGGAGGACGTGTGCTAGAAAAATTTCTCCCATAGACCTCCTGGTAGAAGTCGTATTCGACACGACCACGACTTCTAATGCGCCCTTCAGCCTGTTCACGCTCCGACAGCCCAATCCAGGGCTTGTAGATTTTGCCTGAGAGTTAGAAGATCAAGATTGAAGATGCTTATGCTAGAGGTAGTACGAAATGGGATTTTTCAAGTAAACGTCCTACTTGAAAGTTATGCAACTACAACCTAAGTAATTATTGTTCCTCTTCTTTCATAATGTGCATTTATTTGAATTAGTCATTCAATCCTCTGTTTACATTGGTGCGACTACGTGTTCTTCTACGTCAGCACGACCAGCCACCAGCCTTAATCATTCGTGTACATCGTGACCTGTTCTTTTTCGTCCTTGTCTGCAGCGTGGCCAGCAACCACGTCCAATCTTCGGTACTGCCGCTCCTCGACAATCACCTCATCGCTTTCCTCTCTTGTCAAAAGCAAAGTGTCTTCTTCTTCTTGCTCATCTTGTTCACCCCGCTGTGAGGCGAGGCCAGGTGCTGGTGGGTGTAGAACGTCCATGATCTTCGTGCCTGGTTGTAGTGGCTCGGGTGGATAGACGTCTGATGAACAGGAAGGTAGGATTTCTTCGACAGGCTGCTTCTCAGTCGCCTCAGGAGATGCAATCTCTTCATGTGCTGCATGGCCTACCGTTACGGCCGTTGAAGGAACCTCCATCCTTCCTCCTGTTGCGAAGTCTGCTTGCTCCGGTGACGGTTCTTCGTCGACCTGTGCCGAGGAAGATGCGCCTTCAGACGACGTCATGATAAATTTTTGCTGAAAAAATAGGGAAAATCGAAATGCTCAAAAAGTCAAGAAGATAAAGACTTGTGAAATCTCCTGTACGACGATGAAGTAGATACTTAAAAAAGTCTGGTCTTTCTTCAGCTGATGAGCATGATCTACTTTGACTATCTTCCATAGAGTATCAGTATCTCCTGTGCAAAGATTTTTCAAATGTGATGATGTACACGGACTTCTACATCTACAAGCAACTTCTATATAAGTATATGACAGAGGATTAGAATCCATATCCAAACTAAGAATCAATGTTGATATCATTAGCATTATGCAAGTAGTAGAACGAAGCGAAAAAGGTAGAAGCACGAGGAAAAAGTCAATAACAACGACTACGGCTACATGTAACATTGAAGATCATCTGCATTAATATAATCAAGTGTCGGGGGGTTGCACTTGCAAAAGATACTTAAGTTAGGGGGTCGTGCATTATTATTTATCATACCTTTTTACCTACTAGCGGGCTCTATGGGACAAAATGACACCGGTTTCCATCTCTTCTCAGCCATCACAACTTTGCTCGCACTCTCTACTCAACTCGAACTCTCTGGCGAAGGCAGTGTCGATTGCTTCTTCTCATAGGAGCAACGCCAAGGTTCTACACTGGTGAAGTCGTGACACACACAGAAAAAACTCTCCCCCGAAGAGTGTCAGTCATCTCTGTACGGTTCAATTTGGCTTCTGTAGAAGTTACTTCTTTTTTCGGACAGAGCCCTGCTGACAGATTCTTTCTTTCTTAGTCGTGCCTTGCCGCCATTCGCCATCAAAGCCCGCCTAGTACTCACTAATCAGTCGCACTTGTTCTCAGGACTGCAATATTGATTTTGATGTTACTGTTACTACCTGGCACCAAATTTGTGGAACTTTGAAAAGCAAGTTGATGTTTCACCAGTTTATGGTACAACTTATCTTATGATTATGTACATACCTATTAACGAAAAAAATCTGTATGTATCGGAAGTCGTGACAGGCCGTGATGTGGGATGCGCGTTCAAATGTCATCGCCCCTTACTTTGGTCACTATCTTCGACTGCGGGAGGCCCTACTTCGTGCTCACAGAGAGACTACAAGACAAAAAAAGAAATATCAACAATAAATATAGAGCAGTTTCAGTTATTCGTTGTATCACAGTACATTCAAGTTGTAGAACAGCTATTCGTGTCCGAGTAGAACTATATCATATCGGGTACAGGTAATCGCATTCATCAAGCTTCGATCAGTCGAAGTCAATTCAGTCCAGTATCTTGGATGATCCGGGTAACAGCCCTCTTGTTAAGGCTTCTATGAGCACATATTACAACAGGTCATTATAAACAAGAATATACATCAACTTGTCAACGAAAAACAGTTTGAGGTTATATACAGCTTGTCAAGCTTTAGGTGGTTATAATAAATAAACGAAAATGTAACTGATGTAGAAGGACGATGACCAAATCCATCATGCAGTATCTCCAGATCCCGTAGGCAGTAGTATGTTCGTGCTTTTACTCACGCAGCTTTGTTCTGCTGCCTTATTTTTAACAGAAAAGTGTCAAGATAGATTGACTCAAATTTACAACTCACTACATGATCAGTCAGAACAAACACAATGAGTGAATGGCTCTGGTATTTGGTAACCTGAATTTGATCCTAAGGGAAAACAAGAAGAGAACCCTTAGGATCAAACTCAGGTTACCAAATGCCAGAACCATACAATGAATGGTTAAGATGTTCTTGACACTTATATATATTATAGATCATTCATATCATCGTCAAGTAATAATAGGGTAACAATGAAACTCACATCAAGGAGCTACAGCTTGCTACCTACGTCCTTAAAAAATTTTTTTAAGTCAAAGAAATCCGTTAATTCTCACGACGAACCCTTGGCTAGCAGGTATGTCAATAAGCTCCGACCGGGCACTGTGGAGAATGCTTTTGTCCACCTTTTCCCTGACTTCCACCTGCAGCTTCTCTAGTGGGTCCAAGTTCTTGTTCTGGATGAAGATCGTTTCCAGCATCTCAAGTCCCGTCTCGTGAATTGGACCGTCAAAAAGTCGCCCACCCTTCAGCCAAATCTTAATGCCGACGGGGATGTACCTGGATCAATCTTCAAGGGGTATGGAAGGGACATGGACATAGAGGGCGGGAATGTTGGAGGGGAGAAGCTCCTGCGAGACGAGTGAAAGTAGTACTAGATCATTCATAGTCATACGGATATTACCGCTAGTACAATCAATTAGCAAGCAAAATAGGTGGAAGTGATCTTGTAGCTTCTGATCATTCCTAGGTAGCAGTGCTGGCATTCCTTAAAAAATGTTGTAGTAGTACCCATGATTCTGCACTTCGATTCCGTCAGGCGGTCCCCCCAAATGTAAAGAAACTCCACAATCCAGCCTTGCCAGCGTATGGATACTGGTTTTTGCAGCATCGATTTGAGCAATGCTGACCTTCTCTAGGAAAAACTTGAGACTACATTTGAAATAGTCACTGGGAACCGGCATGTATGATTTTTCAGGGTCCTCGTCTTCCTCTGACTCTACTTCTACTTCTTTTGAGGCCTCATTAGTGGTCTTCTCAGCCTCTGTCGTCTTCTCAGCCTCTGTCTTCTTGTCGTCCGTCCTCTTGGTGTCGTCTTTCTTAGCACTGCTGGGTGATGGAGGAGCGTCTTTGCCCGCTTGGTCCTTACTCTGCCTTGCTTCAGACGAAGCTGAGGTTGCATTCTTTCCTCCACTACTAGAGTTAACCACAGTGCTTTTAAGCTCCTCATTCAATTTTCTGTCTGCCTCCCCATCTGGATCCTTCAGAAGTTGGCTTTTGTCGACTGTGACAGTTTGAGGAACTACTATGTCCTCAACCTCTTGTGCAGAAGACTTGTTGTTCTGTGACTCTTCAGCGGCCAGAAGATGTTCGACATCTACTGCGGACGCTGAGGATTTCTTCTCGTCTTCTTCATCTTCTTGTTCTTAGAGTCCATATATAATAGACGATGATGTTGGAAGTACAAGGGTTCTCCTGTCCAGATCGGTGGGTATTAAATATATTTTATAAGGTAGGAGTCTCTTGTAAAAAAAGAACACCAGGCAGCTAGCCTTAATCTTCCTCCTCGCTACTGCTAAAAGAGCCCATCGCGCCACCGAAAGCATCCATAGCAGACTCGTGGATCATGCCTCCATAGTCGGTTTGCTCTGGCTCTTGTTGATTCGGCGCAATATCAGGACTGGTGCCTTCGCTTCCCGGTGACTTCATCGCGTCAGGATGCTCCTTTTTGTTAGAGTGACGAGCCGTCTATAAGCCGTATAAGAGCGGACTATTGCAGGATATCTCAATTACGACTTGTTCAGCAGACTCGTGGATCATGCCTCCTTTATTTCGAACTCGACGTCCATCCTCAGAAAGACAGTTCTCGTCTTGAAAACGTCTCTCCTACCTAGGTCAGTTTTAGACCAGGGGCCTTGATTTTTATTCTTATTCGGAAAAGGTACTAACTTTGGATCTTATATGGGAAAGGTTACGCAACGCAGTGCAGTGGAAGAAGGAGTTTCGTTTCCCATAGAAGTAGACGAGGAGAAAATCTATGAAGAACTACAAGGTACTGCTGAACAAGTCTTAATTGAGATATCCTGCAATCCTTGGTCGGAGGAGCCAGTCGGAGAAGCCAGAAGTTCAGACGTTTTCTTGTCAGGATTCGTCTCGTCTCGTCTCGTCGAGGCAGCTACTAACTTATTTGCCTTGTCTGCAGTCGTTCCAACAGGAGAAGTCGCCGTAGGTTCACGTGGTGCGCCTCCACCACCTCCTCCCGTTGTTCCTTTGTTGGCTGCTGCTGGAGACGTTGTAGGGGACGAAGGTTTCGAAGATTGAAGAGGACTACCAGTTGTACTAGTCTTTTTAGATCCAGCACCTTGCTTCTTCTTTCGAGCAGGACTAGTGCGCTTAGCAGCTTCGTCTTTCTTCTTTTTTTCCTCCTGCTTTTGTTAGAAGAGCTCGTGCTCGCCCAAATTCATCTTGAAAGCAGAAGCAATCTCTGGTGACGTGGTCGCGCCTACTTCCCCTTGAAAAAGAAAATGGGCTCACACTCACCGTCCTCACGGATGCTTCTCAAGATGAATTCAGGTAGGAAGCCTTAGTCTTTTTTTCGCTTCTCTGCCTCCTCTCTCTCCTTTTCTAGCTTCTCCTGCTTCTCCTTCTGCCTCTTCTCCCTCTCTGCTTGTTTGTCGAGGATATGCTGCGGCAGCTGCGATTAGAGCGATCCTGAGAGGGCCATCCTTGAAGACCCCTTTTTCTAGTCATGTCATGGCGCCTCTTCTGTAGCTATTAGTGTCTACTTGTGAGGCCAACCACAACCAGTGCCTCCTTGTCAGGCTAATATATTGTCTACTTGTGAGTACCTCGATAGGAGGGCAAGGATGATGTTCAGGAAGATGCAGTCTGCGATGTCTTAACGGTAGGGTACTTCCAGACACGTGACTTGACCTGGCCAAAGCACAAAATCCTCACCGAAATTCTTCGCAATCGCGGAGAACCCCTGCAAGAGCGTCTTCGAAAGAGGATGACTTGTTATTAGACCTTCGAAAAAGGATGGCTTGTTATTAAACCTATGCGTGATATTAACTGGTAAGCGCGAGATAAGAGCCGGGAAATACAGGCAAGGATAGCAGAACTATTTCCTAGGATGTTCACTTTGTGTTAGTAACATCTGGCACAGCTGATGTATCCTTCATCGTATTCAGGTAACTAGAATGTTTTTCAGGGAAATGCCTTCCAGGGATCGGACAGAGATGACTGACTTTGTTGTCATGCAACGACCTCGAAGATGAATCACTATCACCTACACTTCTCGTAATGTCAGAACGTAGCCCACTGTCTTTTGAATCACTCCATCTTGACTTTCGAAATGTAGAGTGACGCAGCGACATGTCTGATTGGCTACTAAAATCCTCTTCTTTTTCCCAGTTTGAAACGATGTCGCCTGTTCCTCAAAAGCGTCGATCCAAGCCGATTCAGTCATCGTAGATGAAATTCGTCCTGGAAAAATGGTAGAGTTTGAGCCCCCATCGCTTGTCAAAGGCAAACCTGCTGTGATACTTAGAACTTCCCGTAATCCAACAACATCTTGAAAGTCATCCTGGCCTTGTGTTTCCGTTCGAAAAAGGTCCCAAGATGCTTCTGGGGATGGATTACCTGAAGTAGCCATAAAATGCAGTAACCTCTTACTTTTCTTACGTGGTTCCTCAGAGACCCTTTGCGAAGTTGTGTTATCGGTGAGACTGCTGTGTTGGCGAGAGCGGAGTTGATTGTCGGAGAAGCCATTACCCCTGCGGTTGCTATCCCTAAGCCTGTATTAGAGGAGCGCCGGGTTTGCTCCAATCATAGAAGAAAGAAGGAGATACATCTACGCACTGTATTGATATTTCGTAAGTTCTCATGTAGGGGTAAGGTAAAAGATTTGAACTACTGAAAACGCTCGTCGTGCTCCGATTCTAAACAAATGACTCTTCTTAACTGTATTAACCACCGGGCTGCCAGGATACATCTCCGCAGGATGCAGATTTTTGGCCACAGGGGATGCAGCTGACACTACCCCGCCACTCCTGTTGTCTTCATCGCGAGCACTCGGAGGGGCAGAGTTGACTGATGCCCCATTTTTAGAACTAAGAGAAATCCAGCTTCGGTCTCATCCTGGTTCCCGATCCCGTTTTCCCTTTAAATAAAACTGCGGGAACAAGATCATGCTACAACAGATGATCAAGATGGATTTCAATTTCTTGTAGCCTTACCATTAGTTTCCAAAGCAAGAGGGCCAAGTGCCTTCTCATCAATCACCGGGCACACCCGATTCCGCAGCGTCGCTACACTATCGTCCTGGAGGATAAGAAAACGAACGTCTTCGGACATCCAGAGCATGATATTGGACACGGCCCACACCTCTAATGCGCCTGGCACCGGCAAAACCATACCAGTCATGAGGCCAACCAGGGTGTACTGAATTTTGCCGGCCACCGTTTCTCCCGGTACGTGCTGGATGCCAAGGGCCTCTTCTGTCCTTGACGCAGTTGTGGTGCCACTAGAACCTTTTGCATTGCTGTCCCCGAGGACTTGTGGTCCAGCACCTGTTGCACCAGAAGTTTTTGTACTAGTGTTGCTACCTGAAGCTAATCCTTCATCTCCTCCAGCATTTGATGATCCAGCATTTCCATCCACCTCCGCAGCAGCTCCCTTATTGAATTCTGCTACACGAGTAACGCCAGGCTTCGTCTCGCTCTCGAGGGATGGTGCTGCAGTCCCGTCTTCTACAGCAGCTGCTGCAGGAGCTCCTAGCTTAATTGTCGGTATCCCTAAAGTCAAAACCGCTTTCGTCAAGCTTAAGCGCTTCTGCTGTGCCAAGTAAGCCTGTGTAATCGCCTTCAGGCACTGCAATAAGTCCGATTCCTTCTGCAATACATGTGCCAGGTCTACGCCATGCAGGAGATAGTCAGCAACTCGCAAAGCTTCAGGGAGATAGGAGTTAGAGGAAAAGTGGCACGACTAGCAGGACACATTAAACACTTCTGATCGATCATTAGATGAATTAGTTGTATCCTATTTGTATTTTTAGTATCTATACTTATAATCTTTCTTATGTCATCGTTATTTGCACTTGTAGTTGTCCAATTGTTGAACACAACAAAACTTCTCTGAGGACTGTAACAACAAACAACATCTTCGATCTAATTGTGCAGTGATTTTAAATCTAAGTCTATGGGTCTCAAGCTCATAAACTCCTGCAACGCATTCGTCCACGCGTCACTCCACGCATCACTTTTTTCCTGCCATTCTTGTCGGATTTTCGAATCTGCGCCATCGTCACCCTCCTTCAAGCAGGACAACACCCCATCCCACAGATGTGCGAGACTTGCCCGTTCCATCCAGTGCAACACGTCGTGAAGCAATTGTAGTAAAGTCTTGAGAACGTATCCGTGACCTAAGGCGTTGACACGTTCTCGAACGGTCACTGAATTTGCCAGAAGTTGCCTCTTGCTACCCGTGGGTGGTGAGATGGGTGCCACACTGACCCTAGTATTCTCTGACGTGGATTGCTCCTTGTTGGAAGACGAGGAAGCTGCTGGTGCTGATGCCTTAATAGTCGCAGAAGTAGATGTTGTGCTTGTATTGGTGGCACTAGGTCCATTCGAACTTGAAGAGGATGTAGTTGGCTTTCCCGTGTAACCTGAGATTCCCGGAACTTGAGATTGAGTTGTTGCTGAATTCGTTAGGCTCACTCGCCTCCGACCTTCCCCACCAGGAGGGGCACTCAGTCCAGGTATTATTATAGCCTTCGCATCGGCACCAACAGGCGTGGAAGGAACAGAGCTGGTCGCTATTGTGGTAGTTAAAGGTCAGCAGTCATTGGTCACTGACTCTGAACGGGAGGGGCTCAACAACATCTCTCATCTACTTGTTTTCCCTCACTTTTTTTCGCTGTTCTCTCAAGGGAGCCCTTTTCGATTTCAGTGACCCCAATCCAAATGGTGACCAATGAAAGTTGAGCCTTAAGGTAGAGTCGTCCTCAGTGTTGGCGATAGATGATGGTCTTCTAGAAGCCCCACCACCCATTGCCGTCCTACCACCAGGCCCTTCCTCTGGCGCATTCAGTGTGCTCTTGTCTAGCACAGTGTAGTCTCTGCTAGTAGATTTTGAGACAGTACTTGTCTCCAAGTCGTCCACAGTGATCTCACCTGCACTTGTCTCCAAGTCAGCTAACTCCATATCTCCTTCGGCTAAAAATTCTTCAACCGTCGCGGCTCGACGACCAGCTAGATTAGCGAGTGCAATACAATTAATCTCGCACAAAGTTCAGTGCAGACTGCCTTAAGGGCGTCATAGATGGTCTTCACGATGGAAGATCTCACGCAAAGAATATTGATTATTACTCCATGATCTCAAGAAGCTGAGCATAACTGGACAAGCATTTGCGGGCCGACCGCCAGTATTCTTCTTTCTGCCACTAACCTCAACCCTCGGAAACTCCTTACGCCTATCATCATCATCATCCCCAGTAGCAGAGGATGAAGACGAAGACGAATATGATCCAGATTCTTCTTCCGCATCATTCGCTTTGTTTGTATTGTCGTCATCTTGTCCTCCGTCGTCGCCGCGGTCAATGGTCTTCGTAGTAGGACTAGTTGATCTCCTTGCTACGGCTGCATCAAGACCTAGACTGTCGACGTTTGGTGGCTCTACTAACGTGAGTTCATTGCCCTGCTCCCCACCCTTTTCCTCTTCGCCAGCTCTATGATCGGCTGGGGACGATGGTGCTATCCATTGATCAACTTTTACCAAGTTGTCTTTCCTGGTGTTCTTTTTTTCGAGGGTTTTATCAGATTCTGGTACCCCACCTGAGGGCCCTGCACCTGCAGCTGCAGCTGTGGTTCTTGAAGATGTGGCACTACTTGTGTTAGCACTCGCAGCTGGTGCCAGTGGTACCTTCACTGATTTAGCTCCAGCAGCCTTAGCGCTGTTATTGACTGCACTGGTCCCTTGCAGAGGATTCTTATTGGGCGACGATCCACCACGCGCTCTTCGGTAGATCTTGTTCAGGAAATCGTTGAAGCGCATTAGCCAAGCTTCCGGATTTTCGAACAGGAAGTCTTCACTATCGTTCAGCCTAAGAGCGATTTGGTAGCGCGTTAGTCGTTCCTGCTCGAGCAGTTGTAGCCGCTCACTACGACGAGGTAAGTATTCTTGGGTATCCTCTAGAAGATGAAAGTTTGAAGCAGTCACAGTAACGCCGCCTTTCGAACTTCGATTCCTTGGCGAGCTTCCTCCGCCTCCTGTCGTTGCAGCACTGGTCGAAGATGCTCCCCGAGAAGAGGAACTGCTACTTCCACCTGCTTGCTCGTTCAACACTACTGCACCTGAAGTAGCAGAGGCTCCTGATGCTCCTGTCGTTGTACTACTCTTGCTGTTCGCGACTGCAACACTTGTACCTCCTGAAGGAGTGTTTGTGTTGTCCTTCTTATCCCCTTGCGGAGGGGACGATGAAGACTTTTGTTGTTGTGCTTCTGGACCTTCCTGCAAGCTACTTGTCCCCCTGTCAGGAGACACACCATCGCCATCCTCTCTCAGCCTCCTATTTCTCGACGACGCAGAAGTTGAATTCTCTCCTCGTCCACCACCACTAGTTATTGCCCTATCCCTGTCTTCATATCTTGCCATCATAGCCTCAAATTCCGCTTCCTCATCCTCGTCTACAACTAGGTTCCTCCCTGGCGTCCGCCGCAAGTATTTCACATGCCCTTTCTCAATCTCGTGCGTCACGAACCAGTGCAACGCGAACCGGAGACCCTTGAACAAGGGTGGCAAGTTCCGTTTCCCGTACGTGTTGTATTCTAAGATGTCGTCCACCACTAGACGGGTGCCTTTTTTACCACCAGTAGCTGCACTACCTGCTCTTTTGTTGCGTCGAGAAGCAACTGTGCTGGATTCAGCCTGAAGATCATCCGCACCAGAGGACGAACTGTTGCTACTCGAAAATTGGTCTTTTCTCACCTTGTTCGTCGGACTAGAATCCCCCTTTGCCACTGTGGTCATGTCTTCTTGAGAACTAGAGGACTGAAGTGCAGCTTTATTTTTCGCCTTGGAAGAACTACCTGATGTAGTAGTAACAAGATCTTCATCTGCCTTCCTCTCCTTCACAGCTTCAGCTGCCTTGTCAGCACTTTTCGTTTTTGCGCTACTACCTAAGTTCCCCACGTACTCTAAAATCGGCATCAGCCCACTGCGTTTTGGTGCGGCCATTGTAGCGCGGTCGCCGAAGGTGATCTCCGTATCTAAGGATTCTCCCCATCCGGCACAGCTAAAGGCTTCAAATTCGAGCACTGACTACATCCATCATAATATAACGAGCATCTACTTGGAGCAGCTGTACAGGACTTCTTGTTGAAAGACTAACCCGCTAAGATGCTTCTGAAGATGGACTCTTATGGTTCGCCTTAATTAATGGACACTTTATAGGTCCCTGGCACGTGGAAGTCTGGTAGTTCCCATGTCGTGTAGACTCCATGTTTCGAGTCCTTTTCTGCCTTGAAGTTACGGAAAGCGAACCTTTTCCGTAACTTCTTGTCCATCTTGGGTGGAGGCTTGATATTCTTAGTGTTTGTAGCAGCTGAAAACTTCTTGGAAGAAAGTGGCGCTTGAGCTAGACTCGAAGGAGCTGTGGCTGATAGTTTCGCAGTAGCTCCAGTTGGCGAAGCGCTACCTCTTGGTGGTTCATCTCTGTTTCTGCTCGTTGTTCTTGAATCTTCCTCGTCTCCGCCAGTGCCAGTCATGTCCTCCGTAGCAGTATCTTCAGTCCCTGAAGTAGAAGAAGCTGAAGCTTCTGCAGCTTGTGCTTGGGTCTTGGAAGGAGAAGCTTGTTTATTACCTGAGACAGACTTGGCCGCAGGACTTTTTGGCGTTGTCGCGCCTTCCTTTATGGCCGTATCTGCAGTCGACTTAGACGACGCTGCTGAAGAAACTCTACCCGACGTACTAGAAGTGGTTGTCGTATTTTTCGTTGCCACAGGTGCTGCTTTTTTTAATTGGTATTCGACGAGACACGCCAGCACTGGAGCATCGCGTAACATGTCTTGGACGTCAAAGCGCAACGTAGTAGCACCAAAACACCTGGCATTGAACGCCTTCCTCGGCACCGGAGCCGTTTTAAAGCCTGTGGTGCATTGTACTGTAGGTCCTGTTCCCACTGCGTTCTTAGGCGTGATGCGATAGATGTAACTTTTGTTAGGACTAAGCCCTTGAATTAGGCTTTTCCATTCGCGAGTCTGCAAATCTTCTCCCTTAGCATAAAACCATTTGGAAAAGACGCCGTCTTCACTCACTTGTACGGCGCACTCGGTAACCGGGCACCCTTCAGGGTCATCGGCAATCCACCGAATCTTGGCGCCGTAGCCTTGGGTACCGGTAACCTCGAGTGGCCTTTAGAAGACATCAAGGGGAGGGGAAACATGCGAAAAAATTAATTCTGTAGTGAGACTTACCGCCTCGTCCGCCTAGTAGTATCAGTCTAAGAAATATTTTTGCTCAGTACAGTTCAAAACTCATCCATAATTGTAACACGACCTTGGTGGCAGACTGGTACCGGCAGTGACGCTTTTAGACCATGGTGAACGGCCGCAACTGTTGACTGCGGCTACTCTATAGGTGTAACGAGAGTCTGGATTGAGATCGTAGAAGCAGATCTTCCACAACTGTGTCTTCTTCTTCAGAGTCTGCAGTTGTCGTTCTTGTTGCTCGAGGGCGGGCGTCGTGGCTGAGTTCCTAATTGATGAGGTGGAAGGTCTTGAAGATGTCCCCGCAGCGTCTCCAATAGCAGCGTGGTTACTAGTGGAGGCTCTAGTACTACCTGTACCTGTATCCATTGCATTAGCAGCATTAATAGAACTGGAAGTGCCACTACCAGGTGTTTCTAGTTGTACGATTTTTGTGACAATGCTCTTCGAGACACGCTCCCACCCACTCCATCCGACTTCGACTTCGGCTTGTAATCGCGTGACTTCAGACCCATCGGGTACGTTGGTGGTACACAAAATCGACACTGAGGTTGGACTCTTCTCCACTGTCCTCAAGCCCCAAGGCGCTAAGGGCGTACACGATGTAGACAATGGAAAAACAGGCGAAAACCCTATGCAAGACTGATAGATCTGAGAATTGAGAAGACTGCTGTTATCTTTCAAACTAGGGATCAGCTCCACGCGTGCTCGAAAGGTCTGATTTGGCATCAACTTCTCCAGTGACGTAACGAACTCTCCGCCACCGGGATATATCCTGGGTGTAACCTCGACACAGTGCCAGACACCCTGTGTTCTCGTCGCTGCTGCGGTAGTCACTGTGGCTCTGGTAGTTGTTATGCCCTGCTCGTCTTGCTGCAGTTCCCCTCCTCCCGACCCTGAGCCTGGTTTCGAGGCATCTAGTATGGCCGAAGAGCTACTACTTCGCTTACCACTTGGCGCTGGAGTCGATACGGCTGCTGCGGAAGTAGAAGATCCACCAGCAGAAGCAGCTGTGCTAGACGTTGTACTAGAGCTAGTCGAAGGATTTGTGTTGCTACCTGCACTACTATTGCCGGCTGCTGTGCCAGCACCTGCTCCAGCAGCATTCTCTTTTGACGAAGGTCTGTTCTTGGCACCTTTAGCCTCTTCTTGTTCGTCCTCGGCAGCTGGAGCTGCTGGTGGGCTACAACTGGGTGAAACTACAATGGGCGCATTCCCTCCACTCGGTGCCCCGAGAGATATACTACTGAATTCAAGCTTGCAGCGTTCAATCGAGAGACCTTGATCCGCCGCATGCTGAAAAGCACAACGGAGTAGAATACTGTGGGGACCAGGCTTCGCAACAATGTTGATCCGGATTTGCCGTTCCGGTTTGGAGGTGGAAGAAGAGCTGCCAGAGGACGAAGGGCGACGCTCCTCTGTATTAGACGTAGATGATGACTGTTGTTCTTCTTCGAAAATTTCGATCTTACTGATATTTTGATCTGTGCTAGGAACAAGAGTTTTTTCATGTAGCTAGGGAATTGAGTAGATTATGAACTATCATGAGTAAATTTCCTCTCCTTTGAACTTGAACTCGATGAAGATGTAAAAAGCCGTAATATTAGGCACCGGCTTGACAAAATCGACGTAGTTGTCACCAAAACCCACACTGCCACCTGATGCTGCATGGTCGACAAAACTAACACCAGCAACTACGTCCGGTCTGACTGCCACCACAGGCGGCGAAGTTGTCAATGGCAGTTCTTCTGTGTTGATCATCCGTGATGACTTCCCGGAAGAAGATGATGAGACTATTTCTGTAGGTGTCCCATGAGGAGTTGGACCTTCAACAGCTGCTGCAGTATTAGTTTCAAACGGAGACTCAGACGTTGAAAAATTTGAAGTATTTGAGGTAGGAGAAGCACTACAACTAGGAGTAGTTGATGATGGCGCGGCCACAGAAGTCTTGTTATCAAGACCACTTCTAGTAGCTGCACCTCCGCCCCCAGATGAGTCTTTATCCTTGTTGTTGTCTCCACTCGTGCCTCGCGTGAACAGACTCTTCGCTCCAGAAAGCAACGACTGCACGACGATTTTAGGTTTCGAGGGTATACTTGCGTCATAGTAGGCGAAATCACTAGCCCCCACAGCGTTTATCAACGAAAATCTTAATCGTATTTGTGTTCCGGCGAATTCACTGGCTGTAGACAGAGTCGGCAACGCTACTCGCCATGCATCGGCTTCAAGTTGTAGCACCATTAGAAGACCCTCAAGAAGCTGCTGAAAATGATAATTCTGAAAGAAATCTGTCAACCTGGACGAGGACTCGTAGTTTTTCCTTTCCTGCTAGATGAAGGAAGGTCCGAGTCCAAGATGTAGCTTCTCAAGATGGATTTTGCTTTCCAGCATATGAAGTCTTAACACTACCTTCGCACTGACCTCATCCCACGATGTTAAAATTAAACCAAAGTAATTCGCTCTTTCGATTTTGACACCCTCGACCGGCGCCCCTTCTGGATCCACGCACCGCAATTTCATCACTAAATGCCCAACAGAAGCAGGAGACTTTCCTGGAGATGCTTGTCCTGAAGAGGTGGAGAGGTTGTCTCCTCTACTAGGTGCAGATGCATTCGATGAATTCGTATTCTCTAATGCAGCAGCTGCTCCACCTCCTGCAGTGCTGTCTTTCTGGTCTGTTGTACTATTACTTACGCCTGCACCCGTACTACCCCCTCCTGCTTTTTCTGATTTGCTTTTTCTCTGAGGTGGTGGTCCACGGTCGACGACGTTTCGGAAGCTCATGTTTAAAGATAGTCCGTCACTCTCTCTGCTTGAGTGAATTCCCTTCCACCTCTAGTTTCAAATGTCTACTTTCAAATTATAGGGTTCCTCTAGCTTCAAATGTCTACTTTCAAATTATAGGGGAAAAATTCACTACTTGGGGACAGGAGAGTGAGCGACTTCTTCTACCCTTAACAGTCTCTTGTCCTCCTCCAGTGACAGTATCTTGCCACGTCCTGCCGTGGCAATTTCGAAAGGCTGACAATAGTCTCCCATGCCCACACAATTTCTTGCACGGACGCGAACCCAGTACACCTGATGTGCTTGCTGGTTCAGATGAGTGAGGACGAATTGGAGGAACAGCGGTAGTAGAAGTCGTTGTTCTCAGAAAGGAAAAAGATACATGTTGTAGCTTGTTCTTGATCTAGCTTCTGCAAGAACTGTCTATACAACTAGACATCTTAGAACTTAAGTCAGTAAAAAAAGGACCACCAATCTGTAGGATGCATGCAAATCGTATTATCCGGGAAAAAAGCAAATTCAAATTCTCAGACGAGAATGAACAGGTTGGACGATGTCAAAACATATATGCGATTCGCGTGTATCACAACATGTGATCTCTATCTCTATGGGTAAGAAGTACGCTTTCCGGTGTCAATTGCGTCACTATCAAGCGATTCCCCTTGATGATGATATCACGCCATTCTGGATTCCAAAGCTGCGACCAATTCGGCGCCTCCGAAAACTGCGCTTGATAATCATCTACTGCAGGTGGCAAGTCTTGGAGGTCGGATAGAAGCAGCATATTGCTCGCTGAATTCGGTGCTGTCGAGGTGAGACTGGTGCTGAAAATAGCATTGTTCAAGCCCGGATCTTTCGACAAATCCAAGCCGTCCACATCCCAAGAGACGCTGACTTTATGCGGGAATCCCCACCACCGCTTTATTCTTGGCATACTAGGTCGTTCTGTCTTAAAAAAAGAACAAGTTCTTCTTGATGAAACAGTTGTAGTTCATTTCATCTTGCAGCCGGTTTGAAGAAGTGGCAGTGACAATGCTCCTGTTGGTAAACAAGATGAACAAATGAAATTATGTTTCCAAAGATCAATGGTCCATAACTGTGGGGTAAACCCAGAGAATGTCGGAGCATTCACCGTATTTCTCAAAGGCATTGCGGTCAACGGCAGTTGTGGTCAGAATGTCTCGTCCGGTGTAATTGATCCTCTCCGCAGGGACTGAAACCATGCGGGCTCTAGGAGTACTAGAACCAGGAGTGGTCTTTAGTATCATGCCAGTGTTTGTTGATGATGTTGCTCCACTGGTAGATGTTGTTGCTACGGTGTGCCTGTTGCTTCTACTTGTGGACCCTGCGCCGGACGCGCTACTGGGCTTACCTGCTGTCGTGGTCCCTGTACTATTAAAGGTGGAAACCTTTTTTCATTTTCTAGTTGTAGCAATCTCAAGTAGAGAAGGCTTGTAAAAATGAAATGTTTCAAACCTTAATACTCGTAGTGGAAGTGGAGGTTCCCCCACTGGGTTTAATATTCGTTCCACCACCTCCTACATTTCCATTTGCTTTACTAGAAGACTCACCAGTTGCTGTTGCACCACCAGTTGTGTCTTCACGAGAGCCACTTTTGTTTCTGCTCAAGGGATTGAATCCTGTAGTTGTTCCACCTTGTTCGCCTCCTCCACTTTGCGCACTTTGTCCGGCAGTAGTACCAGCACTACCACTCGCTCTTGAACTACTTCCTCTTCTAAACGCCGAAGTAGAAGATGAAGCCGGCCCATCCCCTACCTGGATCAATGCCAATCCGTCTGTTGAAGACGCTTCACTGACACTGGATCGGCCTCTTGAGGAGAGCGAAGTAGACGAAACACTTCCGGCTGCTATGAAAGAAAAAAGGGTATCAACATCCTCACAAGAAAAGAGACAGGTTTCTAAGTACTTACTTAGAAACAAGTGTCTTCTAGTTTCTTGAGAACAATCTTGAGAAGTACGCTTTTTCCTGTCATAGCTGTTGAAAGTGAGTTAGTGCTTGTTCCTGTAGGTACGAAGTCCTTGCGACGAAGCATCTGCAGTCGAATCTCCGATGGCGTCGGTACGTAAACCTTGACGCTGTACTCGTTTCTTTTCCTGTCCTCGAGCTTCAAATCCCTTGTTTTCACCTCTGCAAATCCGAAGAAACCGTTTTGTTCTGCAACTACGATCACCTTTTCTTAGAGCTCATATTACTCTATTTAATATCCATCCTGTAGAAGATCTCTCAAAAACTCTGGCGACCTTTTTACCTTCTTGAAATGAAAGCGTGCCCAAGATAGATCTACTAGGTTATGCTTCTAGTTCTAAAAATTCTAAAGATCATGGATAGGAGAACTTGAACTAGACAAGCCTTAATTTTCCCTTAGGACTTGTGCTGGCGCTACATGCTCTCTGGGTAACCGAAAACGGACCTTGGAGCCTCCTGGAAACCCAGTATGCCTCAAGTCGAAGGCGTGCGCTTCCCTTCGGAAGTGCGCGGTGCCATCAGACACCATGTTCAGACGGTCGAGAGCGATCATTCTCTTGTGACAAGAACTTGCTGTTTTAATAGTAGTTTTTTGTGAAGATCATGTGAGTGATGTGTAACTGTAAGTAGGTGTAGGTGTACTTCTAGCAGTTGTACGGAATTCTCAAATCATGCTTTTCTTGTTCAGTCTGTTTTTTGCTTCTTGATCGAAATGAGCTGCTCCTACGTCTTGTTCTAGTACTTCAACATCTGAATAAAGTCCAACGATCTTCTACTGAAGATCTATCGTCCGCAGCTGTGAGTGTGACGCGACGTATTTTAATTCTTCATTTTGCTATGATTTTTCTAGGTCTTCCGTGATGTGGTCCTTGTTCCACATAGCATGCTTACAAAAGTTACATTGCAGCTGCCGCTCTCCAAATGAATGATTTTATTTCTTTGGCCTCATCAAATTAGCACGACGCAATGGAGATACCCGTTTTGATTTCATCCTCCTCAGTGTCTGTCTTCTTTACTCCTCTCTCTCGAAGATTGGCGTGAGATAGTAACATTGTCGCAGCGAACAAATCAAGAATGGCAGAAGCTGCGCTTTGATTTCGCTATAGAATTTCCTCGAGGTGTAGAAAGCCTCGATATTATAATTATCGTCTTTTCCAATCTGTATGTTCAATCGTCTGATTCCTTTCATCAAAGCACGGAAAAATCGTAGTTATAGATAGACCAAAAAATAAAGGTGCAAAAGCAAATTGAAATTTCCTCAACATCTTCTTCTTGAACATATGGAAATAATTGCTCGGTCTGCAACTCCATCTCGATGTTACTAACAAGTGGGTCTCCGTTATGTTGACTAGCGCTGGCGCCTTTCTGCTTCCTCGACTGCTTTTCTTTCAAGATGAAAAATCATGATCTAAGTAGTCAGAGTAGGAGCGGGGGCTCTTCGACGTCGAGTAGATGAACCATTTGTTGTTGGAAAATATTACAAGAATTTTTCGGAGTCATGATCATCGTCACCTCTAGAAGTTGCTACTTAAAGTAGTTACAAGAACTAGTGCTTGCTTCATCTTCATGGAAGATCATAAGACTACAGCAGAGGTGAAAAGGGTAGCCTTATACCGATAGCAGTCGAAGTACAGAAGCTCTCCCCGTAACAAGAGTTGTGTAAGTAGCTTCACTACATAATCACATACTTAGTACTAAATAATTTTTACTTCAACTTCACACAAAAGAAGCCCAAGAAGCACATACACCTTGCAGTAGTTTTTGATGATCTCTATCTGGAACTACATCACATCATCACTACGTATTAAAAAAGGACTATTGAAGACTATCTTCTAGACCAAATAATAGAACAAAACGCCAGCACGACCGTTGTTCTAGTACTTGTATATCGAAGATCAAGATAGCTTCTAGGAACAATAGAACTTCTGCTACTTCTAGACCAACACCTCCAATGAGACGACCTAGTACTTAGACCAGAATAGCCCTGACGATTCCTGCTTCTAGCTGTGCGATTTCGTGTTCTAAGGTGTAGTTTCTCAGGTCTACATATAAAATCTTGTAGACTTCACACAGCCGCAGAAGGTCTTCCACGTCTAGGCTTTCCCATTTTTTGCGAAGAGGATGCCCAAACACGTTGCCGAACAGCGAGTCCCCGCCGATTTTGTAGAGCCACCCTTGTGAAATCGTGCTCACTGTGCTCATCGACGTGGTTAGCTCTGATAGAAGTGGCGAAGATAATTGAGAGGGTCACTTTTTTGGTAGTGATGAAGATCTTGGAGGTGATGGTAGTCCTCCGTTGCTGGTGTAAAAACGGGTAATATACGATAGAAATACGACGACATGAACATGATCATGTCTACCGTATTACCAGTATCAGCAGGTTTTTTAGGCTTTCTTTCACAATCAGATTCACATAAGTACACGCTATGATCGGATTCTCAATGAATAAGAATAATGTTTTTACTGCTCTGCAACGCTTTTCCAAGTTTTTTCCGACTGACGAGCGACTGCGGCACCATTTTACTTTGTTCCCACCAATCTAAGAAATCCAAGAACTGCAAGTGCTTAGAGCTGCTCACGACCCTTGTTACTTATGTTCCATCTAAAGATGACAGCGCATCCTGTCAGTTTCATCGCTTTTCAACTTGAAAAGCGTCTACGCTCCTAGGATGACTTCTCTGAAGATGGAAGGTCCACCCATGCACTAGGGGAAGTAGCCTTAAAGTGCGGCTCTGCGTTTACTTCTCTGAGGTAGATTTGCACCTCGTTATCAGTTGCTGTCTGGTCGAACCCACGAAACATCTTCGCCTGTTCGGTCTTGTTTAGCTTTCCATCAAGGTCCTCGTCAAATTCCGCGAACAGATTAAACAAAGCCTCATTTTCCATGGATAGCTCCTTGGCGATGAGGTTATATTAGTGGTTGCGGTAAAAATATTTTTACACTCTCTATTACACTCTGCTCCCGAACATGATCCTTGACTGCTTTCCTCTTGGGAAAGAAGTCGAGAATGTTACACTCTCCCGAACATGATCCTTGACTGCTTTCCTCTTGGGAAAGAAGTCGAGAATGCATGGTAGCGCAGAATGCATGGTAGTCGAGAATGCATGCGGAAAGCCTTAATTATACAGAGTCTTCACCTCTTCCACAGCATCGTCCGGCAAAGAGCGCATTGCCTCTTCACTCTTATAGACACGAAGAGATCGGTACAACTGTGCATTTTGATGGGTTATGTTTATGATCATTGTAGTAGTTTATTATAACTTGTTAATATGATCATTGTAGTTTTAGTAGGTCATAGTCGTTGAAGACATTGTTCGATAAGGATGAATGGCCACGATGTTGATAATTTATTTGTAGTAGTACGAAGGTGGAAGATGTTGAACAAGAAGTATCTAGTACTCCAAAAAGTAAAAAAAGTGATAATTTTGTAGTAGTACGAAGATGTTGAACAAGAAGTATCTACTCCAAAAAAAACAAGTTGATAGGCATAGGAGCCAGTACCGCTCTATAATTAACTATCGCCCTCCTGAGCTGTTCCCTAGGCAACGTTCTCAAACGATCGCCCACTGGCGCGATGTGCCGCGTGCCGATGAGCTGTGCGCCAAAATCTGCAAATTTAAAACCAACTTCCTTGAACGCTTCATGGTTTTTGTTGTTCGAAAACCACCTCAGATAATCCACAAACTCCACAGCGTCGTAACTGACTGGGTCTGCTGCTGTGGTGGCTCGGCTAATATTAGAAGAAGAAGGAGAAGAAGAAGAAGGAGAAGAAGAAACGCGGGCGGTAGATTATTCTATTAGATTTACTTAGAAGAAAAAGAAATGCCTGTAGATAATTGTAATAGTAAGGTAGTTTGTAGTAGACATAGTGGTAGTGCTGGAAGTAGAAGTAGAAGAGGAGCGATACTGGTTTGATGTTTGAGATTGAGTGCTGACTAAAAGTAAAACTCGAGTAGCACATCTTTCGAATGATGTTGACGCATGGAGAGTCATGCTCTAGAAGTACTACTGGTAGTAGGTAGAGGCACTTTCCATTTACGAGCGACAGCAATCTTCTAGAGGACGACCTATTTTTACAATAAGAGCTAGACTATAATCTACCTAATGGCACTGTAATAGAACGTGCTGTGCTCCCTCTTACTCTATTAGCTTTAAGTATAAGCCATAACATTCGGACTCCTGGCCGCTTCCTCTCTCGACGTCGCTGTGTGTTCTAGGATGCTCTGTGCTAGCGTTCTTGCTTGCGCCTTCCTTTCCACGCCGTATTCCGTAAGCATGTCGCATATTTCGTCTACGCTTAAGGTCCCACTCATATCCAAGTCGAACTTCATGAAGAGCATCAGAAATCCATGCTCTTCGCCTTCCAGCTCCTTGTCTACCAGCGCCTGGATACCCTTCACGATCTCGGTCGGAGATTAGAAGTAGAGAATCAATTTCGCTAAATGTTTATCTTTATCATGTTGATCACCATCACGCCACATTATATTAGTACGTCGTTTACGTCGTTTAGAGTTAGAATTACATTTACAACAATGATCTTCATCCTCAAATCGTCATAAATATAGTAGATCTCCCACAGCCTTTTAGAGTCGTTAAAACAGTCTGTGAAGAAGACTGCTTGTGGATCGGTCGTTTTGATCAGGGCTGCTGGTGGCGTTGCGGTGTCGCCACGAGGAGTTGGCGTCCCTTCCTCACCATCAGGCCGTGAGGAGCTAGACGAACCCCCATAACCACTCTGGCCGAGACTGGGATCCATCTTTTTTTACTTTGCGACGTACGGTGATGTAATTTTTAAGGTGTAAGAAAGTGGTGTAGGTTGTACTTGACTTAATTTGTATATTGACTCAATCAAATCAAAAAAATCTTGTTCCAAAAAAACATGTACAACGAGAAGAATATGAAAGATTCTAGTATTTCCTTAGAAGCGAGAGGAACCAAGAAAAAGAGATACCGCCATCAAGACCAGGAGGGAACGAATGTAGGTCATTTGTGCGCAGATAATCGAACTTGATTTCGAAATTGTCAGACAGTACAACTAGCTTCTGTGCGAATGATAAATCTCGGCGAGTGTAATTTACTTCCACTGTCAAAACCAAAAGGGAGAAATCATTTACCGCCTACTATGGCAGTCAGTCTGCACTGATGATTTATCGGAACTCGCTCGCAAAGTACGCAGGTAGGCTTTGACTTATCGGAACTCGCTCGCACTACAAAAAAAAAAAAGCGAGATTAATTGTATTGTATTGTAGGAGGATGAAGCAGCACTCAATGCTGTTTAGTAGTAAGCTGATAAGAACAATGGTCACAATGAAAGGGAAGAAAAATCAGACACAGTTCCTGTGGGATGAATCGTGGGAGTTCAGGGAAGTGCTTTGCTGCATGATCATCGACTACACTCACAGTCGCAATGGGATTTCTCATTCGATTCTCTCAGTTTAACCGAGATCGACATCACTGAGGCCAGATTTATCATGAAGCACTTCGCAAACATGTGTACTAAATAGCTTCTTTCCTCTTTGAATCATCAATGCTTAACTTGTAGGCATTATGACACACACGCGCATACTTACACAAACGCATTTCGTTTTATGGCCGAACACCAACAGACTAACACGCATCGTCTCGTCTGTCAGATGCTGTTGATATCCTTGCTTTTGATCGTCACTCACGCCCTCTATGACATTGGAAGAGAGGCGCGAATGTAGATGATCTTTTCCTGCGAAAGATGCTCTCTTGTTCTCTATTCGCAAGAGGATTCGGATTCGATGTCAAAGGACGAACTGAACAAAAAGCCTCAAAAGAGCTTAAGGATTCTGAGCGTGCGATATGGAACAGCTTTGATCTTTAGTACTGTCTCGTCCTCCCTAGATCGTCGCTCGTAGCGTATGAATGTGAAGGAGTCCTCCTCTATTCTTGTTCGTTACGGAGACCATGCTAAGGACTGCCACGCGCTCGATCTCAAGCTATCGCCATAACTAGTTGTAAGTAAATGCTAACATGCTGTTCGTGTTCAGCAGGTAACCGTAACATAATCACGCATAGGGTAAGCCAACAAGCCACAGACTGTCACTCACTCTATGTCCATTCCAGTATCTCTTGTCCAAGAGCGGCTACGCCAACTTTGATCGGATCAAGCTAGTTGACGTTCTTGTTTTTGGGAGGCTTTCCTTCTATTTTGATTTTTCCAGAACTACACAACGTTCCAAATTAATAAGCTCCAACTCAGTGCTCGTGGCGCTCGGATTGCTGCTTCCGCTTTTTATGCGGATGTGCCTTCTTACAGGGCAAGGAGGTGGAGGCAGGGAGGTGGAGGTAAGGAAGGCGAAGGAAAGCAAAGACTTTGGGACAGCGAGGCGGAACAAAAGGGGCAACAGCTAAGGTAAATGTGAGGGGCTAGCGCATGGCAAAGAAGAGCCAAGGTTTTCCCGATTATATCTAGCTATTAGCTAGATTGTGTCGTGTCGAAAATCCAACGAGAACGACGCACCTGGGCGGGAGCGAAGCCAGCGAGGATATACAAAGCGGTGTTTCAAGCTCATGGTACGGAGTGCAGTGCAGTACACTTAGTATCGCACTAAGTTCAGCTTCAGGGCAGACTGCCTAAGGGGGGCGTCGTAGTGTTTCAAGCTCATCATACTGAGTTTAGCTTCGAACATTCTTTCACCAAGGACTAGGATCATGTCTCTCGAGCACACAGAGAAAGTCATCCCTTTGCTCTCTTCACAGACGAGTCAGTCTCTCGAGCATACAGAGAAAGTCATCCTTTTGTTCTCACACTCACAGGGGCGGTCTGTCAGTCACGACAGATTCAGATGATGAAGATAATTATAAATATGTCATACATTTACTAGTAAAAGCATGCAGCTCATCAAGCTGTGATCCGTAGAGAAGTTGAGGTCGTAGAAAGAACACTCGCGCACTTTTCGGCATCAACAAAAGAAGCAAGTGATATTTTTTCATGATCTGCTTGAAAACACACACAGTATCACGAGCAGCGATACACTAGAACATCATGGCGCTCGTCGTATTGTTTGTATATTAGTGGTCTGTTGATGAAGAGCCTCGAGGTAATAAATAGATACTAATCACCTACGAGTACGACAACTCCTACTCGCATAAAAATACTTAGAAAGTAAAGACACGTGCGTGCTTGCCGCAGTTGAACGGCCTCCGAAAAGCATCCGCCGTGGACGTGATGAAGTTGTGAAGTTTGGCGTGAATTATATATCCATTGTCGCAGCTGCCCTTTTATCGGCGCAAAAGATCACGACCTTTTTCTTTCTTGCCGGTGCCTAATCTTGTGGTGCTTGTTCTTCTTGATCTAAAAAGCCGTCAGGAAGATGTGATCATCTACAACTGTTAGTGTTACTGTAGTCGGCGCTGTTCAACTAGAAGAAGGCCGCGCGCTTGATCTTCTGTTGTCACCACATTGTCACCCGCCCTGGAATACTTGTGGTTCCAGCAATAAAGCTCATAGCCGCGTCACAAGCTCTGCCAGATGGTAGAAGAAGACCAGAGGACAGAAGAGGATATAATACCTAAGTGGCTTGCTCCAATCAAACAAGTTCAAGAACGGCTCTTGCCGCTCACTTCATGTTTTTCTTGCATCTTGCCGCAACTTCAAGAAGCTCGTAATTGTTCTTGCCGCTCAGCACTTCATCTTCATGTTCATCAACATGGTGATAGAGAAGGCGCAAGAATCGAACAAGTTGTCGCCGCTCAGGCTATGTTGCGTACTTGGCCGCCGCGCGCAGATATCGATCGACATAGCAGTCAGCCAGCATTGTCAGTATGACACAAAAGAGAGTCAGAAAAGCAAAAACTCCTCCAGCTATCTGGTACAAGAGCCATCCGCTCTCCAGGTCTCCTGTCTTGGCGATGCGGTCATCGTAATCAGCGTTAACAAAGAAAAGAGGCGCAATCTTCTTGCAAGTGTTTCCATTAGAAAAGTGTCAGCCGTCGTGCTTGATTGATTGATGTCCTATTCTTGAGGTATAGGGTCTAGTACCAGTCGCATGGAAAGAGGGGAAATTTGTGTCATTCCTATCGTTGGTGATGTCCACCAACATGCATCCTGTTTGTGTTCACAAGAACGCAGCAGACTGGTCGAAACAATTACTCAATCTAAAAAGTGGCATCATAGCACTTGGATCTGGACACGCGATTTTGGATCCCTCGCCATCTTTTGAGCAGTGGCATGCCATACTTTCTCCTAGCATCCAGCCATCGAAGATTAGAGGCAGAAAGACCTTTATAAATCTTCAAGCAGGGGATGAACTTGAACGAGCCCTTCACTCAGGCGGAGCATAGTTTATGCTAACACGAACTAGGAAAGAAGACGTGATAAAGTAGTATAGCCATAAGTCTATGTGTCGCTTCACGATCTCGTCTAGCAAGATCTGCGGTGGCGGCAAGACTACACGTCCACAAAGTCCTGTGATCGGCAGGCGCGTCTCCAGGCCGCGGACTGCATTAACAGGATCGGTGCATCTGTACGAAGGATTCAGCTTTGGTTTTGGTTCAATCGAGCATCCCAGTGCGCCAGCACGGCGACACAAATTGTCCGAGTTCTTCATTACAAAGCCGATCAACTTGTTCTCTCGCATGCAAATACTGCTCACGGCACATGTTAGACTAGGTTCTTGAGGAGGTGGCTACAGCTACACGTCGTTGCTCGTAGTTTTCGTCCACCTCCCTCGAAAACGGAGCCAAGATAAAAATCATGACGGGAAGCCAGAAGGAGAAGATAGGTTCTTCTTGATGGGTTTACTCTAAGGTGACCACGATGGACAGTGATGGGCTGAATGGTTCCGCTATTTGGTAGCCTGAATTTGATTACAACAAGGATTCTCTTCTTGTTTTCTTTTATGATCAAAATCAGGTTACCAAATTCCAAATCCAAATACCTAAGCCTTAAATATCTTGTAACGCAAGTCCGCCAGGTTTCGAAGATGGGCGCAAATGCATAGTGCTCCAGCACGTCCCTGGGCATAGGAGGTGGCGGACCAGCTAGCGCATCTTTGGTATCGAAATACTCCGTCTCGCTGTACCTGTAGAAGAATGAAAGGAGCTTGATGAGGCATCATGATAAAGGCAAAGGGTGGATGTTTCCCTGTGTGTACCGGTAGAAGAAGGGTCTCCTTTACCAACAGTTATGAGATGGAAAGTAGCTGCGTTTTTGGTGGAAGAAAGTAGCTGCATTTTTAAGACATTATCAGATCATATAACTTTTACTGTTACAAGAACTGTACATCTACATGCTTTGGAAAGCTCCACCTTCTTTCATGAGGTGAAAAGAAATATCTTCAAAATCAGGTTTTTCGCGTTTTTTTGAATACAGTGTCGGCATTTGGAAGACTTCGCCTCTCCGTTCTTGCTCACGCGTAGACCCTCGCGCGTTTGGTACGGTCAACGTTTTGATAACTGCTTTCGTCAGATTCAACCCCACAAACATGTCGCTCACGATGAAGTAGTCGCCAATAACCAAATTCAAATCGCCTTTGCTTGCCGTTAAAAGTTGTTGGAAATTGCCTTCGTTAGAGCTTGCGTAAATTCCTCTTGAAAGGAGCGATCTTTGGAAGCGTCTTTCATCTCCCTTGAAGATGTTGAACAAACGAAGGGCGGCCAAAGATGCTGCTTCTTAAGATGTATGGGGTGTTGAGCGTGACGAGAGAGACTACTCAACTAAACCACAGCAATTACTAATAGATGCAACAGGTACAACACGTAGATTAGTGAAAAGAGAGCCTATTTGTACTAATTCATATCCACAGACTACTCTACTACGTACTCTTAAGATGAAAGAACATTTAGCCTAAATGTTCTTTCATCTTAAGAGTACGTGAACATGATCAAGCCTAGGGCTAAGCCTTAATTCCTGGAATTCTGGAAGCGTTTTGGATGTCACTGCCGAATCCAGAACTGATGCAAATCAATGCAGGAATACTGAAGAAGAACGCGATGCGATAGATGTGCACATAGGGCTTCCAGTTGGCATCGAAGACACCGACTCCGCATCGTTCCGCGAATGGGGGTTAGAATAGAAGACACAGACAAGAGAGTCCAAGAATTATATTTTATATAATTACAAGAAGTACACCAGCACTACGAACTAAAACTATCCTGTTCATCATTTAAAAAAACAGTGCATGATGATCACGACTCACTACGGCTACGACCTTGTCCTTGCATAAACAGGTAGCGAGTAAAATGCGGAGATGTTCAAGACCGTCGCCAATAGAATCAGAAACTGTTCATCTTGACTTCGTGGACTGACGTTTTCGCCACCGCTTTTTTCACCTGGAGAGGCGTAGAAGCTCAACCCGACACAGGCGAGTATGAATGAGCCGATCGTTGTCAAAAAAAGAAGAAACCGCCCAGCGCCACTGTTAAGCCAGGACGCAAATTCCGAGCCGCGCGATGGCGGTGGAGCGTAGAACGATTGCATGATTTGAAGATCTATCAAGCGTCAGCTTTGGCTTTCGGCATCGAATACTAGAAAAAAGAGTGTGGCACTGCCTGGCGGTATGTGAAGGATCTACGGCGCACGAAACAACATTTCTTTTTCTGCGAAGTATTTTCTTAACTACCCTCTTTTCCGATTTTCAAATCAATCCTGAGCCTGACTCTCCTGGAAAAGATACTACCACACTTCCAAACTTATCGCTCTCGAAAAGAAAAGAAACTTCTACAAACTTTTCTAAGTTGTGAGGGCCTCTCTTCATAGCAAAGTCGACCTCTCTTCATAGAAGATAGCAAAGAGCTATCCTTTGCGCGGCTTAGCTCCTTTGCGCGGCGTAGCTCCTGTTCCTAGAGCTCCTTTGCTTCGAGCTTCTGTGCCTTGATTAGATGTGATAACTCATTGGTCGCTGACTCTGAAGGTACTAACTCTGACGCTGTTAAGGAAGTGTAGTATCAATGACGTCTTGTTCCTCTCTAAGAATGAAGTCCTGCGACCTCTCTCCTCTTGAATGTCATGCCCCCTCTCTCTTCAATGAGTCAGCGAGGAATGAAGTTTGGTGAGTCTCGTACCATTCTCTTCACCGAGCAATATTATAGTTTTTTGAGTCTTTTAACTTGAGCCGGACATACTAAACTAGAACAGTTTATAGGTGGGGCGCCGGAAGATTCAGGACGGGATGGGTCGGATGGATCGGATGGACTTCCCAGGTCCGCTAAGCATTTCAAGTAGGACCCGAAGATTTATCATGTAGTGTTGATGTCGGTATACAATAAAACTTCATCTGGTGTCACATAGTGGCATTTTTACGTGGTGACAGTTGAAGAAGTCACTTGATAAGAAGTAGGAGAGCCTAGTTGTATGGATATTTATATTTTCTTCAAGGAGTTACTCTCATATGGAAAGACAAAACGACAAGAAGTGCTGGCCTCTGTTCAGATCAACGAGGACTAACATCAACAAGACGAATAGAAGTCGTAAGAGGAAGATAAAACAAGAAATAAGGGAGGAAATAAGCGAGAATAATAGGAAGATGTTGTTGTTGGTGTTCGTGTTCTTCAACGAACTTGTTCATACAGGATCACAACTACAGAGAGTAATATGGAGATTATGTTGGTGTTTATGTTTTTGTTTTGACTACTCTAAATCTAATATGTCAAGGATCGTCCTGACACTGACTACACATCACTGACTACACGTTCACATCATCCACGAATTCAGCGCGCTCACAGGCGGCGAAAAAACTTCGAGAGATATCCTTCAAATACCCCCATCTTCTCCCGTTCCAAGGGTTCGTTTCTGGCCACGCAACATGTCCTCCCGTTCTAGTGAGTAGAAGCAAAGCGCGATGTTCCTTGATCTTCTTTGATGTCGTAGTTGTTGTTCCATTGCAGCTAGAATTCTTCGCAGGAATTACATAGTTTCTGCTGTTGTTGTTCGCAGACGCAGAATTACTTCCAGATGTTCCTCCTCCAAATGAGGCATCAACATGATCAACTTCGTCCTCTACTTCACCTTCTGCTGGTCTTCGTTCTCCTAATCCTTCCTCCACATCCTCCACTGGCGCTCTGCGGAAGCTAGTCAGGATATTCCGCACATCCACACGCTTTTCTGGAGCATGCTCGTTCAACAAGGACCATTTCACGCAGGTTTCGACTAACTCCAATAAACCCTCCGCAATACAAATCGGGTCATCTAACGCATGGAGGAACAACGTTGGGCACATGCTGATTGTTCGTACGTCAGTGTTTTGGGCAGCGTGGTAGTGGAGCAGTCCTTGGAATCCTGGACCAAATCCTCCTGCCGGTGCGCTGAAGTGGTAGTCATACTCCTGCAAGGTGCGAGAGGCCAAAACCTTCGTTGGGTCAATCGGTCGAAATAGACGCTGTTTCTCGTAACAACAGGAGGTGTAAAAGCTGCTGTGGGGGTTGGTATTTTGCAGGATTGTTTTTGTTCTTCGACTTCTAGGAGCATTGGAAGTTGTATGAATACTAATCTTCTTCGTGATGTTATCCTCATGATCTTCCGTCTTGGTATTCTTCTTGTACTCATCTCCCTTGTTCGTGAAGATCTCCTCCTGCTCTTCACAACGTCGAACTAAATAAGGCGCATATCGAGGCTTGTAAAACCATTCTCCCTGTCGTTTTGCCTCTAAGGCTCTCACATCGGTCTTCGTAGGTGCTGTGGTGAAGTAGGATCTCCAATAGTTGACGCAAGGATGCATGTGATCTGGGATACTCTTCCAATGAATCTTGGTTACTTCGTTTTCTTTACGAGTCGTGGTGCGTCCTTTTTTGGCAAGAACACTAGTGCTCGTGGTGGATGATGATGTACTATGTCCACTATGTCCACCAGCACCATGCCTTTGTCCTCCAGCTGCTCTTGCGCGGCTTCCGTCGTGGTTCTCATTGTTCCTGTTCGTTGTCGAGGTAGTTCCCGATCCCGTCATAAAAGCCTCTAGCCGTGATCTTGAGGTAGTGGAGAACCACGTAGAAACGATCTTCCTGCGTAGCCCTGCTAGTGGTGTGCCGTCGCCTGCCTCTTGAATGTCGGTGTCATCGTCCTGCTCTTTTGCGGAAACATCCACGTCGGAGGAAGAGGCACCACAGGATGTTGAACTAGAAGATGTGGTAGAACAAGTAGCATCAGATGTTGACGAAGAAATAAGTGCGCCGATTCCGATAGATGGGTCATCTTTTATGACGACCACGTTGCTACTTCCTGCAATGCAGCTCGCAGGAGATCCACCACCAGCCACAGCTGCAGCAGCCCCTGTAGAAGAAGTAGTGCTCCTGTTCATCTTCGCATCATCAACACCAAAAACACCACACGTCGCAGTCTCCTCTCTTTTCTCCCCATTCTGGAGCAACCATCGCTTTCTTGAAGTCGGAGAGCTCAGCTGTTCATTGCGTTTCTGGGATCGAGGGAACCAGCGGTTCTGGGTACTCTTCACCTCCATGGCCAATGGTGGCTCCCATATGCGATTCGGTCGTTTGGAGGTCAAGTGAATCGCAGGAAAGGGCTGACCAGAAATGACCATACATCCACGAGGCTTCAGCTTCTTCATTTTTGGTCGAGCAGCAGGGGCTTCCTGTTCTAGAAGTCCTCGTTGTTTGGTGGAAGATGAAAGAAGTGTTGATGTGGTCGTAGTCGTACTGGTAGGTATGTTGGTACTCATGATGATGTTAGAGTTAGCAGAAGATGGTGGTCCGTGTCCGACAGACGTTGCCGTTTTTGTTGTTGTCGAAGAGGCGTTGGGCAGGAATGAGAGAGTGGTGGTAGAGTCAGCAGTCGATGTCCGTCTAGAAGAAGTCGATGTAGAAGGAGCTTCTCCCGTACTAGTTGTGGTAAACGCGCCAGAAGCCGACTCATGGATGTTGAAGTCACGACCTGGGACTTCTCCTAACGTCATTAGCGACGACGAGGATGTTGAGGACGATGACGCACTCGAGGACATGCTTGCTGATGCAGTTGTTGTGGTTGTTAGGAGAGTTGCATCGGAGCCATGCTTTTCGTGGCTTTTGGTACGCATGAGAGGAGAAGAAGACTCCGCTTTGAGGGAACAAGAAGTGTCGATCTGCTCGCTTGCTACAGTGACACTCTCGTCCTCGTGATCATCTTCCTGCTGCGCATGATCCTGTTGGACAACGAGCGAATCCTCGCCACTAGCATCATCTGGTGCTTCTACTTCTGGTCCTTCTAATTGCTGCTCATCATCAACATCATGATGATCATTTTCTTGTTCAACTACATTTTTAACATCTTCAATCGCCTCCACTACCTCAGCAAAGCAATCTTCACCCCTGAGCCCCATTCTCGACAGCAACTGCCCTAAAATGATGGCGCCCATGCTGAAAGACACAACGAAAATCCTGTCAGAGTCAAATCCACAATAGTGCCACAGTTTCATCAGTTCTCGAATCGCTATCTGCATATCGTCTGTCCGCGCTCCATGAAAGAAGCTTCCGGATGTCAGACAACTTGCCCCTAAGCCACGAGCATTAATTCCGGCTACTGCCATGGGTTTTCTCTCTTCACCATCTGCTGTATCGAGATGCTGATGCTGTTCAACCCAGTAGTTTACGTGATCTACGATGTATTCAGCTTTCGTGCCAGCGTTTAGGCCGTGAAGGACGATGAGGAGACCAATGTCTTTGCGGTCGCAGGTGGTTGTACTAGTCGTGGAGGTAGACCTCGTGCTTTTCTTGCATGAGCTTGCACCTCCTGTACTGGAAGAGGAACTCCGCGAAAAATCATGTTTTTGTTCTTTTTGTTCATTTACAGGAGGTGGATGCTGGCCACGGCGTTGACGCAGTTCTGCAGACGCGGACGCCGATGATTCAGCATCGTGGTCATGTACTCTCGTTGAGGAACAAACTGATTCATCAGAAGTACTCGAAGACGTTGTAGAAAGTTCAACTCCTTTCGGAAACTTGAAATCAATAGCAAGCGCTTCCTCCACCTCCAAAGAACTACTACTACCTCTACGACCCTCCTCTTGTTCTCCGGATGACTTCCCGACGATGCCCATCTCCTCTTCTCCCTCCGTAAATGCATCTACCTTGATCCATACCTGCAAATCGAAGTCTTTTTCTTCCTCAGGCACTTCGTGGATGAAAAAAGGGATGAGAGTCGTGATGTCGCCGGTAAAGCAACCGGGCAAGTATTGATACACCCGCACCCACCAAGGTGTCATCTCCTTGTCGTAATCGGGGTAAGAAGGCCAACATTTTGTGACAAATTCAGACATGGAGGAGACGCGATGTTGTAGTTGAGCAGGTCGTTGTGACTGGTGTTCCCTAGTAGAACAACTTCTAGATGTTGGAGAGTATATTTGGTTTTCTTTTTCACGACTTTGTTGCTGAGCTTGAGGAGCTTTATGATCTTTCTCGCGCAGTTGCTGCTGCTGCTGCATCAGGCTAATTTCTAGTTCTTCATCTGCGAAGAGGTCTGCACCACCACTTCCACACGGTCCACGACTACTAAAGCGGACCACTGGCTTCTGAATTTCCTCCACTTCTTCGGGTGCTTGCTGTGGCAGTGGATCATCTTTTAGGTCGTTCTTGATGTTGACTGCGTTCATCTTGTTGTTCTTAGTGTTCATCTTAGAGGAAGACGCGTCCTCGCAGTCGTTTCCATTGGTCGTGTTGTTCAACACTGGTTCCAACATCTTTGGAGGCAAGTTTTTCCTCTTCAACTCTTCATCGACTGGCATTCCGCAGAAGTACAATCCTGGATGTTTCAGCAGCAATGCGACGCTCTTGCTCACCCTTTCGTTCTCGTCAGGCCAGATACTGTAGATCCGCTTACCAGACAGTAATTTCTCCAACAAGTACGCAAACAGAAGCAGCAAAACGATCGGATACATGCCACCTAGTGCCAAATCGATTTCGTCGTAGCTGATCTGCATGTAGTTTAGCTCTAGGAGGTCGAGAGAGTTTGCGAACATGTTATTCGGGTCTATGCGTACGAGAAGTTTACTGTCCTTCACTAGTGGAGCGACGAGTGCCTTCTTGTTGTTTTCTTCAGCTCCTTGTTCGTCAGAAGATGAAGATGTTGGTGGAAAGAGTAACAAGTCGCTCCAAGACGTTGCAGAAGACTGTTGCTGGAGTTCTGGTGACCGCAGCCAGGAAGAAGAGGAGGCTGAGATACTCCCAAAAAGAGACCATGCAAAAACAGGTGCTCCTGGCGCTGGTGCAGCACCAGCAGGTGCTCCTTCATCTACTTGTTCTAGCACGACAGTAGATGAAGATGATGAAGGAGCACACGAAGTCAACATCATCATGCTACCAGAAGGAGCTCCACTAGTACAACTAGTACCTCCAACTACAACATCTGCTGATGCCTGTCCACCTCCACCTGACGTAGTTGCCACCACTCCTGCAGGCGAATAGTTGTTATGGATCTCATCTCTGTAGTATAGCTGAAACGGCATTCCTACGAAGACAATCAGAGGCAGAAAAACCTGGAAGAGTAACTCGAGCCCGCCTCGTATCATTGCTCCGTTGTACACACCAGACCGAAGGCATTCAATCGGATTCGAAGGATCGAACATTTGCAGTCCTTGTACGACATTTTTTGGTGCCGTTGCAGCTCTACTTGCGTCCTTCCTGCTAGAAGTACAACTGGAGGTGCTCGTCTTCGCGCTTTCGGCATCCTCGTCGCTCATCTGGTGCTTGTCGTCCGCTGGACCACGAGGACTGCCAGCAGCACCAAGAGCTACCGGATTCGCTAACGGATTCTTCAAGTGCACCTCGACAATATCATGTCCTCCTTCGCCAACCGGTTGGCTGGGTTTGCCTTTCCTCTTATCACTGAGTAGCTTCCCTCTCAACTTCTCCTGATCTTCGAGGAACTGGATGATGCGCTTTTTTAGAGGAGCTCTCGTCCTCCCCTATAATTCATCCCTGTCGTGGAAATCGTCCCTCAAGCATATGCGTCAGTTCTTGTATCGATACCTCGCATTTTTGGGGCGCATATGTTGTTTGAGGGATGTCCTCTACAGGGATGGATTAGGGGAAGCCTTAACTGTTTCATCGGGTTCACTGCAGCCACCTTTGCTGCGCCGCCTCGTCCCGACTGAGCAGGGGCGGTCGCAGATTTCGATGCGCGAAAATAGTTCATTTTTGAGTCTATCAATCGCAACATCAAAGTTGTCTGACTTTACGGGACTGCTCGCCTGTGGGTGGAAATCAATGTCAACATCCATGATGCTGCCTTCTAACACCTAACAGTACTAACATCATATATTATCGTGTTTGATATCTTCATTGATTTTGAAGGCTGATTTTTGATCGATTTCAAAGCGATCGCGATGCGATGAATAATTAGGATATTATCGTCCAACAAAGAATGCGATACTACCACAGCTACGTTACGAGTGTGGTAAACAGAAATATGTACTACGCGGTCACTGCTGGTCGCGACCGCGAGAAATTTGAATGTTGGACGAATACGAAAGACGAAATGCTATGTAATATCGCAGTAGATGATGATGCGTCGACCACCATTAAGTAAAAGTTAGATGAACTTTACTCACAAAAAACGCCTTCTGGTGATGTCTAGATTTGTCTATCAATTTGACTAGAAATATCTTCTATCGATTTTGACTATTTTGACTCGATGGATTAACAGGAAATCTTATGGACCTCCACGGAGTTTGATGAGTATGCGGTACCAAAACGACAGATGATGATGAATCTTGACCTTTTCGTGCCCCGATCAACACACTGTTGGAGATTTGACGTTGATGATGAGTATCTCAGTTTCTAACTTCATGGCGTTCCGGTTTTTTCATCAGACAATTTGAATTTACGTTATTTTCCATCATGATTGGTACTAGATGATCAATTACTGAACACGATGGCCCTCACCTTCAACGATGTAATAAGTAATTGCACTCGAACAGTAGAGCATCAGATAAGAGTTGCGGGAGTCTCTCCTCATGAACAGAATTGCAATGTTTCTCTGAACTACTCTTACATCTCGCACTAATGTTCATATCAGTTTTCAACAGCGTGGACTGCTGCTGGAGGTCATCGTCATGATGATAAATCTTGCATCTACATCTACGTCAGCTCTCGACGATTAGATCATACAGAAACTTTCATCTCTCACAGAACTAGTACCGCTCTCTCTGTCTCTCTCTCGAATCGTGCCAGATGAACACACGTTAGCAGGTGAGCATGTGTTGGTCTGAATTCTGTACAACTCTTCTATTTCCTCTCGTTGTCAGACAATCTTTTATATGCTCTCCCGTTTCCTTTGTTGGTGATAAAAATGTGGTTACCAAACTGTCAAGTATAGCGTCATGAAATCACAAAATGATAGATGATAAAGTCGCTTCAAAAAATAACCAGTCCTCGCTGTAATTATAGTCGTGGTAAAAGCAAAATCGATGAAGAAGTTGATCTATGACGTCATGGGGTATTGCTATGTCTCTCGGGCGGTTCGGGTTTGGGGAACGGCACGCAGAATACAAATCGTAGTACTCCATGTCCATCAGCAGGGTTGGGAATGGGGAATGGAGTTCTTCTTTGTTGATCTTAAATTTCAATCCTCACAGAACAAGTTCCTCGTTCTGATCGACAGGACAGTCTCTCATCACTGATACCCAGTCGCCAATGGGTCCACGACATGCACCACGACGGGCGTGGCTGCACCTCCAGCACCCATGTTAACCTCTTGATACGTCGTCTGACCGGTTGAAGGATCGACGAATTGGAGGTACGTGGTCGACGCTACGCCAGGGGCCGGTTGATTGTAGTGCTGTTGCTGGAATTGGTCCTGGTGCTGGTGTGATGCAGAAGTAACTGTGCCTGTGCCCCCGACATGTTGATATGCAGGTGGTGCGGGTGTTTGAGCATGATGGGGACCAGTTGAGGTAGCTCCCGCTCCATAACCGCCAGGTGGAAGATGACTACCACTTGCACCACTTGTTGTACCCCCTCCACCTGGAGGTGGTCCCGGGGTAGTATGATAGTAGTTAGTTCTCGTTCCAGCACCAGGAGCACTGTAATGATCATGACCTTGATGTTGCTGGTAAAAATCACCATGAAGATGTTGACCATACTGACCAGGATGAACGGTACTACTTATGCCTCCTCCACCGTGATGTTGAATAATCGGCGTTTCAATTCCTACACCACTCGTAACTACTCCCGGTAAAGGCGTCTCAATGCCCACACCACTTGGAACAACGCCAGGAGTAGGGACAATCGGAGTGTAGATGCCACCAGCACCATGACTATCACCAACGGCGTGATGGTACACAACAGAGGTCGTGCTTGTACTCGTCGTAGAGCTACTCGAAGCCGCCGCAGCCATTACTCCTGCGGGATTTGGAGGCTGAGGGGGTGTCGGAGGAATTGGAGCATGCTCAGCTGATACACGTCTACTATGTGGATCATACGACGTCGAGTGGCCTCCGGTACCCTGCTTACCCCCCTGTGGTACACGCGTAGTCGTCGTTGTCCATGTTTCACTGTTATCCGAGGCTTTCCAATACTGTTCGCGACTCCAATACTCATACTGCTGAGGAGCTTGCGGTTCAGCCTGATGGTGTGCCTGATGGCTTTGATGATCGTGCTGCTCAGAAGATGATTGATCCCAGGGTCGTTGATGGTTGTCGTAAGCAGGTGCAGGAGGAGTGTAGTTTTGATCGTGTTGCTCATAACTGTAACCTCCATCCCAGCTTGAAGACGATACAGGCTGAAGACCATACTGATGCGGCTCGTCATATCGACTTTTCTGTTGATGCTGCGGTGGCGGTGCGTACGGATCGCTGAAACTCCTGTAAGTAGGCTGATGTTGGCGAGCACGACCAGGGTCGTTATAGTAACCTTGCTTAGTACCACTACGAGGATCGTGAGGAGCATAGTGATGAGTCGGCTCTTGAAGATGCTGGTGAGGCTGCGACTCTTTGCTGCCCTTCCCCTTTCTGTTCTTACCTGCTTTACTCGGTTTGCCAAACGTCCCTGGCGGAGCTAGGCCACCACCAACAGGTATACAACTCGCAGTACTACTAGTCGTATCCGGAGCAGCTCCCGCTGGACCTGGAGCATGACTGGGTGGAACTACAGGCGCATAAGGGTTATGTTCCTGTTGGACCTTGTTCTGTTGCTGGTATTTACTGAACTTATTCCCATAGCCATAGCGATCATTCTGAATAGGTAGTGGAGCAACATAGGACGAAGGCTGTCCGTGTTGACCATGAGGTGGAGCATGCTGTACAACGGTCGTGAACGAGTTCTGAGAAGTTGTGGTAGTAGACGTACTAGAGGTCGTCGCCGCTGTGTGGTAGGTAGTAGCAGGAGTACTGTGTTGAGTAGGACGAACAGGTTGATGACTTTGACCACTTGTGGTCATTTTCGGTACAGAAGACGCTGGAAGCTGTGGAGTTATCGGCTCTAATTCGTCTATCATGTTCGATCCTATTCCTTTTCCTCTAGGTGCCTTCTGAGGTGGTTGAGAAGTAGGTGTCGTGCCCATCGCGTTGGCAAATCTACTAGACCCAACAACGAGAGTACTACTTTTGATACCGCTGCTGTTCGAGGTGACACTACTAGCAGCAAGGACACTTGCCGGACCTGTACTTCCAATACCCGTCTTCGTCACAGCAGTCTGTCGTGGAGTCCTGCTACTCGATGAAGCTGTTTGAGCCGCACCAGGTAGAGCAATCGAGGAACTTGTCGTGGTTTGACCGACTCGTTGCAGTTTCTGCTGCAATGCCGCAATTCCCTTATTGATTGGCTTAGCTGAAGTTCCAGATGAACCTGTAGTACAACTAGACACAGCAGGAGTAGCAGCCGACGCTGAAGTTGCAGCGGCAGCGGCAGCAGCCGCTTGCTGCTCTTTCTCCTTTCTCATCATGACAGAGAGGGCGGTGTCTGGAAGTCTCCTCTTTTTCACTGGAGCCATGCTAGGAGGTGCCATTGATGTGGATGCAGTGGCAGCCGCGAGACCGGTCGCAGCAGTGGAACACGTTTTTGAAGCAGCTGCTGAGCCACTTTTACCAGCCGCAGAAGCTACTAGAGTCTTTTCGTTAGGCACAAGGACAACAGCATTCCGCTTCGCCTCTGTCGGATTGCTCGCTGCGGCGTCCTGCTGAGCAGTGCTGTTCGTTGGGCGGGCACTGGTACTACTGCCAGCACCCTTCTCTTTATTGTCATCTGCACCTCCTCCTTCAGCACCCTTCATCTTACTAATACTAGATGAGGATTCCTTCTTCCCCTTAGCACCAGTTTTCGACGATGAAGACGGTGGCGGACCCGTGAAAAGAGAGTTACGAAATTCCGCGAACAGGGCACTCTTCGAGTTCTTTCCTCTTGGCGCAGCTCGCGCAGCTGGAGCTCCTTTAGCCCCCTTGTTGGTTGTGGCAGATGACGATGAACCTCCAATTACATACTGGCCTCCTTGGAAGCTAGCAGATGTAGGAGCTCCTCCTGAAGAAACAACTGAAGCAACGGGAATCCCCGGATGTAGTTGAAGAGGAGTATGAATCCCACTTCTTGAGCCAGGAGTGTTGAGCATTACAGTTGTACTGTGATGGCCAGGAGTTGTGAGGGCGCCGCCAGGAGTGAGAATGCCGCCAGGACCTCCTGCTGGGGTTAGTATGCCCCCAGGACCAGGAGTAAGAACACCTCCTAGCGGCCCTCCGGGTCGTGTAAGAGCACCTCCAGGCGTCAGAACACCTCCCGGAGTGAGAACCCCACCAGCAACAGGAGTAAGAGTGCCATTAGGACCGAGAGACACGACTAAAGGTTGAGGTTGTGGAGCATTAGAGGAGGAAGAGGACGCGTTGAAGAGACTCTGGTGCTGTTGAAGTTGTACTACGTCTCCACCTTTTCCGAGAATCGAACCCGAAGTTCCACCTTCTTCTTGATCGTCCACGCGTCCTCCTGCTCGAGGTGTTGTAGCCGACAACAACTCGGATGTCGTAGAGACGAAACCTTTACTCTTGCCCTTTGCAGTTTCGGCCATGAAAGACTGCGACTCTTTGAGGATGGCAGCAAGGGGACCTTTCTCCTTGAAAGCGCGTTCGCGTTCCTCAGCTTGTCTGCGCTGTTCGGCTGAGACTTGAGATGCTGTGGCGGTACTAGATGAAGATAGTTGTTGACCTGGAAGAACTACATCTTGATGTTCAGCAAGATACTCAGCTCCTGCATTCCTAAGAGACCAATTCCAATCCTTCTTGCCCTTTTGAGAACCCTTGTAGTTGTTGATGTTGTCTTTGGAACTACCCTTCTTGTTGAACGAGTTGTCCTTGGCTACACCCTTGTTGTAAAAACTGTCATCTTGTTTGGCACCTCCCTTGTAGTTCTCCTTGTCGCCCTTATTTCCTCCATCCTTAGTACCCACCTTGTCCTCACCAGCATGATCCTTGCTACTATCATCTCCAGCGAATGCTGTTCCAGTTGGTGGTGCAGGAGCTTTGTTTTGGATTACAGGGTTGATAGGAGAGAGAAGACCTCCTGGCCCAGCCACGGGAGCGGCTGGAGGAGGAAGATCATCGGCATTTGGCGGCCTTACAATTCGCATAGTAGGTGGCGCTGGAGGGAACTTTGCTGAGGATGTCGCACAAATAGCTCCGGCATTCGTGGTTTCTAGGATGGCTTCCGCTTCTACCGCAGTTGTTCCTAAAGTAGCCGCGGCTTCCACAGCGGTTGTTGAGGTAGCTAAGGTGTTCACAGGAACTGCATTGGCAGATGCTGCAGCTTTCTTGTCGGCTTTTTCAGCTTTAGCAGAACCTTTCTTGTCAGCTTTGTTGTCCCTATTCCTCTTCGCTTTCTTTCCACCCAACGTAGCACTAGGAACGAGCTTCACTGAAGTGCTTATTTTACTCCCCAAAACCGCTCCACCGCGAGAGGTGCCAGCTTCTTTGACCTTGTTCCGCACAAGAGCTAGAGCCGCAGCAGCGCCAGACGTTGCTGCAGCCTCCGTGGCTACTTGAGCGATGGCCGCGCGCTTTGCTCTCCTCTCAGCTCTACGTTTAGCTCGCGCCTCGTCCTCAGCTACACGCCTTGCGATGGAAGCGTCAGACAGACTCCTCGATGAATAGGAACTGCTACTACTACTCCTACTCGTCCGACTGTAAGAACTGCTTCTACCACGGCTATAGCTCCTTCTACTCCTGCTTCGGCTGTAAGAACTGCTTCGACTGCTTCGGCTGCTGTAGCTTCTGCTACTGCGGCTGCTGTAACTTCGGCTACTTCGACTAGATCGGGAGCTGTAACTGCTTCGACTTCTACTTCTTGAATCATCACGACGAGGGCGTTTCTTCTTGTTCTCTTGCAGTCCAGAAACAGACGGTTGCGAAGCTTGTTTCTTCAACTCTTTCTCCAGCTTCTTTTCTTTCTTCTTGATCTTCTTAGTCTTACCCAATCTAGCCCTCAAATGTCCACCCGGCACTGTCTTAGCAGGACCAGCACTCGTCTTGTTGCCAGTTGTAGAAGGAGGACTAGAAGCAGGAGCAGCTGAGGCTCCTAGTCCTAGAGGCATAGTTGAAGCAGTTCCTCCAGGAGCCCGTCCCGTGGCGTAGTACTCGGCTAATTCTTCAGCAGACAGCAGATTGTTCTCCAGACGAAACTCAAAGCTTGCCTTGTTCGCGCCTTCAACATTCTCATCGTAGGAAAACTGCAGAAAGGTGTTGTTCTTGCCTTTACGTCCAACGGGCGGTGGACCTCTGGCGACTGCTTGGAAGACGGGCTTAGAACCTTTGCCAGGAGGACCAGGAGGAGGTTGAGGCTGATACTTCCCGCCTTTCGAAACAGATGTTTCAGCAGTAAGCATCCCCATTTTCCCGAACTGGCCACCAGGTGGTCCGAGACCTGCACCTCCTGCTTGACCTTGAAGATGTTGTGTAGTATTAGAAACAAACGGACACGCTGACGCTTAAACCCACATACGAATTTTAGGGAAAATTAGGGAGCCATAATATCCCCTAATTTTCCCTAAATTTTGACCTCCTCCACAAGCGTGTCCGTTTGTTCATAATAGTAGGACTTCCTGCAGATTTCTGTAGCCAACATCCGCCAGCTGGATCCCATTCCCAGTCGTCATCACCGTCTCCTGTCTGCTGCTGTCCTTTCGCCGTAGTTCCTTTCTTTGGAGGAGGAATGCCCTTCTTGATAGTTCTATTGCCGTGCTTATCAGTAACAATATACTGCTGGGGTGGCGGGCGCTGAGGCTGGAAGTCTGCGTGCTGCTCTTGAGCTGGTTGTTCCGGTTGATGTTGTCGTGATTCAGGTTGTGGCCCACCAAGATGCTGTTCTGGATGTCCGGTACTACTTGCACTAGGAGCATATCCTGCATTGTAATTGTCGGTGCTGTAGTTGTGTTGATTTTCATACGACGCGTTGGGATCTTCGTAGTATCCGCCTTGCCCTTGAGCGTTTTGCTGCTGATCTTGGTATCCAGCACCTTGAAGACCATGCTTTCCCTTGCTCCAGTTATTGTTTCCCCAGTAGTGTTCTTCTCCCGTTTCAGCGTTGTACAAGGTGCCATCATTCCCTACCGTCAACAGTGGCCCTTTGTGTTGTCCTTTCCGATCCTTCTGGACTACGCAAGCCTTGCCGTCTATCCCCATCGAAACGAGTTCCAGCTTACTACCCTTCTTGCCGGCTTTCCACGCAATCGCAGCTGCACCCTTGAGCTCCGAAGATTCGAGATGCGTTTCGCCAGTACCCCAGACACCAGGGTTTGCGAGGTTCGCACCTTTCCCGAATCCGAACTTGCCAGTCATCTTCGCGTTCATCTTGGCAGAAGCTGAAGGGTTCATGTAAGTCCCAGTTTGTGGATTCCAGAACATTTGCTGTGGATCGGTACTCGAACCACCTAGTTTCCCTTGGCCCTTCAATTGCTCGATCATGGCTTGCTGCGCTAAACCCATCTTCCCACCTGCTTTCGTGCCTCCTTGCCACCCCTGCGTGCCCATAAACGCCTCCGATGGTCGGATCAATTCGACCGCGCCATCGCTTCTTTCCTTGGACTCGTAGCCGGGTAGCAGGTTCAGAGTGGTAGACTGGAGTTCATCTGCGTCCAAGTCCAAGACGGTGGCAGCAGCAAATCCTAGAACTGGAGCCTCAGTGTCGCGCTCCCTTGCGCGCTCCAAATCCTCTGCCGTCAGCGGGTTGCCGTTTTGATCCAAGACTTCCCCTATAGTGTTAAAGACACTAGGATCCCGATGTCTCTCATCGTAAGGATCGTTGGGGTCTAGAGGACCTCTTCTGTCTTGGTCTTGAAGGGCTAGCTGGTTGTATTGATCGGGCAAAACAGAAGACACCTGTCCAGGTGGTAGTGCGGTCTTGATGCCTGCTGCTTTCGACTCTGGCACAGCACTACGAATCCCCGTTGACAAATCCGGCATTACACTACCGATTCCAGACGCTTTCGAGATCGCTGTGTTGTGGATGGTACTTCTGATACCGGAAGGTATCGTAGAAGCGATGCCACTGCTCTTGGGTACAGCAGAAGGAACAGCAGACGCTATCCCGGAAGCCTGCTGTGCCTTCGCTAAAATCGCTGCACTCTTCGGTATCGGTAGAGAAGACTGGACACCTGCACTGCCACCAGCTGCAGCAGAACTAAGCTCTTCTTCCTTTTCAGCTGGCGGAGGGGCCGCTTTTGCTTTATTCTGCGGCACAGTGTTTTCTTGACCGGGTATGAGATGCGAGCTCTGCATCACTGAAGCATGCTTGCCCAGAGCTGGTTGCGCCTTCTTGGGTTCTACTTCGTATGCTTGGGTCTGTACTACTGGTGCGGCGGTTCCAACATCAGCTGTGGGAGCCGCGACAGTTTCAAACCAGGACCCGTCAGGCTTTTGGTGCCATGTCGTCGCAGGCTGTGCAGCTGGTGGCTCGTACCACTGCCAAGCACCATGTTCGTCTTGATACCACTCGCCTTGTTGAGTTGCTGCGGCTGCTGCGGATGTGCTAGTTGACGCAGGTGGATCTGCTACCCATGTGCCATCTTGTGCCCAATAGCCTTCAGCTGCACTAGCGGTAGCAGCAGGTACTACAGGTGTTGTATCGTCCACCCAGCTGCCGTCTTCAGCATAATATCCTTGCTGTGCAACTGGTGCCGGCGTTGTGTCGACCCAGATGCCATCTTCAGCCCAGTAGCCCTGTTGTGCCGGCGCTGGTGTAGTGTCCACCCACGTACCGTCTTCAGCGTAGTAACCTTGCTGCTGGTGCTGTGGAGCGGGAGCTTGTGGTTGAGTTTGTGTTGCAACCCATGTGCCGTCCTCTGCCCAGTAGCCTTGGTCAGATGTGGAGCTTGTGGCCTGGTCAACCCAGGAACCGTCTTCCGCATAGTACCCACCAGTTGCGGCTGTAGTCGTTGCCACTGGCTGCTCAACCCAAGTACCATCTTCAGCCCAGTAACCGGTAGCCGCTGGCGCAGCAGCTGCTGACTGATCCACCCAAGTTCCATCTTCTGCCCAATAACCTCCACTCGCTTGTGCAGCTGGTTGCTCAACCCAAGTTCCATCTTCTGCCCAGTATCCTCCACTCGCTTGTGCAGCTGGTTGCTCAACCCAAGTTCCATCTTCTGCCCAATAACCTCCAGGTGCAGTAGTTGTAGCACCAGCAGTAGGTTCTTCAACCACTAACTCAATCCAAGTTCCATCTTCAGCCCAATATCCCTTCTCCGTATCATCTCCACCTCCACCACCAGCCGCACTCGAGTCTTGTTGCCTGTACCACTGACCAGTCGCTGGGTCATATTTGTAGCCGTACTTCTCCCTAGTCTCATTCAGGTTAGCATAATTTTCATCCGACGCCGTTGCGCCTGCGGAATAGCCAATAATGGGTGCCGCACCTTGGTCGAGCCAACCTTGATACTGGTGCTGGTGCTGACCCCACGGATCCCAGGTCAAAGAAGCGAAGTTCTCCTGGGTCACGACAGTTCCGTTCGGGTCTCGTGGACGCCGGTTTTCTGTTGTGGAAGGAGGTGGATGGAGTTGGAATATCAATATGATTGAAGGATTAATACTTTGTGAGTTCTTGGAGTTGAACCTCAACAGAACTCGTTTACAGTTTTTTTTTGTTGACGTTAAAAGCGAGCAATGGATCACAAATAAGTAGAGCGTATGTATGTATAAAGAGTTGTAGCCAAAAAGACCCTGATCACGACCTTCATGAGCAAGTTGACTTCAAGAGAGACCACAGCTGTTTACCAAAAAGAACGAAATAGAGCTTAACATTTTTAGTACCAACTCCAATCCCTCTGAGCGCCATCTTCTCCAGGATCCCCATTTCGCCTCCCTTCGCTGGCGGATTCGGGTCTTTCAGCTTTACCATGTCCAACAACCCTTTGATGCCGCCTTTTTCCCCTTTAAACTTCATCTCCTGCTTCAGTTCCTCAGCGAAATAGTCATCCTGCAACTGCTGTTCTAAAGTGTAGTCGTCAGAGGCTTTCTGCCATCGTGAGATCGCTAAGAGCATGTCTCTAGGATGTATTCTGGTTTTGAGAATGTTTTTCGCGACTTGAAACTGGTTTAGAAGTGGCAAATTTTGGAGACTCTTCTGTTCTGAAGGTTGCAGATGCTTCGTGGCGAGAGCTGCAGCTTGAACAAGTTTCTCATGGGCTGCTTCTAATGCTTTGGCTCGAGAAGTAGGAGTGGGAGTCTTCTTGTCGATGTTGCCGGTCGTAGTTTTACTAGTAGAAGAGGACTCGTCTTTCAAAGTAGAATGTCCTTCACCAGAACCTTGACCTTCAGAAGCACCTCCTGCCTCTTTTATTGCAGGATCGACGTAGCCTGATCTTGGTACGAGCTCGATCTTCTTCGGTGGAGTAGAGCCAGAGGCTGAGACATTCTGAACGTCGGAGAGAATCTGCGATGAGCCGACTTGAACAACGACCCGCTGAGTACCATTCTTCGATGTGGTGACAATTTTATTCGTCTCATTCTGAGAGGCAGAAGTAGCAGGGGCTGTGGCACTGGTTGTTGTCGGAGCTGCAGTTGTAGGAAGAGGACCCTTGCCAGGCGTGGTAGCAGTCTGCGCTGGTGCTGCAGCTGCGGGCGTCGAAGCGGATGCAGCGACAGGTGGCGGCGCCGGTGCATTTGTCGCACTGCTACCTGAGTTGCTCGTTGTTGCAACTGCTGCTCCAGCAATCACGAGTGATGTAGTTGTGGCGCTACCTGATGCCCCGCCCGCGGCTACTGCAGGCGCGGCAGTACCAGGAGTCTCGCTAGAAGAAGTGCTAGTCGTGCCAACATTCGAGAAGAACTTCATTTCTTCCTTCTCCCATTCTTGTTCTCTCATCAGTTGCATATGACTCGTGTTCAGTAAATGAGGCATCATGGCTCCCTTTGCGCTACTCCCGAAGATTGCTGCTGGCGCAATCGTCTGAATATGCTCTAGGATGTCTGGCGCGAGATTCGCGTTCTTAAACGGACCTACCGACTGTGCAAAAAATCCGCTGCCTTGTCCTTTTCCCTTGTTCGACGTCCCTGACATCAATGCGGCAGAGGCAAACTTGGAAGTGCCGGTGAGGAGCAGAGCTGCTCCCGTCGTGGTTGATGAAGATGCAGAAGGAGCTCCACGACCTGTCGAAATTGTGGTTGCATGAGCTCCCGCAAGGCCACAGCTACCTCCAGACGGGTTTGTTCCACCGACTACGAGTCCACCTACACTGACACCAGGAGTGGAGGAAGACGACCCTTCCGACGAGAAGAACAACCGGCCTCCAGCATGGGCACTCAGCGTGTCCTGCATCCAAGCTGGAGGTGCTACAAATTCCAAAGCTGCTCTCTGTTCTATCCATGAAGGCACTGGTGTATCCGCATCGGCACTAGTTCCGAGAAGATGCTTCCAATATGGTGCACTAGCTCGGAAACTTAAGAGTCTTCGTGTATGTGGATTCATTTCGCGAGGCAAGAGAAGGACTTTTTGCCTCGGAGGAGGTGCTTTGGTCAGGACAGCGGTAGCAGATGTTGCCGGGGATGCTGACGTGGTCGCAGGGGCGGGCACCAGAGTTGCTCCTAGAAGAGTCGTGCTTGTCGTGGTGCCAGAAGATATTAAGCCGCCTATTGCGGCGCCCGCGGCAACGCCAACTGCTTTTGTCGTAACCACGATCTTCTGTCGTTTCGCTGCTGGCTCAACAAGAATGCTCGTCTGTTGGGCGACTTCATTGCCTGACAGCACCTGACCCCCTGATGCTCCACTTCCAGCACTATCCTTACTACTCCGATCCTCCAAGCCACACGTTCGACCCTCATCTGCAAGCGCCTTCTGCAGTGCAAACTTCCGCTTCATCGCCTCTTGCTCTGCCAGTTCCTTCAGTGCTATGTCGAGTTTGTCTTCCCACTCGAAATGCGTGTCGTCATCGTCGTCGTCAGCGTGATGATCTGCGAGAAGCCGTTCTTTCTTCCTCTTACTGCGAGCAACTAAAGCGAAGATGCTACTGCCTTTGTCAACGACTGGTGCTGATGCACTACTAGACGATGAGGCTCCTGCGTTTGGTAGTGTTAGCGAAGAGAAAAGCCCAACCTTACGCCAGCAACCCAGTATGGATTGTTCCCCTTGTGTAAAAGGGGAATGAGAAGAATGGGCTGTGTAAAGGGTTGGGTTTTTCTCTGCCTTAATTGTGTTCCTGCTGGTGTCCTCACTGTAGAAGTACCACCTCCCTCAAGTACAACAACACCTCCATCTTCACCTCCAAGCATCTCATCAATATCATCTTCATCCAACTGCAGTTCTGGTTCGTTAGAGATGTTGTCATCGTCATCGTCTCCCGCCAACACGAAGTCAGGCTCGGACAGCAGCTCCTCATCTTCACCGAAATCAAGATCTTCATCTTGTTCCTGTTCATCCAACAGTTTTTTTCGCCTTTTGGCTGATGCAGAACCAGTCGAGACTCGAGCAGTCTTCTTGGAGGTGACTGACTTTGTGGTGGTATCCTCATCCTCTTGCAGCTTGTTTGCTCCCTCTCGTCGTGCTAATGGTACTCCTTCTACTACTGCCTGTGACTGAAGAAGTTGTTGGGAGTCGCCTTCAACTCGACCCGGCTCTTGTCCTGAGCCTGTCTCATTCTCCGGAGACTGCTCTGACGAATTCGCAGAGGCAAACAGAGAGGCAGCTCCAAGCGCGGGGTCGCCCACCTTATTTTCTTCTAGCCGTTTCAAGCTGTCTGGCAATGTGAGTGAAGTTGAAGTCGTGCTGTCGGGGAGAGGAGCAGGAAGTGGTGCCCCCGCAGGTGCCGGAGCTGAGGATGATGTAGAAGCATCGCCAGTTGACGAAACAGCTGGAGCTGCTCTAATTGGTGCACTAGCTTCTTGTTCAACAGAAGGCACAACCGTAGTTGCAGCCTCAACTGCGTTTGTTGAAGACGTTGACACAGCCCCGCCAGCACCTCCACCTATCGGAGGTTCTTGGACTCCTCCACCACCCACCTCTGCTTCTTGTATCTTGACAACTGCATTAGCATTTTCTAGTACCAGCACACTCTCTGTTCTTTCATCATCAGCTAAATTCGCAGTCCTATGGACTGAGTCACCCTCGTCTGCTCCAGGCTCACGCACGCTGATACCCTCCTCAACACCAACTTTGTCCTCAACATCGTCCTGTTGCTGCTCCTCTTCTTGTGATGCCGCAGAAGCAAAGTCGATTTCGTCAATGTCCATTTTGAAGATCTTGACGTGGGCTGAGTTGTGGATGTGTTTTTACCACCTCCCTCTGTCTTCAGACACCTCTAAGACCTTCTGCTTTCATCACTTCCGACTGGTGTGCGTCATCCTCTTTGTGGGCTTTTACCCGCAGCCACCTCCAGGAAGAACATCAACTGCAATAACTACACACGCCAGCAACATTTTCTAGCTGATGGCCCTTCTCACCGTGCAGTTGGGTTGGCTCTCCTCCTGCTCATTTGTTCTGTCGCTGCCGTCGCATTTAGAAGCCCGTCTTCATGTTTTTGTTTGTAGTTGACAGTGCTGGACTCTAATATCTTGTACGTCAAGATTACACATTTTTATTGCGACAAGAAAACATGGAACAAATGGAATCATGGTAAGCAGATGAACTTCTTCATATTTCCTGTACGATGGAAGATACGATAAATAATCAACAACAATATTATTCGAAGATAAAACAAGTCACAGTAGCTGCCTCCACGACAAGCCAACATGATTAAGATTCACATCAACATGTACATGATGTTCTTCTTGAAAATCGATGTTATTCAAAGTTTTGGGGAAATCAGGAGGAGAGATCCGGGAGGTCTGATGCCTAGAAGCAAGTTGCTCTACTCGTCCGTTCAGATTTATCTCAAGAAAGGTCACGGACTTGAATGATCACGACACGGAACTACACAAGAACTGCACGCGGGCACATCAATGACTAGTACGAACTACGAAGCTATATATAGTATACTTAGCTAGAGCAGCAACAACAGATGAATATTGTGGTCTTCCCATCACGTTGAACATCAGACTCAGATAAGGGACATCAGAGTGTATTTCGTGTGCGTTGAAAGCAGATTCGGAACATTGACCGACACGACATCAGTTGTCGTAAATTTGTGGTGTTGTCGCGAGACTATAAATCACTAGTCTTTTTCTTGGTGCTTCGAATTCGAGGTTGATTCATAACCATAACGAGAAGGAAATTTTTAGTATTGTATCAGACGGACGGACGGCGCGAATACATCACAGTCAGAAAGATTATGATTCAGTCTCTTTATCATGTCGCTTTCGACCTCAAGAAAAGAAAAAAAAACAACTACAAAAAATGATAGTGAAGATGTAGTCAGTATATTCTGGTAATCATATGCACTCAGCGTCGGTCGTCTCATATACATTTACAGTTTCATCTGAAAAATCAAAATTTTCTATCACTCAGGTGTTGAGTCATTTGGTCGTGCATTTGCAACAAGTAAATACTTTCTACAGTGTTGACGTTGACCTTGTTGTCTCGAATCAAATCCCCTGTCAATAAAGAATCTTCTGCAACTCAATTCTATTCCCCTACACTAGTAACACTTGTTTCTTCAGGTTCTCCTCTAGTACTTCTAGTCGTTTCTTCCGGAGCCACGTCATCGTCATCCAAAAGCTCCAATGTTGCTGCTTCTATCTTGAGAGACTTCCTGTACATTTTCGTAGTTGGATCTCCTGCAAGATGTTCTTGGTGTCCATTCAATATAGTAGTAGTTGTGGAAGATGTCGTAGTATGTGAACTACTTTTTGAAGAGTTTCCGTGTTCGGAGGAGGAAAACAATCCTTGTCCTTGTTCTTGGGTATCTTCATCTCCTGCTTGGCCACCTTGGCTATTACTCGAAGTAGATGTTTTTTTGCTGCTCCACCTCCATCTCCAGCAAGGGAAGACAATCGTCAAAATCCTTCTAGAGGACCAACATTTTGACACAAGAATTAACGTCGTTTCTGCTCGTGCAAACGTCGAGAGGAGTTGGCGTGTTCGTGTCCGAACAGTGGCGATGCTCCACTTGAATCCACAAAGCAGTAGTTCGACCACTGCAAATAGGACATTTTTGCAAACAGCGAAGGCTTTCCCCATGCTTGAGGCGGCTGTTTTGATCTTCAGGGTAAGGCGACCACATCTGGAGCTAGCAGTGGGAGGTATTAGTATCGTAGTGGATGTTACTCCAGGTGGCAAATTCGGGGTGTCTCCTGCTCCAACAATAGATATTGTTGAAGACTGTTCCAAAAGAGTTGTCTTTGAAGAAGACATCTTGTTGGAGGAACTAGAAGTTGTGTCATCTTGTTCGAAAACCGTTCCAAACTCCACGACCCGTGCAATGACCACAAACACCTGCATGATGCAGAAGACTACTATTCCAGCAAAGTGTCGCGCGAATCGCGGGACATCGTCAACCACAAACGCGCGTGCTTGCTTCTTGTACGATGTGTAGTTGCGAGAAGCTGTTGTCCGCATAGACCGAACTTTCTGAGGTACACTACTTCTATCAAGGCGTTCTCCAACGGCTTTCACCAGTCTCAGTTCGGCAAAGTAGTCCTCGTGCTTGGTAGAGATTATGTAATCGACAGGAAAAAACACACAGTTTCGACAACCGTGTCCTACTGCTGTGACTTTTCCTCCTACGCGAAACGCCACTGATTTTGTTTTCTCCACACAAAGCCTGCGCACTTCCAAACCACTGCTCAACAATTTCGTTCTCCCGTTCCTTACTTCTTCCCGCCACTTTGCCATCCTCTCCACGAACCTGTCCCTCACCTGCTTCTGCATCACCAACGCCTTCTGCCGATACGTCAATACTGGCAAACTGCGCAAGGCTGCTCCGAGTGACCATTCATCCCGATGAAGACGAATCTTCTTACTTGCAGGATCTAGTTGCAGCGTGCTCCGCATCCTCAAGGAGAAAGATCCTAGGGCAGACGGAAGTAGACGCAGTTTGCAACGAAAAAGGGCGTCTCGTTGGATCAACGTGGCTTGCTGTGACGTGCTTAACGGCTGGTGTTTGTAGGGGGTGATGTAAATGGTTTCTGTGAGTTGTGAAAATGTCGATGGCTGCTACTTCAAGGGATGACATCCTAATCTTTGACATACTGAACGAGAAGCTGGAGCTAAACATGGACAAAATGAACAAGAAGAAGCAGTAGCAGCATGAAACTACTCTGTAATATTTATCACAAAGTACTACTAGAACAGTACCTCCATCACCGCTTCCGCCAAGAACAGCCTCAAAAACTGGAAATGCGCTGCCAACCTGTTGCATCCTTGCACCGAGACAAATGGGGTTTCGTAAACGGCGTCTTGTGTGTAGAATAGTCCAATCCATTCTGTCGTGACTTCGTGGTTGTAGCGTTTATCAAAGTACAGTTTTTCGAAAAATCCACGTCCAGACACACCCTTTGACGAAGATGAAGTTGAAGAGGAACTAGAAGTCTTGTTCTTGTCAGCCGCCAAGGAGGAAGAGCTTGAAGAGCTACTCCTGTTTGAGGCCACAGTTCCACTTGTTGTGATTGTATCCGCATGATTGGAGGATCTCCTACTTGTCGACGATGTTGTCGTCGAAGAACCCGATGTCGTGCTAGGGCCAGCAGTACTATCAGAAACGTTCTTACTGCCAGCACCGCCTCCAGACCTCGCAGACGCAGGCACGCCATCCGTTGTCGATCTTGTAGTTGAGGCCAATAAAACAGTCGCTTTCGAAGATGTTGCTGTAGTAGTTGTGGTGCTTCTGGCTGTGCCTATGCTTGTAGAGGACGCGGACAAATCTTCTAGTGCTTCTCCAGCTAATCGTAGCTTGAAGTTGTTCGCCTTCTGATCATCTACTTGACTTTCAACAGTTGTACTAGAAGATGATGATGAACCACTCGTCGAGGAGCTGGAGCCAGTAGAAGCTACAGGAGCTAGAACTGTTCTCGACCCTGAAACTGTGGCTACACCACTGGTTGATCTGCTTCCACCACTCGTTACGATACTAGAAGCAGGAGCTGCTCCTGTAGTTGTACTACCTGACGAACTGGAAGAACTCGTAATCCCTGGTCCACGATCTCCCGTTGTAGATGTAGTGGTTGCAGCTGGCGTCCCTCCTCCTACCCCCGTTGTAGAACTACGTAGTTTCGTTGTACTTGTCAGTGTCCTCCTGCTACCCGATAGAGACGTCGAGGTCGTTGTATTAGGAGGACTTTGTGCGGGAGTATTGTACAACGATGAAGGTATTGTGTGAGTGGTGGAGGTCGTACGTGCTGGTGTAGTCGTGGCATTCTTCCTCGGATGAGGGCTTCCTGGACGCGATGTGGATGAGGTTGGCATCTTTTCTGATTTGTTTTTTTCAACAGGAGTTAGAGTTAGTAGGTGTTCATCTTGTACGAAGGTAATCTCCACCAATAAAAATATTACTCTTCTAGAAGTAGATGAAGAAGTCTGGTATCTCCAAAAAGAATCTACAAAATCACAATGGTCCAAATTCTTTCTTTCAACGAGATTCAATCCATACAAGAAGTGGTTGTAGAATTACTGGACATTGTCAAATGTGGGAAAGTTTGGGATTAGGCGGCAGCTGTGGGAAATGCCTTCACTCGTAATCTACTCCGTGGGTGAAGTAGGCCCTGCTCGTCACCATTACGTAGGAGATTTAGCTGTTCTTACGTTTTTACTCTCACTAGCGGGCCTAGTAGCGACCCGCTTTCGTGGAAACACCAGTTCGCAGGAAGGTCACTTCGTCGACCTTCGATTATCAATTGCGATCGCATAGGGGCTCGAGCTTGAAATATGGCTAAGAATCCAAGGTGAAATTCTCAAGTTTGCGCTACTGTCTTGAGCAGCAGATGATGTCTGAACGTTTCTTTTGCTACTGAGTCTTTCTCTCCGCTACTGGTGCTACCTCACAGAAGATTTTTCTTCTGGTGTCTACCTTTAACTCGATGAAATGTTGACTGTGAGAGGTAAAAACGAATCATAAAAAGTAGAGGTAAACTGGCTATTTGAAGTTGTAAGTACTGCTACTGAGAAGAAAAATTTACGTCGAGATTGATGAAGAATGTTGATTCCGAACAAGATTAATTGAAAAAGATCATCAACATGGTGAAAACACAACTTTTTAAGACCACATGAAAGACAATACGAAGCTTCCGAGGATAGCGTTAGCGTTAGCAACATAAAAAATCTTGTCATCAAGGAAAGAGAAGCGTGCGGAACCACTAGTTCACGTAAAAATAACGCGAGCGACTCCACCCTAACTCTTCCCCTCTATTTGTTCCACGATCGTATTGCTATCGTAGTTGCTCTAGTTCTCCACACAATTCTTGTAGTTGTACAATACAACCTGCAGCAACTAGTAGAAGTCGAACAACTCGACCACTGCTTTCAAGAACTAAATCGTCTTTAATATTAGAAATCACCCCAAAATCAATTCCGCTGTCGTCACATGACAGAAACTTCTAACGCTTACCGTTGGAAGAAAAATATTACTTGCCCTAAGTAGACATCATCTACCAACCTAAGACATTAAATCTACCAAATAGAAATCTATTCACCCACCTCACGCCGCGCACCAGCTTCTTACACCCTCGGCGCAAAGATGGGGATGATGTCGTCAGCGTATTCGCGCTTGCCCATCACGATCATGTTGCAAATCCAACCCAAGTTACGCACCTCCTGTTCCTTCAGCTTGGCGTAGGCGTAGAAAGTGCCGTAGTGGAATTGCTGGTCGAAGGACAATTCATACAATTTTGCGGTCTCGGAAAAGAGCATGTCCTCCATAGATTTCGCAGATGAAGGGGCGACGGTTGTTGGGAGAGGAGGACTCGGGGAGGTGTGGGAGAAAGTAGAACAGTCAGGCTTTTATCAGGGGAAGAACTACTTCAATGTTGAAGAGAGAGTCTTCCGTGTTCGTATAAATGATATGAAGAGCAGACAGCGCTAGAACGAGAACTTGGTTTGTTGAAACTATAGCTATACCAGAACAAGGCTGTTCCACTTTAGTTGCATGAAGTCTACTACATCTACAACTAGTACTACATGATAAAGATAATGCACATCCGCATTTACAAAATTCCTCTTGTTACTATCCATAAGATGTTTGCGGTCTTGCGTCCTCCAGCACCGCCTCCTGCAGCAGCCATGGCCGCTCGTGCCTCCTTGTCGTAGTACATCTTTACGCTGTCATACAAATCTCGGTATTGGTTGTACGGTTCTGAGATTAGAGCTGGTTGTTCTTGTTTGAACAACAAGATGCCCTAGTAAAAGTTCTTAATTGGTCATCGAGAACTCCTCGATGGAAAAACCATCTCAAAGCATTGGTGAACAAACTACATCAAGTGATCGGCCGATTAAGTCAAGTGAAGTCGAAGTGGTCAACAAACAAAGCTGAGTGACTCAAAAATTAGAACCACTAATTTATTCAGTGCCTTAACAAAGCTGCTCGCACTGTGGTCTGGTTCCAGCTCTTGCACAATTTTTCAGTGCCTTCCGGGTAAAGGTAGCCAAAGTTCGGGTACAGGCTATTGCGGTCAGCGATTTTCTGTTGGCTGCCGAGAGACGTGTTAAGCGAGTTCAACGTGATGTTAAGGACACGAAAGTCGGCCTCACTTCGGGAGATTAGAATGAGTAAGTAAGTAGGTACTTAGGACTGTTGTAGGACTGTAGGAGAATGTTGAGGAGGTAGGGTAAAAACAACGGTGGTTAATATGCAGATGAGTAGAATACTCGTGGTCTCTGACGTCATTTTTAGATGATGTTCATTAAAGTTGCAGGCCATAACAAAATATGTCCCATGATCTCTGAGGTCATGCCGCCAACGGAGACGATGAACTGATAAAACTCTTCGAGCCACGCCTTCTTCAGCAAGTTCTTGAGCAATTCCAAGTCTTGCTCCGTGAGAATGGAACCGACGTCAGACTGTGGTGTAGGTGAGTTGTTGATGTTGGTAACATGTTTATACTAGAGAGTCTCGCCCATGATCTTGCTCGTTGTCATATCCTGGATATTACGTGAGATAATCTCGTAAAAAAGAAAAGGCGCAACCGCTTGCTTATCATGGTCAACAGCAAAAGATCCAAAATCATCTTCAACAAAAAATACGTCTCTTCCCAAAGGCTTTCCGTCTTCACTGAGTGTCTTCAGAACTTCCTCGAAGTAAGGACCAACTGGCGTGTCGATCAAAATCGTCTGATACAGGTCTTCGTATCCCTGAGTCAAATCAAGACTCGGAATCGTTCGCATCTCTTCGAAGTAACCTGGTAGGATGGTGGTGAGTGAGATGTGAGAGTGCTGGTCGTGAGATAATTCTTTCATGAGATAGGTCTACTAGATGAAGAGCAAAAGATGTGTTTGTACTAGATTGGCATTGGCTCAGATATACTTGTAGAAGTAGCCTTACCCAATGGATCCGCCTTAGCCAAAAGTTCCACTGCTGGCTTTCCATTCAATGCGCCTTGCAGCAGATTGACAACGTTGTCGATTGTTCTTAGAAAGGTTGATGACCACAATATTGTTGAATAATAGAAGGTGGAGCCAACCCAAGTAGAAAATACAAACAATGAATATGAAAAGCACATTGTAGATGTAGATATATTATAGAGTAAGGCACTTTTTGACCCGTATCGGGTCGAGTTGCTCGGGTTGCTCGAGTTGCTCGAGTTGCCCACCCTAATTTTTTGCGCGGCGCCCTTCGGGCGCAGCTTTATGAGACTCCGCGAAACCTTAGCAGGAGCGTACGACACTGCGCGCCGTGTCTCTGATCCTTGATTTTCTTCGGAGTGCACCCTTGAGACAGGAGCGAGTAACCGTCTCGGGCTCAAGATTCATCTCAGCCACTTGCTTGGTCAACATCTAATCACTCGCGAATCTAGTGTGATCATCCACTTCCAGCTTCCACTCCCAGCTGGTGCTTTCTCTAGTCTACTCACCCCCAAGCAAGGCTAGACGCGCCGCCCTATAAAGCAGACGGGGGCTACTCGCTCGCACCCCCGAAGTAGATTTATTGGGAATACATCCGAAGAAAAATGGGAGAGATCGCCACCGACCAGACGACACCACACGCCACAGCGACACTGACATCAAACAAAAACAACAACGGGCAGAGTCTTTCGCCCCCTTGGTTGCGCTTTAATAAACGCCCGCTGGCAAGCTACAAAAAAAAAGTCATAAGGGCCCAGGGGGCACTCGCACCCGATTGCCCCTTTCATGAGCAACAACAAACGCAGCACGCCCTTACGCTTCGCCCCTTCGACCGGCTGGGTTTGTGCTCGCACCGCCCTGCTTCGCTCCATTTCGATGGAGCGGACACCTCCCGGCAACTCGTGGCAACTCGTTCCAGCAGTGAAGCGCTTCGCTTCGGCAACTCGAGCAACTCGTGGCAACTCGAGCAACTCGAAACCCGTTATTGGCCTTACTGTGTAGATAATATATCAAAACAGCTGCGTTTATTTCAAAATCTAATGGCCTCCATGCTCATTAGGATCCTTGAATATGTTTAAATCGAATGATAGTACCTCCTGTACCTCACCAGTCGTTTACAACGACAACTACTTTACCTAATCGACCGCTTCGACTACCTTCTAATTCAAAAAAAAAATTGCTCATGAGCCATAACATCTTTTCTTTCTGCACGAAAGTCATGAATTCGACCAGCTGGGGATCAGTCGCCTGATACTTGATGTAGTTGAACTCATCCGCCAATTTCTGCTTTGCCTTCGCGATGATGGTGGAAATCTCCAAAGGCGAAGGCTCATCCTGCAAAAAGCCAGAATAATCAGTGTCGTCCAAAGCCGTTCGTACATCTTCGAGAGATTCGCAGGCGCCTAGGGATATGAACCGATGCCGATGTCGAGGTGGGACTGATGTGAGGAGCTATTTATCTTGTGGAGGGAGGAAAAGAAGAAGCGTTCAATAATAATCTACTCACGATTTAGCAGTAGCAGCTGTAACTAAATGTGAAGCAAAATCTGATATATAATCTTATCAAAATAACGGTTCACGTTTTTAACAAGAATCTCGTCATAAATTTTCGGTAATCATCCATGGTGAGGAAACCGCATTTGAGGCCTCGGAGGATCCCCTCCGCGAAGCCGGCCTTCACGTTGAAAAGTGACTCTTCCATTTTGTAGGGATTCAAAAAAGAAAGACAACGAAGTGTCTTTCGTGGTAATTTCTCTTTAGAAACACGTCGATTTGGTTCTACTAGTTGCTGCAATACGAACAGGGATGACGGAGGATTATATTGATCTTTGGGATGAACCTCCATTGGTCCTTTAAAAGAGGTGAGATGAATCCATATCCACCTTGGTGGAAATAAAAGATATATTATAGCACCAGCAGGAACAGATCGTATTATGACAGAACAATTTATAACCTTTGGTGGCGTGCAAGTGCATGGCATGGAGTGCAGGGATCGCATGGAGTAGCATGTTGGAGTAGCAAGATTTTTGCTAAGCCCCAAGTATACTCCATGCACTCCATGCGTTGACAACAGCCTCAGCTGAGGATGCGGACTCCATGCGTGCAATAAACTGGTCTGTATCAGGCTGAAGAAAAAATATCAGAGGTGTAGCGCGTGCAATCATGATGGTGGTACAGCCTCACAAGAACTGGTGATCTCTCGAAAACCAAATCCATCGTGCCAACGTCCTTCATCGGTGCAAGAATTGCAAAGCTCTTCAATCTGACCAGCACATACACGAAAATGTTAGTGACTTGATCTCTCGGCTCCTGATTCTGGTGCTGGTCATCACGGACCGTTCTCGAGGAACACTTCTGCTTTTGTCGGCTCAAATTATGGTGTCCTCTGAAATTATGATGTCCTCTTCTCCTAGCTTTTCTGAAGTGAAGAGCTCCAGCAATTATAAACAAAGAAAGAAATAAACGAGACTTCTTGCAATTGTGAGGTTCTTCAATGTTGGCACATGTCATCGTCGTCCATGCTACAGCTACTGCATGATCAGAAACGTTGTCGTGCTTGTTAACCCAACATTTTCGACGAGTCAATTATAAAGTATAGACAACTACATAGTAGAGATAAAGAGGTGGTATAGTACTTAGTCGTTGTTCTCATTTTTACTCAGATTAGAAGGAAGACTCTTGTTTCAACAACTGGTTTCAAGACACTACTCCCAAGAACTACGTTTTCAGCGCAAGAGAGGACACTTCCTTGTCATCATATTATCATCTTGTTATCTACTTAGACTAACAAGTCTTCATCTTCGCGGTAGATGTTGATCAACATGTAGGCGTACGCTACGGCTACGACAACGTCGACCGCGACGTCGCATTTACATCAAATATTAACAACGACAACCTTGTTTTCATGCTACAACAAGAAAAGGAAAACTTGATCTTCATTATGAATATTATTTGGTATCGACGGTCACGTCACTTCTAGTACTTGTTAATGGTTAATGACAAGCCTTCCTCCAGTGAATGCTTTTTAGTCGATTAATAATATTAATGTAGCCACCTCAACACCTTCACCAAAAAGAAACACCATGGCAACCCGTCAAGACGACGATATCCACTTCTGTTCAAACACGACGATCACCAAGCAGGTATTCCGCTTCAACATCCAGCGGCCCCTCGTCGTGTGTCACATGAATGATAGAATCGTCGTCCTCGTCTCCAGCAGTAAAATGCTGATAGGCACGCGATTTTTGGTCTCCGTATTGGTATAGGTATTCCTGGTATAATGCTCCTGCAGGTGCACAGTGACCTAATCCACCTTCTTGGTTGTTTTCTTGGACCTCGTAGTATCCAACACCAGGTCCAGAAGAATGTTGATCGTGGGCCAGTTTGTCGCGTTGCTGCTTCATTTCGTTTTCAAGAATTTTAGAAGTTATATTTGATCACAATGGCATGGGCATCGACGACATGATCTTCGTATTCTTGATGACACTATGAAGACCAAACAACTACAACAAGCGAAATAAGTAGCTTGCAGCCGACGAAAGATTGATCTTCGTATTAAGATCTCTGTACTGAGTCATGATTCTTCTCCACCCTACAATGCAATTAACATCTCGCACAAAGGTCACCAGTGCAGAATGCCTACTGGCGTCGTCATAGAGTTACGTCACGACGAAGCCTCACGCAGGGCTATACTAATGAAAACGAATAGAAGCGACAAGTATCTGAACTAACCCTAAGTTGAAAATGTAAACTTTGAGAAACAACTAGAGGACAAACAATTCTCATGATTGTACAAAAGAATCTTAAAAACGTCTTCCTCTTCTTCTAATCCAGATTTGCAGAACAGCGCTCCCAAGTTCGCAGCGATAAATGACGCCTGCACGACCAGCATGTAGAATATGATCGCACTCCAGATGGACCCGATTGCGAAGGAGCTACAGTCACAGATGAAGATGTTCTTGAGTGAAGATGTTGTTAAGAATGGTTTGGTACTAGTACAGTCTCTGTTCTTATATGGTTCTTTGTGACATTGTTCTCGTCGGAGGTAGAGGAGGTAGTGCCGCTAGTACTGTATTAATAGTTGTACCAATATTATTTTTAAAATAGTCATCAACTACTACTTCTACTACAAGGTCACTCAAGAAGTAGAACTACATTGTAACGAGGTCACTCAACTACTCCAGTGTACTTATACTTACAACTACAACCACAGCTAGAACACCAACTTTTATAGAACTAGAAGTTCTTGCTTCGATGATCATAAGATAGCTGTTATAAAAAGCGTGAGAAGATAAGTGCCAAGACAAGCCTAGGGGTACTTGTTGATGATAGTGTAGAAGAACTCGTACTAGACGGAACAAGAAGAATCTTTTCATTCTAATTGGGTCGGCCGCTTCTACTAGAAGTAGTTAAGAACCTTAACTCTTTTAGTCTAAAAAAGGCTTCTCTCCGAAACATAGAAGTAGTTAACCTTAACTCTTTGTGTAATGTTACGCTAGAAGACTTTTAGTCTAAAAAAGGTGGCTTGTTGATGCGCCGCATGAGTTGCAGTTGTCTATCATTCATAAGAAAATAATCCTCAATGGAAAATCTGGCTCCACGCTCGAATCCTTCTGGACCTTCATTCATTCGTGCTACAATGTTACGAGCAACGGAAATGTCACGCCCACGGGCGTCTGCGTGCCAAAGAACGGTAGCCATATCACACTGGTTACCGCGGATCAGGAGCATATTGTACAAGTGGTTGTTCAACCGCGTCACTGAAATTCCGAAATACAAGTACGTAGCCATCTCTGCGACAAGGAGGAAGAGCAGACCCCACAAGCATATGTGGACGAAACAGTTTCTCTTCAGTCTGCTGCTGCAACACGGGATCCACGACAGGCCGAGCTGCGGAAGGTAGAGCAAGCACGTGAGAAGCAGAAGCAAGCGGACCAGATGGCTAAGCACCCTTTGCAGACCGCGACGTACCCAACCCGGACCTAGTGCTCCAATTCGCACCCTAAACCCTAGTAGTTGCACTCTCGCTGCTTCTTCCAGCTCTTCCACGAAAGGAGAGACGAAAACGTGGTGAAGGTTCGGAAACGATTCTCTTAATCCGCAGGCTTCGACAACCACTTTCACCGAATCGAGTGCTAATCCAGCAGACATGTTCAAACTCCTGTCGTGTTGAAAATGTTGCGGAGACTAGTTATTTGAGTGCTCATCATGACCGAATGATCCGAAGCCATGTTGAAATCATTATCATACGAAAACAAGAGCAAGACGAAGTCGCACTATCTATGTATATTATAAATATGCTAACGCTATTAATCTACTCGGCCGCGATCTGCCTAAGATTTCCCATGTATAAATATAATCAAAATGAAAATCATAATCATTCATCTAGTACTCTTTTTTAGTTCAACATCATCTACATGCTGATGATCAAATACTAGAATCGATCGACGTATCAACAAAGATACTCATCGATATGCCGAAAAGCCTCATCTTGGAGGGTGCCTCCCATCGTGGTTAGAGGATTTTCATCCGGGTAGCCGTATTCTCCATCTCCTCTTGAATCTCTCGAGGACATCGCAACCATTAGCAGGATGCTTCTAAACAGGAGTGGTCTGTAAAGAAGAATCAATCCTTGTCCATCCTCATTCGACAGTCAGTGCTTCAGAATAAAATATTGATGAGCAGCACAGGACTAGATTTTTGCGATCAATAATTAAGGACAAGGACGAATAGCCTTGCCAGTAGAATGATACCCAAAACGATCTAAGTATGTAAGTCACTGTATTATCTCGAAGATGAGTTACATATTTATACATTCAGAATTAATATAAATACAACATCAATAATACTCAGATCGACAAGCCGAAGCCGTAATGGAGGTAATGCACTACCAATAATGTCCGCCACTCCATCGAGTACTTGGTCCAGCGGACGGATTGTGGGACCCATGTTGATGTTGGTGGTCTTAGAGAGATAGGAATATAGATCTGCCCATTCGAGATCGAGTGCGAGTGGGCAGACAACTAGATCCGGAGATTTACTTTTTACCAACATATCATAGGAAGCTCATTGCCTATTTCTCAACACAAGATTTTCATCCTGTTGACGTTGAGGGTCTTAGAGGAGGTCTTGAATCTTCATGGCTATCAGCATCTGTCCTCGTGCCATAACATTCCCCATTTTGTGCAAGCTTGCCGCCAAAACGATCCCAAGAATCGTCATGAAGAGGAACCAAAATCCACGAAAGCCGAATACAATACGACGCCAGTCGCAGATGCATCTTTTCTTCTCCCTATTTGAAGCCGAAGGATGCGACTGCGAGTCAATCATTCGCCGCGCGTCAACCATTGCGTTGTACTGCTCGTAGTTGTTCATTGCGTTGTTCTTGGTAGTTGTTGATCCCATAGCCTATAAAAGTAGAACAAAGAGGAAAACAAGCCGGCTGTTTATTTAAGTGCTTTGAGCGTCGCTGGACCTAAACCTTCGCCGTTCAATTTAGCACTCATTCATTCAATCACGCTTTTTATTTTATGTAATTCTTATAGCAAAGTAGAAGGATTGTAGTATGCAGGTCTTCTATGTGAGAAGCAGGAAAACTAATCTCCACAAGAGCTAGTTCTACTAGCTTATGATTATGCACATGAGGATCTGCAGTTCAGAAGTGGATTCCACAAACGCAGTAGACGTGATCGCGATCATGTGACGAGTTTCAATCCATCAGGATAGGATAGGATAGGATAGGATAGGAGGCGATTCGCCGTCCACAGTGTGACCTGCTGCATCATCGGGCGAACATGTGCTGCAGCCGCAGAAGGACTACCAACTTTTACTTATCTTCAACTACAGTTTTCTTTGATCCTTGATGAAGTCTTTCGAAGATGGGACCACTGCATGAGCAAGTCCGACTTAGAACCAACAGAGTGGTGTTCTAAAAATTCGCTGCACGAACAAGAACACTGCGGCCGTCCGTATGCATGGTGTTGCGGACACGAGTGAGCGTCTCTGCAAGAATAAATCGACGCTTCTGCTACCCATAGTATGAAAGTAAACGGATTCATCACGACCAGAACGTGATTCTACTAGTACTACCTTCTTACTATAGAAGTACAGCCAGTCTTCTATTTTCAGCAAATAATGCATTTTTATGCTGTTGCTGGCGTGGCTGCATTATAATTAACATTCATTGCGCCTAGAAAATGTAAAAGGCGACGTGACTGCAAAGAGAACAAGGGTAGACTAACAAGTCTCCCCGAGGTTGATAGCATACCAGAAAAGAAGCAGAAGTCTTTGATTATTATCTTTATTCATCAAATAAGCCTGGTGAAGAACTACGTTACAGAGGCCGCACTAGTTCATAACCCCGGCTGCACGAGGATGAGGAACAAGAAAGTAGAAGGCACCAGTAGAAGCAGACTTATTTTTTACTCTATTATTTTAGATACAATGAGATCTTCATCCAGGCAATCAAATGTCCACACGACAAGAAAAGCACTGATATCAACATAGTGCAGTATATCAAGTAGCATTAAGAACACGTATTCAAGTTGTAGTATTATCTTCATCTCAAGACCGAAGGAGATGCTCCGACTCCGCATCGCCTTCTAATTTTACTTCAACGACTATATCTTTATCTTGATCTTCGTGGACGTCTTCATCTCCAGCAGCGGCATCGTGTAGTTTCTGAATGGTCTGATTCTTGTCCACTTCATATAAAAACTCATCTCGGGAGTTTGCAGTTCTTGCAAAAGACGACGAGATCAGAAACACGAAGATTTGTCCGCCAAAAATGACAAAAAGGGCGATTATGAAGAACCAAACTCGCCAGGGTACTAAGCAGCTTGTAGCAGCAAAGAGTATGGTTCCCAGAACCGTGATCGTGACAACGAGAAACCAGAGGTCTTGTTCAGGAAATCCAGCGTTATCTTTGTGACCCTTTTTGTTGCCGTCCAAAAGCCTCCTGAAGTTCTTCTTCGAACTAATTTCATCCTGATTCTGCTTCCGTCGTATCATTTCTCCCACGGTAACGACTTTGAACTTTCGTTCAGTCACTAGGATACTCAGGGTTTTGTCCAGTGCTTCCAGCAAGTGTGAACGCCTGGAGCGTTCGGGCATGTGCATGATCAATATCGATCCAGGCTTGGCTTGATGCGACATCGTATTGGCTATCCAATCAGTGTCAGGAATCTTCAAATCGTCGCAAAAACAGTCTCCGAGAACGTGGCGCATTCCTCTTGCAGATAGTGTACGAGCCATAGAAGGAGATAGGATTCCACTGGGAGCACGGAATAATCTCCTGGTGGGAGTTGTCTTTGCAGATGGAGTTGTTGATGTCTGAGGGTCGTGGATGTGTTCATGCAGTTGCTGTTGTTTGGAATCTCCACCACCTACTTCTTCGCCTGGTGCATTCTTGCAAGATTTAGAATCTCCACCACCTTCTTCGTCTGGTGCATTCTTGCAAGGTTTAGAATCTCCACCACCTACTTCTTCGCCTGGTGCATTCTTGCAAGGTTTAGAATCTCCACCACCTTCTTCGTCTGGTGCATTCTTGCAAGGTTTAGAATCTCCACCACCTACTTCTTCGCCTGGTGCATTCATCTTGCATTCGCCAGCTCTTCCAGCTGCACTTCCATTCCGCCCCAGCCCCTCGACGCTTTCCAAAAAACAGTTGCATTCGTCCAAGATCTTTTCGAATTCGTCTGCTTCAACCCGATGCAAAGGCTTGTCCACATGTCCATGATTCCCCACTTCGTGGCCTTCTACAATCAATCGTTTCAAATGCTCTTCTGCGCCAGCGTATTTGCAGTGCTCTGTGATAAGAAAGAACGTTGCGCGCGCGTTGTACTTGGCGAGAATGTTTAGGACATCTGGAGCCATAGATTGGTGTTCATCTTCATCTGGATAATTTTTATTCAGTCGCGGGTGTGAACAAGAACAAGAAGAGGCTTGTGAACAAGAAGTGGCTTCTTCATCTTGTTCTTCATTTCTTTTCTCACCCGCACTGTCTCCTTGTTCGACTCCCTTTTCCGCAGAAGTATTCCTCGCATCTTCTTTTTCGCTTCTCCTCTCTCCGAGTCTCCTCTGCGCATTCAGATCGGCGTCTTGCTCGCTTCTCCTCGTATCTTCTCGATCTACTTCTCGTTCATCCGCGTCCGCACTGGAGGGGACATCACCAAAACTACAGAGCCCGTCGTCGATCGTCAGAGCAACAATGTCTTCCTCCTCATCGTCAAATCGGAAGATCGTGTCCTTTTTGTAATGAGGAAAGAATCGCAGCCACGTGACCGGAGGAGCCAAACCGACCTTCTTGGTGAAATTGTGCGCAGCCTTCACGAACATGTTTTTTCTTCTCACGACATGAGACCCAGCAACACCGCGAGATATTTTAGAACAATTATAGACGACCAGCTATTTCTGTATAATGCAGTAGTCACCATCTTGTTGAGTAGTGCTGAATGATGTTGTTGTGAGGTCATTTTTGGCACGATTTAAGAGAAGTGAAGCAATAGGTGATCTCTATCGTCTTGGTCCTGCTAGTAAAACAAATAGAAATAGATACAAATGCATCAATGCAAAGATAGTTCGACGAGGCTATGGATCTGCATGTCCGATTTCCCCCTTTTTCTCAACAACGATCTGTCTGCCAGTGCTGCTGCTGTACTAGACATATCAAGAAAAACCAAGCACGGCTATACTAAGTTAGGATTAGGATTAGGGGGGTTCCCGCCTCAGCCCTGCGCATTGAGTAAGATCTCGAGGAACACTTGTTCTCCAAGTACAATTAGAGGCATTTAAGAAGTTATGATGTTTTTCATGGCTATGTCTGTGTCTACCAACATATGGACACTAGTACATGTTTCAAAAGTAAACAGACAAAAACATCAAGTTAAGAAAACGAATACAATGGTTGGTGGATCATGATGTTAATGATCTTTGTAGTTCATCGGTGGCCGTATTTTGCGTTGTGTATGCATGTGGTTTCCAGGCCAACCACCTCATCAACGTAGTGTTGACAAGGTCGTCATCATTCATTGTTGTAATCCCCATTGCAATCCTCGTCGAATTATAGAAACTTCTATTATTGGTGCGTTTGTTAATACAATAATAATAATACCGGTGGTCTTTGCGTTGCACAAAAAAGCGTCTCTTCATAACAATCTGATTCTGAATAGCTTCTCGTAGGTGGTTCCATCAGATGAAAAAATTATCAGCCAAGTTCTTCGCGTTTGTAAAATTTTCGAATCAACACGATCAAGAACTAAGAAACATCTGCAGCAAAAGGACCTAGTATAAGACGCTATAGTATACGTTGCCGCGGCGTAGAAGACTCCACACAATTTATCCAGAAAACTTCTCAGACTAACAAGTCTTTTTTGTGGAAATCGTAGGCGTTGGAAATTTGATTTTCAACATTAAAACATATCAACATCTAAACGCAGCTCTAAACGAAGCTAATCGTTGTTATTCTCGTCAGTGTCAGTCCATCCTCGTTCTCCCTGTGTATATAGTGCTGGAAGTAGGGATACATGATCTACGAGCTCATAGAGGGAAAACTAACCGGTAGTTGTAAACATGATAGAGGGTAAGTTAGTGACGACGAGTGCCGCGTCATCATCAACCTTCTTGTTGTAGAAGAAGACGAAGAGTGTTCACGATCTACCACTCGACCTGTCTACAACTATCTGTACTCTTCTTCAAGAGGTTGTCATGTTCAGAAGAAGTAGCTGCTCCGATTCGGGCTCGCAGTGGATCGCTTCAACGATATCTTCATCGTGAAAAGCTTCGTCTTCCCCGGCCGCACTCGCGTGTTGGTAAGCACTGTAGTCTCCCTGTTCGCCGTGTTGCCAAGCGTGACCGTCTTGGTAGGTGTTGTCATCTTCTTGTTCGTGAGAATTAGAAGGAGGAACTACACATGGAGATGGATATGGAGCAAGATAACAATCTTCATCTTCTCCAAGACGTCTAAGTAGTCTAACACTACACTGTGGAGCAGGGCCGTACTACTCTAACGCGTCGCACTAGTCTACTTAGAAGCACTCTAGTGCAACTTACTAGTTTCTCGCTTTATTAATGGTGGCGCGAATCTACTCGGCAGTCTGCCCAAGATTTCCCTGACGACTTCTCGCGTAAATAAACTTCTCTTACTGGCCATAACATCATCTTCCCGATCTCCGGGTTTGCAGCATAGGGCACCAAGGTTTGCCGAGAGGAACACAAGGTGAACGCAGATTATGATTGCGACGAAAGCAACCAGCCCCAAAACGACTGGTCGGATCACAGGTCTGATCGTGTTCTGGAAATAATCGACCACAGGGATGGGAGGAGGAGTCGGTCGCTCGTTGTCTGGGAACACATCTGAGATGAGCTCGTCGACTTCATCCATAGCAGTTCCTCGATTTATTTGGTCCACGATGAATCGAGCCGGCATCGTCTCGCGACCATTTCTTTCTGCTTGGTCAACGACATCCATGCTGCATCCTTGGCCACCACGCCTCAACACCGACTTACTTATATGGTAGTCCAAGACATGACACGCATTGTTCATGTAGTACATGTGCGTAATCACGTCCGCTCGAGTTAGAAGAAGACGAAGATGAGCCCTGCGTCCAGATATGATAATACAGATATTACCACTTTCGGTTTTTAGTCTGAGGATACCGATACGTCTATTTTGGTTTTGCATTGAAGATTCTTCCTTGTGTATAAATTTTGATCTATTAGTCTTTCTTATGTATTCATCCGCATACAACTACTTATACATGATAGTCGTGCAGCAACATATGCATTGAAGAACTAGAACTAGTCTACAATTATATTTCATAGTGTGACTAGAAGGAGAAGTAGAAGGAATACCTACTATACCAAATCGAATACCACTATTTGTAAGTAGCCTTAAAACCGAGAGGAAAAGCAGAATCCACAAAGAGAAGTGCACCAAGCAGTGCTTCTTAAGTTTGCGACTGCTACAAGCGACGAAGGACAACAGCATCTGAGGAAGATAGAAGAGGCAGAGGAAGAGCACCACATATCCCAGGAGACGACCAGCCATGGTACGCGCACCACGGTGGATCCAACCAGGGTTAGCCAAAGAAGTGTCCACGTGGTTCTGCCGAGACGAGCCGAAGGAATGAAGGAGGAGGAGGACGAAAGGTGCTGTGAATGGTTCGTTTCGGTACTATTTGGTAGCCTGAATTTGATGATCGCAAGGGTTCTCTTCTTGTTTGATGCCCTGATGATCAAATTCAGGTCGTTACCAAATTATACAAGTAGATGAAGTATACATACTGGTATGTAGTAGCTAGGAGTACTAGCTGGTTGTTGTAGTTATGGCACTAGTATGACTTGTTGACAAATGGAGCAATGATCATTTGGCACTCGCAACGCAACTACCGCAAGAAAGTAACAGAACTAACTAAGTACTACTAGACCTGTACTATCTGATAGGAACTATCAAAAAAATCTTAACGACGCAATGCAGCTCTGCCGGTTGCTCCACCTGCAGAACCTCCACTTGGAAAGTAGACTCCGTCTGCAGTTGGAGTTCCTGGATTTCCTCCAGCTGCAGCACTAGAAGGGCTACCTCCACCAGCTGGTGAGGCCACATCGGCTCCAGGAGTCGTGGGTGCGCTACTGGGACTTCAAAAATTAGATCTTCAGGAAAATAAAAAGTAACGTATGGATGGTAGTGCTTCTAGTACTTATCAAGGCGACAAAACAGTTGAAGTTATCTTGATCTGCTAGAACTAGAATACCTTTTGTCAGCGATTTTCATCAATTGAGCTTGAAATCACGTTAAACCCTGCTCTCCTTAACAACACCTTCTTCGGGATCTCTGCTGCCTCCAGGAGCTGGCGCGCCAGGAGCTGCTGTCGCTCCACCGACACCAGCCGCTGTGGGACGAGCATTAGACCTCTGCTCCGCAATTTTTCATCTCTCTTGTGGAAATAATGATCCCTCATCAAGCGTATGTGTGGTCAGTGTCAATATCATTCCCCTTGTATCTATTGGGGCGCATACTACTTACGTTTGACTTTGAGAGAGGATCGATCCCTATAAAAAAGATGGACTAGGTCTAGGGAAACAAGCCTTCAAGCCTTAAGAGCAGTGCGAACGCGGTTAGCTCTAGCGAGACGTCGACCGCCACGCATTGACGCAGCTGCCATCCTCTGCAGGTCACTCGGCACATTTGGAACAACAGCAGCAGCCGCAGGAGGTGGTGTACTTGAAGATCCAGCAGCTGCAGCACCACTACCTCCAGCCGCAGGAGGTGGTGTACTTGCAGATCCACCGTCAAGATCTGGTGTCGGACTTCGACTAGGGGAAGTAGAAGGCGCTCCAGCACCTCTGCGACGTCTAGGATTCTGAGCATCATCAATTTCAGCAAGTGCGGAAATTTCCTCAAGAAAAGGCGAGATCACGAGGTTGTGAAAAACCGGAAAGGCGTTGAAGCCACAGGCCTCCACCAGCACTTCGACGGTATCGACAGCGTGGGCAGGAGGTAGGTTGTCCAACCTGTGTTGTAGAAGATGGATCAGAAGATGGAGATGAACGAAGTCGTAGTGGAGGAAGGCAACAAGTCAAGTCGTAGTGGAAGTTCGTTCAGGAGTTGTTTATCTATCAAGCTGGCACGACGGTGAAGTAAAATTTCCTATGGCATGGCACAAGTCTCGCATGGAGGTCATACATCTACTAGATTGGAGACTAAACAATATCGAGAACGAAGTCGTAGTGGAACAAGAAGGTGGAAATAATGAGGACTAATATCCATCAAGCACGGTGAAGTTGTAGAGATACAACCGATCAGCATTTTTGTGCTGCATCAAAGAAGACCAGCACGACCAGTACTTCCATCAAAAATGAACAAGGTGAAGTTCTACTTCCCAATAATTGATCCTACAAGAGGTAGCACAAATTTTCAACAGAATATCAAGAATCAATCTGTAGTACTGTCGAAGTAGGGTTTCGAAGCTGCGTCCTTGCGGAGGATCTTGTGTACTCGCATTCAAAGCATTGCCCAAAGTAGCTAGAGGGTTTGCGGAAGCTCCGGAACTACGACCTCCCGCTCCTCCGGAACCTGAACCAGTTGCACTTGCACCAGGAGCGCCTGAACGTCCACCGATAGCCGAACCTAGAGAGCCTGAACTCCCCCCATGAGATGCCATCACCCAGTCTACGAAAGTGTCGACTTCACGAGCGAACCTGCCTTGAAAAGTCTGCGGGTTGTTCAGCTCTTCGACGGTGACGTTGTTAGAGGTGTACGTGTATGGATGTGGAAGATATCAGTGGAGAAAGAATATAATCACTGTTAGTTTTTGTCATTCTTGCTGTCCTTAGCCGCGGTAGTGCTTACAGAAGAATCAATCCTACTACTCACTTGGTATGGTCGTCATTTATTTCTGACGTAATTGTAAATGAATAAATCGAAATTATGCGCACGTTGATACTTGTTGATGTTCAGCATTTATCAATAAAGTTGAGGAGTTAATAACACGACTCGGCATTAATATGATCGACTTAACAGTGTGAAAAGTATGGAGAACAGCTGCCACGACGATGGCTACAATCGTGAAGATGAGGAACCACACTCCACGGATGCCAAAAATGATGCGACGCCAATCGCAGAGGCATCTCTTCTTCTTTTTAGCATTTTTACTTTTGGTACCACGGCTGGAGTAGGGGTCCATCTTTGTGGTCATCATGTCCTCGTCGTGGCCCATCATGTCGTGGGCGTGGTGGTTCTTGTTTTTGTAGTTGTAATTCATTTTGTTATATTAATTTGTGGTCGCAGTTCTTCTACTTTGTAAGAATGTACCCAGGTTGTTGATCTTGATTCATTTGGTATTATCTTTTTCAATTATAAATTCGAATTCGATGATATTTGAACTAGCACTTTGCTTGTTGTCTTTGTACCTACCTGAGCTGCAGGTGTTAGACGTGATCCGAAATGAAATAAACCAAGTATATGACTGTGAAATCGGTATGGTATGCTGACTATGTTAGTGGTTTATGCGAATGCGTATGTGTTTCTCTATGCCCTGTGTTTTTTTTTGAATTTTGTTGATTATAAGGAACTGATGTACTTCTTGGAGTACATCACGGATTACTTCGTCAAGATCAAGAAAGCTGTTGTCGCATCCTAGTAACGCACCTCCTGTACCAGCAGGACGCAAATTATAAGACAAACGCATACAAGAACCTTCAAAAATCAACAAGTCAACTGTTGTACTTCCCAAGAAGATGCAGCAGCTGCTGCAAACGACAGAGTACAAGCACGTGCACAAGTCCTCACCAAAGGAAGTGAACAGCTGGTGGATATTGCTTGATCACGACCAACAGTTCAACTTTTTGTTGAAAAACAACCAACACGACTACTTTTGAAAAACAGACGACCTTGGTCTTGGTGCTTACTCAGCTTCGTGAAGACGGACAACAAGGTCCGCTTAGGTTTCAGGGTTCTAGAACACATTACGACAGGTGCCGCCTTGGAGCAAGAGTTTGCTGCACTGTTGATGTGGTTGCGCATTGCGTGTACCACAGTGGTGTAGAAGTATCAAGACAACTTTAGCATGCTGCTAGGCGCTTGTTCTGAGTGACACACAGTGACGAATGTGGCGAGGCTCGTTAAATGTGAATGACATCTAGTCAGAGATGGAAACGGAATATGGGATTTTCACATCAGGTTACCGACATCAGAGAGCTTTATTTCCGCCTTGCATTGAATACGACTACAAATTCAAGTTTGCTATTCCATTTTCCAGGTCTTGCACTTGTAATCGCAATGCATCGTCTTGCCTGAAATCGTAGGGAAACCCAATCTTCGGCATAGTTTCTCTGGCAAACTTTCCACCAGTTTCGTTAGGAAAGTCGTTGCGCAACGAATCAGTGTGAATAGCTAGACCTACTATCAATTCAAACACCTCTGCTGATACAGCATTGTCATAATCTAGCTCAAATTCAAGGAAGCCTTTCAGAACCGCTCCTGTAGGACTAAGAGTAGAACTAGAACTTGTTCCTTCTGCTTGAGTGGATATTTGATAAATTATGTCTCCTTCTGGCCGATTTACTTCATTGTCCTCTGTAGAAGTAGTCATCCTTGTTCCACCGCCTCCACGGCGTCGCTCTACTGTAGTCGGACCAGCACTGCTGCTACTAGAAGACTTACTAGATGGTCCCCCAATAAGGTCAAAAATCTGGGATGGCCAATCGTCATGCTCATCATCTTCATCTTGTGGCGGTGCCGCTGCTATGCTCAACTGCAAGTTTTTGGACTTTGCATCCTTGCTAAGACATACAGTTGCTGGTCCCTTGCACACCAGAACCGTCTTTTTGGCCGCAGATTTGACCTCCCGTTGCCACCACTGGCCACAGCATAAGCCAAGGGAGGTGACGCGACCTGGAGAAGGTCGTGGAGGTGAAGGTGGAATGATCATGATGACTACTATGCTGTTGAGGCAGATTTCGACATGATTAATCCTAGCAGAGAGATAAATTTTAAAAATGACCTCCTAACATCTTGTAGTAAAAAGAACGCAAATACGAAAAAAGAAGTAGGATAGGATAGGATAAGATGCCGCCTAGGGATCGATCTATAGGATAGGATGCCGCCTATAGGATAGGATAGGGATCGATCTATCAACATACATAAAAAACGCATCATATCAATCTGTATATTATCCTCTACATGAGGATCAATAAGTAAAAAAGCATACCAAACAGAACTTCCTCCAGCAGTCGTTGTGCTTTTGCATATGCAGCTGGGACGAAGCACATTGGCGCTCCAGGCTGCACGCGTCTTAGGACTTCCGGTTGCACTGCTAAGGTCTGCAGTCCTAAAGAAAGCATGCTGATCACCGCATTCAACTTGGGCAGCATCTCCGCGATTCGTTCTCTTCTGCCTTAGAAAGGAGATAGATGACTAGGGCTCCTGTAGCGGTGTATGGTTCTGGTATTTGGACCTAAGTTTGATCCTAAGGGTTCTCTTCTTGTTTTCCCTTAGGATCAAACTCAGGTTACCAAATACCGGAACCCTTCAAGCGGAGATGTGCTGGAAATTATCCATTGAGTAATATAGTTCCAGCACTTCTCCTCTACCTTGATGTTCTCGTTGGAAAGCAATCTTCGATACCTCTTTTTTAGTACTACCTAGTGAAGAGCAGGTTTGTAACATCACCTTCTTGACTGGTATGCATAAGCAGGTTAAGCGGCCGGTCACTTGCTCAACGAAAAGAGGAGTCAATACTTTTTAATAATAGACCATTTTTAAAATATGGCACCTACTTTCGATCATGATCTTCATCTTGGTGAATCATCACAAGAAGCTTAACTTTCTTTCCCATCTTTTTTCGACCTTAGCCATTTACCCCATGACTCCTTCGAGTCGGGTCTTTCGTCCTCGTCCTCGTGTTCAGCAGTCCCTATTTCAAGGATCTCCTCAACTTTGCCTATCTGAAACTTGATGAGACGAGTACCTGAAGAAGGTGCTTGAAGATAACGCACAAGAAGGTGCTTGTTATTGAAGTGAAAACCTTTCTCATTCTCAATTCGTCTGCGGCACCAACACGTCTGCGGTTTTCCCTTAAGAGTAGCTAAAATTTTTGGACAGCAGAATTGAGAATGAGAAAGGTTTTCACTTCAATACTTGTGGGTGGTGAAGTATTAGAAGATCCTGCCACGATCTTCGAAATCAAGTAGCAACAATGACAGAACCACGACAACAATAGTTTAGATTTAGTAGTTTAGAGTACTCGGCAACAGCACCACCAACGCCTCCTCTCGAACCAATAGCTTGTCTGCGACGCTGACGGGTATGCTCAGGGATTCCAGGGTTTTCCATAGAACGTAACCTTCTTCTTCTACGCCGTTGAAGCTCTGTAGGAAGTCTATGGCCTTCTTCGTCCCAGTCGCGACCTTCCAGATCGCTGTTGCACCAATCATCGCCATTTTCCTACTGGTGTCTATTCTTTGGGTGTAATCAAGAGAAGCAAGTATATGTCACTCTGTTCAACAGACCTCCTACACAAGCGGGTCTCAGTCAGAAAAAGTAGTATCTATTAAGTAAATGTAAAGCAAGTAGAAGAACTTTTCCTCGAACTAAAAATTTTGATTTTCCTCCTCCTGAAAAATGTGTTCTTTTTAGATGCGTGGTTTTATCAACCTCGGATAAATATAGGAAAAAGGGTCCTTGGGGTGATGCACTTCTAAACCCACTTTCATTTTGTTCGTCTAAGCCACAGCCACTGCACTTTTCAACTAAAAACGTACATCGCGTACTATCTTTTCCACCTATTTGGATTTTGAAGTGACAGCAGTGAGGGAAGGGCAAGGGCATACGTCGGAGCTATTTTTGTAGGTAGTTCTACTTTCATGTGCGAGTGAAGAAGTGCCTGGTGTCTAGGCCTTTTGTATCTATAAAACAACATCAGTCTTGAAGAGTAAACAGATGTGGTTAGAAACCCAAACCTGCCTGGAGTCACATAAACATTTTTCCACTCGGCGGCTGGTCCGAGACCTGAATTGAATTTTCATTTGCTCTGCATCTTTTGTTCAACAGGTTGTAGTGCAGAAAGCTGATCATATCTTCAACTTGAGTGTTTGAAAGCTACGATTTCTTCATGTGTCAACATGAAAGTCTTTCATTTCATGTGTTCGGGTACCTAAAGTGCATTTATCTTCATTCGTACTATCTATTTCACCTCTGCTCTTCATCTCCCTGCTTCGTTCCTTCGTTCTTTCCGCGAAACCGTTCTCTTTTGTCCACTCAGGATCCACCCAGAAAGGTCCTGGCAACACTAACTTCCGCACTTCTGGTGGTATGAAAGTCTCGAAGTCTTCCCACGTGGATAACAACACTTTGTTGAACTTGCTTTCCCATCGGCTAAAATGAGATGCGGCCATGTAATGGGCTTGGAATCTATCAGGCTTAGCGGTGCAATGATACAGTGGTCGATAAATGACCTTGAAATCCTTCACCTCATGGTCCCAGGCATGGCCGAGAACTTGGTAATACTCGCCTTTAAGCTCCCAGATGTCAGGCAAACCTTTATGAGCTCCACTTCTGTCTTCATGCTCAGTCTGGAGATCTTCTACTCGCTCAGGCATCTTTTTTCCTTTCTTCTTGTTGTAGTATATGAACCAACGACGACCGGCAACACAGTGCTGATGTCATGGAATAGGATAGGATAGGAGTTCATCTGGCGAAATGAAATACGTAGAACCTGCCAAGATCTAGTTCGTGATGCGAGCCTTGTTTATTTTTCTATTCATTGCCCTTTTCACTGTATGTGTAAGAACAACTCAAGGACCACTTCTATCAATCACTAGTACGTTCCTGATGGTCATCCGCCGATTTTATTTTTTCCCTCGGACAGTTGTTAGCGCAAGCGCCATGAAAAACACGCACAAAAGCAAGTCATTGTCATTCCATCAACAAAAACTACGACCAAAAGCTGCAGGTGGTCGTTGATTTGTATCTTTGTGTCATCCCGTGAATAGCTTTTCAGCCAAGCCAAGATGATCCCTGAGATTTCATCGGCATGAAATGATAAATATGAATGTTGTTTACTACAGTTCTGATTCTGGCGCTTGTGTTTGACAATTATCGTTCTGCATGTGCAGAACGTTCATCGTGACGTTCCATCCTTGTCTTAATGATGTCCATCAACTACTTCTTGTACTATGGTGGCCTTTGCAACCCCAGAATAGAGCGATTGGATAGGACCACGAATACCGTTTTTTTGATCTATCCAAATGAAAGGTGATTTTGGTCTTCTGGGAAAAAACTATGGCGGGCTAGACATTATATTACAATTACAAATTTTTCGAATCGTTCGACGCACCAGCTGGGGTGGGCGCAAAGAAAGTACGCACTTCACGGACGCAAAGAATAAGACAGCACAGTAGTGTAAGAGCTAGACTGAGTAAATACATACCAGCAGTGTGATCGCACTTAATCAACAAGGAAAGCAAAAGCATACAGAAAAGATAAAGTAATTTTAAGCAGACAGAGACGAGCCACAGAGCTGACATACAGCGTGAAAGCTAAGCTAAGTACAACGGTAAGAAGTTGCGACAACAAGATATTGCGATTTGTTATCTGAAAAGCCTCAACATTCCGTTTCATAAGCAGAGTAAGATTTAAGATAATGTTGAGATATTTGGAGGATGACAGAAACAGCATGAGGTAAACCAGCCACGAGGAAAGAAGCGGACGACTGCTAAGCACCATGTAGATGCACTTGCGTCTTGGAGTAGAGCAGCAACGGAATAACTTAATAAGATATATTTCTCCTCTACTTCTACGAACTCCTCCAGAGGACTGAGACTTCTTCCTCTAAGAGCTCACTCTTGAAGCATTCTTGAAGGAGCAGTCCACTCTCCTTCCAAGAACCATGATTGACGCGTAGTCGTAGATTATGCTGATGCAAAAAATTATGAGATTGTCATTGTGTTGATACATATGCTCGATTTCGTCTAGTTTCTATCTAAGTACTCAAACTGTAAATTAAAGTACTAGCCAAATTGATTGGCACACAGAGCAGATCACTCATGGAGTACTAGATGATGAGTTGTTACAAGAACCAACAGCAACGAACTACATACTCAGTAGTTTGTTCGTCACACTTTTTGGTAGTACGAATACGAAATATAACGAATCCTATTTTTCATCTTCAACTTTTTTCTACGACTTCAAGAGGAGGCTATGAAGACGACACAAGCTGCACGGACAGGGAGGCCCTCCACGTTTTCCGACTTTTGCTTCCTCACGCGGATTTGGATTGTCATCGACCCTGCATCCTGCTTCTTCCACAGGGATCTGCCATATCTGCGTAGCTTTGAAAAGCGATTCGCTTGCCGTCGCCGTGGTTCCGTTGGGTAGAACAGTCAAAAAGCCGCTCTTGGTAAAACCCAGGGGGTCTTCGCTGCCCGCCGAGGACAATGTAAATGTAGGAGACCGACCACCCTTGTCTTCATTAATCTGAAGATCCTGAGTACGCCACTGCCGAAAGAGTCTACCATACTCGATTTCGGCACCTATGATTTTTCCCGGTTGTTCTACCTCATTATAACAAGGCGAAGGCAGCTGATCATCTCCTCCTCCTCCAAAAGCGAACTGTTCCAAATTTGCGATTATTTGGATGAGCGACTGGTTCGTTGTGTTTACAGTTGCACTACCACTACTAGTACTTGCTGTAGTTCTCTTCGCACGAGTAGGGCGCGCAGGCCGTTTCTTCCACTTCACAGCAGCACCCAGAGCATGAAAAATGCGTTCAACTTTTTCGCTTGTTAGTACACGTAGACCCCATAGAGATTTAGGAGCCTGGACAAACCGAATGCGTTCTGTTTTGAAATCAACCTGAATGAATATGACGCACTTGCTCGACTCCGCATCAACTACTGGTTCGAATTTTGTTGAGGATTCTGCTGTAGTCTTCTCCTGCACCAGCTTCATCTGACACGACAGCCTCATCTGATCAAGCAACATCCTTTGGCGTTCCAGACCTTCCAGTCGAAGCCTTTTTTGTCGTTGCAGCTCTTGCTCTTTGTTGCGGCGGAGATAATCTCTCTTGTTGTTTTGTCTAGTTTCACGTCGTTCACCTCCCCCTTGTTGATATAATTGTGAAAGCAGGAATGCACTTGTTAAACGTTGTTCATCATGATCAACAACTGAAGCGGCGAGACCACGTGCTTTTTTCTCGACGTGTTCTGGAATACGAAAAATATCGTTACTCCTCTCAACAAACCGAACAGCTTCTTCTTCATTTTTGTGAATATGAAGGAGGTTAAGGTTAGCGCCGTCAGAATCAGGCTTCATGTGCCCAAGCTCCTTGACCGCCTGCTCTTGTTGTTGTTCTTCTGTTCTTTGATCATCATCTTCGACCTCGACGGCTTGTTGTTTTATCTCCATCGTCTTTGTGCCAATACGCATGAAGAAATTTCCTGTCGCGGTATCAAAGAAGATGCCTCTAATCTTGCGTAGGTCAGGTGAAGCAGGAGGCGCAGCACCAAATACAAAGCCTATTTTTGCTCCTTCATCTTTTCTTTGTTGTCCGCTTGCAGCATGAGCGTCCATCGCAACTGCATACGTATGTATTCTCGCATTCCGCACAGCATCTGGGTCGTACAAATTCATATCTGCGGCAGTGGGTTTCACCAGAGAAAAGAACAGGCAAAGGTGGCAAGATAAGTCCTTCCACTTTATCCGCTGCTCCATCTCCAAGACCATCAAAAGGAGCCACTTTTTCCAGAAGTTCCTCATCCTCCTCATCGATGTCGTATTCTTCATCTGATGTTACTAAATGAGGACAACTTTTTCCGAGCATCGATAAAACGCTCTTCGTTTTGCGTTGCTGTTCATCAACATCATCTTCGGCACTGCTGAAACCCTCGGCGCTTCCCGTTGCAGGTGCGCCGGGGGGTCCCGTTGCTCCTCCTGTTCTATCATTTTGTTGACGTTGTTCTGCAGCTGAGGTTCTATCGACGACAGCTCCCGCGCCCTCACCTTCAGCTGAATCGACGTCCTGCGGCTCCTGCTGTGTTGCGACATCTCCTCCAGTTGTTGCGCCACCAATTCCAGTCTGTTGTACTTGCACTATTCTGTTTGTTCTAGTCGTATACCATCTCCACCATCGAGAAATAGTATTGGCAGGATGAGCTGGTAGCTCCTCCCGTCGTCGTTCCCATGGCGACGCCCCCACCGCTCTTGGTTGAGAGCGAAGAGACTCCTGCTCCGATTTGTACTCGTTATGCGCATAATTTTGGAGGTAAAATCGCACACGAGAGGTCCCAGAGCGGCTTTCAGGCTGGTAGACGCGCCACGTGCGTTCCGAAATACCATAGAAACGGTGCTCTGCCAACAGTTTCTGAAAAAACGTCGCCTCTAATCGGGTTTGCTGGGATGGCTCATTCACAGGATGGGTTGGGAGAGGTTGCCACTTATCTCTTGGTGTACCAGCAAAGGCTACTGAGCCGCAGCAGCCTTTAGATGAGTAAGTTGCTCGATCTAACTGCTGAACAGGAGGCGTCTTCGTTTTTGTCCTACACATTGTATCACGTTGCTCTTCATGCGGTCCTGATGTGGTGGAGACCGGAGAAGATCCACTTCTACCATGGTCCTCTCCTCTTGCTCTTTCTCCTTGTAAAATATCATCCTCAAGGTCATCTGCCAGAAAGCAGTCAGGGTCAAGAGCCAAGGGCGAAGATGCTGCTAGCGGTGCTATTCTTGTCGTTGATGCTGCTAGCGGTGCTGTTGATGCTGGTAGCGGTTGTACTCGTCTAGGACTTGATGATGAAGAAGATGGCGCTCCTCGTCCTTGTGGTTGTGCTTCATCTTGATCCTGGCCCCAAGGATGAATGTGCGTCAACACGAGAGCACCCCTCTTCCACTGAGGAAATCCTCTACAACAGCCTGCTGTCGTTGTATTTGGTGGTTGTGAAGCAGGACGTTGATGAGGATCTACAACATCTTCGAACAAACTGTTAATCAGCATTTCCTCTTCTCCAGCAACTACATCATGTGAAGAAGATTGACGCGCACTATGTAGTTCTTGATGTGACGCATCGCTTCCCGTCGACTGTAGTACTTGGCCCCCCTGCCGTGCACGACCAGAATGATCATATGAATACGCTTCCACCGGCGACGGAGGTAACAATGTCGCTTCATCGTGTCTTGAAAGAAGTGCTGGTCGTGACTCATCTGCTTCGGAAAATGATGATGACCCAGAGCAGGACCCATCCTCTGACGAGGCGAAAGAGAATTCGGAATCCTCCGCCCAAACCCAATGCGATCTCGCGCCACATATAATTTGTAGTTTTGGATGCAACTCTTCGCGCTGTTCATGGTTCCTTCCAGGTCTAGTCGTGCCGAAAGCAGATGAGTCATCAGTGTCATCAGTGTCGTCAGTGTCATCATTCATCGATCCCGTTCCCATTCCCGTGGTTGACATATTTTTCTCATGTCGCTCATCTTCAAACGGCAACAAATGAAGACGCGGCTTCAACAGCTCCTGCTGTTGCTCGCCCGCCTCGGCTCCTGGGCCACCCCCACCTTGTGTGATATACTTACTCCCTGTAGTCTTCAAGAATGCTCCTCGTCCTCGCGGTTGATTACTCTGCTGGTGTACTTCACGAGGCAGTTGTAGTATGGGTCCAAGAGGTACTAGTACAGGAGAAGATTGCACAGCCGAGGGAGGTGGTTGTAGTACAGAAGGTTGAGAAGAAGGCTGCACAGACGAGTGCTGAGGTGGTTGTAGTACAGAAGGTTGGAAAGAACGTCGAAGCCCCTGCACAGAGTGAGGTGGAGTTAGTACAGAAGCAGGCTGCACCACGTCAGAGTCCTGCCCTTGTGAAGAGAGGGAACGACGAGGATGGTCTTCTTTTCCTCCACCAAAATAACTGTAAGGGCCATAGCGTAAACAAGATGAAGTAGAAGCGGGACTTGATGGCATAGTAGTACAATCATATGGAGGACGAGGAGCACCTCCAGGAGTACCAAACGGAGCACCTCCTGCCGCCACTACTGTAGGATCCATGGCCCATGATGTTCCTCTCTGGTGGAGATGGTCAACATAATGACGTTTATAGAAGTAATGTTCATCGTCGTAGTTGCGGATCGTATCAATATGCAGAAGTCCTCGCACAGGATAAGTAAACGGCGAATGCAGAGGCTCGGCTTGCTCCTGTTGTACATCTGCTGAAGATGCAGTCCTCGTCTTCGTCGCATTCTGTACTTGTTGTACTGCTCCTCTGAGTACTTCTGTTTGTTGATCCACTGCACTCAAAAATCTCTCGAATGTTGTAGCTCCTTCATCTGCTGCTGTATTCTTCGACGTCTTCATCGCATTCTGTACTCCTCCGAGTACGACATCAACATCGGCCGACGTAGCTGTACTAGGTGGTCTAGAAGTAGCAACAGGACTTTCGGAGACTCCTGTAGGTGGTCTCGCACCAGTCGCAACAAGAACGCCGCTTCTCTCCTGTAGATCATGATCTGATGGTCTCGCATCAACTACATCACCGCTTGTTGTTGTTCTCTCCTGTAGAGTGGCAAGATACGCACTCTCGCGCCTCTCGAACCAGTCAGCAGAGGAAGGGAGAGATTCAACATTACCAGTCTCCAGTGCCTCCTGTTCAGCTGGGATTGACGCAGGGATTGAGGATGAAGCGGAGACCAATAGAGTTTGTTTTAGTTGGCAGCGCCGGCTCCTGGTGCGAGCAGAAGTAGTGCTATTACTAGCACCACTAGTACTTGTTGTGAACACAGAAGATGATAGAGATACTTGCACAGATATGAGAAACATGATCAGTGTTTTACAAAAACATCGGCCGGAAGGTAAAAGGGACTGAAGCGCCAATGAAGATCGTGTAACTGCACATGCGCTCCCCGTTTTCCTCGTACAACTACTGGAGGGACCCGCCATTTTTCTGATTGTTTTTAATATTATTATTAATATCGAACAACTTGTTTTTAATATCGATAGTACTCAAACTCTACTACAACAACTCTTGACAAAAGATTGTTTTGTTGTAAGAGATGGGAGCGATTGCGGGAGTGATGTCGGAAAAGAAAAGACAATCGCAATGAAAAATCATCAAGATGCAGCACACCGATGCGTTTCTGGAGCACACATTAATGCTCTTTTTCTCACTCGTCTTTCGCTTTATTCGTCCGTCACATAAGTGCTAAGAGTATGGCTGCTCGACCTCGACTTAGACTTACGCTTACCCATGAATTCCATACACGTGATTGCTGGCCGTGGCATGTTCTCGGAGTAAAACCAAAACCGATAAAGATTTTGAGGCTAAGGATACTGCTGGTCAAGGAACTGCAGCTCTCCTCGTCCTGCAAGCACTTCCGTGACCACGTCTAGTACTAGTCGTCCCGAGTTTGGTTTAGACGAAGATGAATATTTTTAGAAACGCAATTTTTAGGCTCTTGTTTCATTTTTCATGGTTGTTGCGCGAAGACATAGATGAGATAGAAAAATCGCGTATGGTGGAGTTCGCCTCCTGCATGAATGTAATGATGGTAGGTGCAATAGATGAAAAATCAAAGGGTCTTCAGAGCTTATGTGGAACAACTGCATCTTATGGTTGTTCCTTGTAAGTGAATGGAAGTGAATTCTAAAAAGCAGGTTGTAAATGGAATCAATCAAGAAGATTTTGTTGAAGAACAAGACTGAGCCGTCCTTTAGCACAACTCACCAGTCAACTGGCGTCGAAATTGTACAAGTACCTTCTTCTATTGTCGCTGAAATAGATGAGAAATCAAAATGGCTTAGCATAACTGAAAGCTATAAAAATGATAGATTAGTTTCTGGTTCATTTTATTTAGGTAGAAGAAGTAGGAAACTTCAACTTGAACTTCATGTGCATATGATCAGCATCAGGCTTGCGCTTGTTAAAGTTCACTATATTTCTATTTAGGATAAAAACTGAAGCTGTAATTGGACTCCTGAATATTGGGTGGGACAATACTAGCTTCCACATTCATATGATTCTGATTCAGCTTCAAAAAGACACAACTAAGTAACTTCTGCGATGGCTTTAGCTGAATTGTTCATTTAGTTTTCATCTAAGTAGGTATGATTTTCTAACAACAACAATAAACTACTCAGCAAAGGAATCCTGAATCGTGCAGGACTCGCTCTTTCTCTTGTTCTGAAAACACAAACTTTAACTTGAGCTTCGATAGTCATAACTTCTATCGCGTGGCAACTACACGGTCAGTTAATTTTGTGGTTTTTCTCTGCGTCATCAATCTTAAGCTTAACGTGATTCAGTTACTTAATCGACTCCATGCTTGTTCATGCTAGTGTAAGATTTTGTAACATCAAAACTCGTAGTTCAATTTCAACAAAACTCCAAATCTATAGGTAAAGAGACACACCAATTAAACAAAAACCTCTTCTACTCGTCCTTGTTCTCCTTCTCCTCCAACTCCAGAGCATCAAACAAAAACATCTCCTTCAACTCCAGGGTCTAGCTGGTCTCCCATCGAAAAGATGTCCGACATTGCCGTTCCATCGTCGTTGAGGGCATTGCTTTTCGATGTCGGCACAAAAGGCGCTTGCGTGGGGTCAGCCTCCAGGTCGAGAACCTGAGAAGTATAGAGGTAAAGGTGAGTGAAAGTGGATCATGGTGGTCATGATCGATATTAAGGTGCTGATTGGAGAATAATTGTGGTGGAGCCGACCTAACTAGAAAAAAGACAGACCAGACAGAGGAAGATATAAAAGAGAAAAGGGCAACTATCAACAAGTATCCTAAAGTATCCTGCTAACTGCTAAAACTAACTAAGCGCCGGCGCTATCGTCGTCCTGTCAGCCCCATAGGTCTCACCTTCAAAGGCAGGCTGATTGGAGAATAATAATTATTGACTCATCTACATGATTCGATCATCTTCGCGCCGCTGCAGGGCTGTCTACTTACGTCGCTACAATTCGTCGAGACTTGTGTTACGTTCTTCTTTCTCCTCTCATCCTTTTCTTCAGCGTCTTCTTCAGTCAGCACCACCTCTTACGTCGCTACAAGAACATAGAATAATTAGAACAAATACCTCTGCCGTTTTTGCCGCGTAATCTTGTGCCGTTATCAGCCTTGGCTTGCCTAGCTGGACTTGATACTTGTTGAGGTTCTCGGTTAAAGTTCCTAGAGGTATGCTGCTCTTCCGCAAATCAGCTGGGTCGGAGAGATACTTGGCAGCGGGCGGCGTGTATAATCTCTTGTTCTCTTCTCAGATTTAGAAACAAACAGGCAGGGGTTGCTAGTTCTTGGTAGATCATGTAGCTGGTAGAGGACGTCGTACACGTAAAATAGTAGGGAAGGTACTACTGCTAGATGAAGTAGTTTCTGATTTTCTTCGACGAAGGTGTCATTTTTGTTCTTGTTGCCGTGTTATTTCGTGAAGATCTCAAACCTCCTCCTGCTAGGATCTAGAAGTTCTAGAAGATCTACTTATTTGTCTTAAAAATTGCGGTGAAGCCGACCTAACTAGAAAAAAGAAAGACCAGAGGAAGATAGAATAAAGAAAAGGGTAATAATCTTCTAGATCTACTTATTATATTTGTATTGATTGTGGCGGAGCCGACGTAACCAGAGGAAGATAGAAAAAAGAAAAGTATTTCAATTTTAATCTCAAACCAGCCATAAAAGTCGTACTCCCTCTCAGTCGTTGTTCTTGGTTTGGCTTCTTTCCTTAATTGGTGGAGGCAACGGACCATCTCCAGAAACTCATGGCTCTGCTTCGCCGGCATCGTATCCAAAGCATCCGCTATCATAGGATGACTCTCAGGCTTGAAGACGGAGGCGTACCTACTTGGTCGTAGAGGGATTCTCTATATTTTTATGCTGGGGTACGTAAGTAGTTGTTATAGATGTTGACTTTGAATTTTTTGAGTTGTTTGACTTGTTAGAGAGGAATATAAAATAAATTGAGCAGATAGTACTAGTACTAGTTGTGGTCGTTGAAGACTTTGTTTGCGTGTTGTGGTAGATCATGATGTTGATGAGGAAAATAAAGCGACGGTGTAGTAGTACATTTTCTCATCTTTCTCCAAGGGGTTTAGTATTGCCGCGTTGTGATTGGGGAATTGGTTTTTCATGCTTGTCTGGAAACGCCTGTCTTCGGGGTAGCCTGCGTCGGGCACTTTTTTCCCATCATGGTTACGCATCGTTCGCCACTTTCTTCGATTTATTGCGAACCCTCGTCGATGGAATCGGTATTGCGTTTTCATACACGGTAGAGGTTCGGAGGTGATACTCCCTTCTGTTGTCTCGGTCATCTCGCTTATACCAGTCCACCGTGAATAGTCCGACACATCAGTTGACACAGAGTAAGTCGATGCTTGCGAATTCGCGTCAAGCCTGATGGTGTGGTCGTGTGATAGATGATTGAATGTTGGATGGGGTATATCTTTCTTCTGTATTGTTCTAGCTGAGTGAAAAATCTAGACTATGGTATGAGCGCTTCTGCTGAAGCATGCACATGCATGCTGTTGCTGAGTATCTAGAACTATGTTATGATATACCCAGTATGATCGATTCAAACAAAGAAAAAATACGAGAGTAGCTATTGATACCACGCATCCAACGTCAAGCTCTCTGGCGCGTAGATTCTTCTCCGATTCCTCCTCTTGTCATTATGCAGATCGATAGGGGTCATCTTTGGTCTCGAAGAGGAAGACGCGCCGCCAGCAGAACCACCTCCTATAGATGGTAATGAGCGACTACCTCTACTACGACCGTCGTTTGAACCTGGGTTGGAATCTTAATTCTTGATCTTCACGATGACTCAGGACAAAACTAACATTATCATTGTCTTCAACAAGCTGACTCTTTAATATCATGACAAATACGAAGATTGAAATTGATATACAACAGATGAGAGTTGTATTCTTGGTACTCGCGCCTCCTATTATACCTCTCCCGCCACTCCTTTATTTAATGTAAGTAAATGTATGGCTCTGGTATTTCTATTTGGTAACCAGAGTTTGATCCTAAGGGTTCTCTTCTTGTTTTCCCTTATGATCAAATTCAGGTTACCAAATACCGGAACCATTCAGTAAATATACCTCTCCTAGTACTCCGTTAATGTAAAAGTAAATATACCTCTCCTACTCCCACCCGCTCCACCAGGTCCTCCTCCGATGTGATCAGATAATGCTATCCTTTGGGGCACGCTCTTGTCTGCTGCCATCAGCTTATCCACTGCATCTCCCTCCGCGACACAGACACTACCAGCTTCGGCGCCTATTGAAGTAGAAGTAGTTGTATCAAGCAGTAGATGTAGAAGATGGTCGTGGTTGAGGTTGTCCTCTACTACTACTTGTACATTGGTCGTTGGGTCCAGATGATGTCCTTGAACTTGAAAAAAATAGTACAGTTTTTAGTTTCAGTAGCTTTCGAAAAACAAATATTATTGTATTGATGTAAGTCCGATTAATACCTGCTTCCGAAGGGAGGATGCCATCCTCTGGTATGTCGGTGAGAGGCTTTGGTTCTAATATTGTTAGCTGCGTCCCCGTATCGTTTCCTGTGTATTTAGGTTGGGAGAGGAATGATCAAAAAAAGATTTCTATGAAGAGGATAGGAGATAATTCTACTTTGTTATCCTCGTTCTTGTACTATTTTCTAGTTGCAGAAAGTAGAGCCTCTATCCGTTCGGATAATCGGATGGAGGCCATTTTTTGTGTGTTTGTTTGTGTGGTTACAACAACATGAAAAAAAAGTAATACTAGAGCAGTGGATAGGGGTGCCAGATCCGGGATGGGATGGATCGGATGGATCGGATGGAACGGATGGACTTTCCACCATTTCAAGTAGGATCGGAAGAATCAGGGGGGTCCATCCGATCCATCTAAGTCCATCCTACATCCGTTCTATAAATACGGTAAACAAAGTACCTCCTCCACTTCCTCCTTCTAGTACTTGCTGTCCCTTTTTTAGCCAAACGGAGTACAAGTTGTCGACAGATTTCAGAAACTTTTTTTGCTCTAAGGGTGAACGCCACCTGTGCCACTCCGACAATTGCTTTAAATCCTGATTAAACAAGCCTTTCGCAAACTCGGTCCTGAGATTGGTCAGTGATGAGAATGGGAGCAGTAGATGTAGAAGCAGAAAAGGAAGTGGAGGTAGTCAATATCTCTATCTGAAAGGTGAAAAATAACCCACACGAACTTGCGCTTATAGACAGTTGCAGCAGTTGCTTTAATAAGAGTCGCTAGTACCTCTTCTGACTGATCGTCTCTTTTCTTGTCGGTCTCGTGGTCATTTTCCTCCTGTCTCGTTGCATCTGCAATGCAGAGGGGAGAAGCGTGACCGGCACAGAGTCAGTCGCTGCGTCAGGGATGAAGCGAGGAGGCGACGCATCCTCGTCTTCACCTGTTTCCATTGTTCTTGTTTGGACGCGTGATTTTCTTTCTAGAAGTCCTAGAGGTGCTAGTGCTAGTTGTACAACTACACTTTTGTGTAGTGCCGTCTCTACATAAGAACGTACTTCTTCTTCCGTAATGGTTGTCGTCGTGATCTACCAACTACTCTAACACTAAGTAGTTGTTTAATGGCAGTCTGGATGTTGGTACTAGTTTTTAACTCGCTAACCGAAATCGTATTCCTTTTCCTGGGTACATGAAAAACTTCTAGCATAACAAGAACTGAGGGATGTTGTACATATAGAATCAACAGCATTCAGAAGAAAGTACCCACACCCAACGGCAACGAGTCAGAAGAAAGTACCAACACCCAACGGCAACGAAGACGAACAAATATTAGTAGGGTTAGAAGTAGTTGTAGCATCATTCAAGTAATGGTGCTAATGTAGAACAACAGAACGGTCTTTAAGTTGTACAACTTAGTACTACTACCAGGGGTTTTTTTTTTATGCGACGGAAAGCGGAGGGCAGGGGGAACTTGAGTTCTTCTGACTATCTGATCGCGATAAGATTGAGGGTGAGGTAGTTCACCTTCTAGGCATGTTCTCGTCCACTTGACAGGAGCTGTAGTTTCATCACTCAAGAACTACCGAACATTGTTTACGACGAGCCGCCATTCGAGAGGACGAGGACAACTTCTTCGAGGACAAGTAGAAGAAACAAGAAATGCATTTTTTCACCGACAACCCTTCTTCATGTCAATTGATCCATCATTGATCCATCACTCTAATGTCTCACTCTCATGTCTAGTCGTGTCGACATCTCACTACTCGTCTCATGACTCATGTCCTCGCGTCGAAGAAGATAGTATCAGTTGTATGCTTTACTTGTAGTTGAGGTAAAAACGCACTAAATGTCGTGATACTATGCTTTACTTCTTGTTGAGGTAACAACGTACTAAATGTCGTGCCAACGTCGATATGTTTGTTTCCCGCTTCAGAAGATCTTCTGCTCCTGCAGACAAAGATATAGTATGTAAGTCCTTACTTGATCACAATTCATCTTCAGACACCGCGAGCCGCGCACTTTCAACAACATTTGTTGAGGACCTACTTTCAGACACCGCTTCCTTCTTCAACATCTCCGATTTGGATTTATTCCGCAAATCACCCAACGAAAGACCAACCGCAGTAAGATTCCTCACGTTGGAGGAGGTCAGTCCGCACTCGTCGACCACAAAAGCAACGTCTAGTCTCGTGTCACACCCGAATTTCCACCATTAGAGCTACCGCCCGCATTGTGCTCTTGACGGGGTAGCAAAATGATCGTCAAAAGTCTAAGAGTAAGAACCGGTTACATTTAATGTAACGGTAACCCGTTTAGTATATAAATATATTCCGACTACATAATTTTTGAAAAAGTTTATCCACATTGTGAATAGCATAGATGAAGACAGCTTGGGAAGTATTATTTTTGATGCGAGTTGTTACAACTCCTAGAGAATGAACGATATTACGTAAAAGATCTACAACCTCATGGATACCAAACTTTTTAGGAGCATGAGAGTCACATGATCCTCGGGAATCCTTCTTTTCCAAGTACAAAAACGGCCAAGTAGGATAATGCTGAGAACGATCTTCAGCAGTAGCCTTAACACCAAGCTTCAATTTCATCCGCATTGACTCTTTCTCCGATGGGCGGCACCAATTTCAGCACTACCTCAAACGGAATCTGCCTATCGGCGAAGATCACTTTAGAAGAGGATTCTTTTCCTTCTCGGGGACGAAAATTCTTTTCCTTCTCGAGGAATCTATATTGTCAAAGAAGATGAAAGACCTCTTTATCTTCATGAACGAACTCGTGTTCTTCTCCTCTCCTTAATGCTCAGTTCATGCAATGAGATCCCCAATTCGTCTTGGAGCTGCACTCGATCCGTAATGTCGTTCTCTACCACCCTGCGCACGTATGCCAATGGTATACGCATCCTAGCATAGTCCAAGAGGTCTTGTAGTAGTTGTTTCTGTCTCCATCTCGACAGTGTTGTTGATTAGAGTTCTTGTCGAGACGAGGATGAATCAGTCTTGTTCAGCTATTTTCTAAATAGGGTTGTAGGGTTGTATAGAGAGTTCTTGTCCTAGTAGTTGTGTCAGATGGTGCACTCGAGTCTGAAGTGGTCCACCTGCAGTGCGACAAGAAGCCGCAAGATTTTTCTTGGTCCCCTCTTCTCGACCCCGACGGACCACTTCTCTGCCCATGAAAAGAATACAAGGGGAACAAGAGCAGGGTACTAAGATGCCGAGAAAGATGAATAAAAGCCGACCTTAAAATGATGTTGAAGGTGTTGTTGAGAACATCAACATCCTTTCTAAGACTAAGTCTAGGATCTTCCTTAGATCTGCGGCATTCGCTTGGTTCTTTGCTAATTCAAATAGCAACATTTTCTTGATGTCCATGTCCTCCTTTAAGTCTCGGTCTCCCTCTCCTGTCGTGCGAAATAAAACTTGAGCCAAGTCTTGTAGAATTTGAGGGCAAACTTTCATTCCCTTGTTCCAGAGTTGCACTACGTCCCGTGGCGTTAGGATCAAGTCAGTGGCGGCTTCGAGCTCGAGTTTCACGGACGCCATGCTGCCAACGTATTCTTGTGTTAGAGCCAGATTTTTAAGTATGTTTATGCCCCCTCGTTTACGCATACTTATAAATAAAAAATTCATTTCATCTTGATCTTGGAACAAGTCACTCAAGAACGTCAACCTCCTCTTCCTCAAGAGGAATTTTTAAGGCAACTACAAGTACAAGCCTCCTGAAGGGTTCCTCAAGAACGTCAACCTCCTCAAGAACGTCAATTTTTAAGGCAACTACAAGTACAAGCCTCCTTAAGGGTGGGACTCGTTGTGGCTTGGCTCTGCAATACATCGCGATCGCAATGGGAGACCACAAGTCATCCGGCTCCCTCTCCTTCCACGGTGTTCCATATCCACGGAGATGCCTCCACTCCACTCGCAGATAATCTCTGACATCTTCAGCTGACACTGGCGGTTTTGCTTTCTCCTTGAAAAGTAAATTAGGGCTGAATAAACTACGGGCTGCTTGGGCCTATGTTGTATTGCTCCCGCTATAATTTGGCACTTAGCCTGAATTTGAAGATCATAAGGGAAAACAAGAAGAGAACCCTTGTGATCAAATTCAGGCTACCAAATACCGGAACCATTCAGCCTAGGCTTTAGGGTTTGAACAAGATTTCATATAATTGTTCATTTACATTTACTCTCTTAGATAGCAAAAGCGACGTAATTGAGGGAGAACAGCTCCTGGTGCAGCAGCAGGTACTCGAATACTAGAACTAGATACGAATTAGATAAAACAAATTAATTGAGAAGATTTGGCAGCTCGCATGGCATGGATCGCATGGAGCTGCATGGAGCTCAAGGGAGCGCTTCTTGCGTCCCTTACGGGTCTGCGCTCCGTGCAGTCCATGCTACTCCATGCGCCACGCGTGCTCTAAACTGCTCTGAAATAATGAAATGCTCCAACCCCAATTATCCTAAAATTGGAAACAACATCATCAAGCAATGAAATGTCCCAAGAACTTCCTTAAACAAAGCCTCCTTTTCATTGCGAACGCCAGCATCTGCGTACTCGTGCATCAGATGCTTCCGCTTGAAGTAGTTCTCTTTCTTTGTTTCAAATTGCGCCTCCACGACGGCGACCAACTGCTCTAGCGAAGACACGTCTGGTCTTAAAAAAGGTGAAGCTCACTCGTAGGAAAAAAAGACATTGCATGCTCTGTTAGATCATCCTTCTTGACACGACAGTAGACACAGAGTTCATCATCTAAGCATTGCGCCACTATCTTCCGTCGTACTTGTTGTACTAGTACTGGAATAAGAGAACTCATCAAGAACAGGTCTTCAAGATGAATGGTAATTCAATGTGCAATGTTCATGGTGTAGCCCTTACCTCCTCTGCGCGTAGTCGGTTGAAAGAGAAATCGCGATCCGTGTGCAGGACCCTGATTTTATCGTCATATGAATGATGTTTCTTATTCCATCTACTAGCTGTTGTTTCCTCCATCTTCTAGGTCTAGAAGGCCCCCCTTCAGCTATAATACAGTTTGAAGGGACGGAACAAAAGGGCTGCAGCCGCGATGGTCCTCGTATGGATGGAAATGGAACAAACATCATCCATACGTCAGAGAAGAGCTGCTGTTCCTCGTGCTGATGCCGAGAGGATTTAGTCGTCGCCTTTTTGACAAAGTCGTCCACGTGACTGTCTCCCATGATCACGACAACAGTGCCAGGGCAATCCTTACCAAGTCTCGCAACCTTGCGTTCGATTCGTCGGAGCCATAAAAGATTGCGCTCACGTGCCATGAATTGGTACGCAAGGGAAGGAGCCGTATATGACGTATATGTGAATGTGTGATCAAGAGTTTTTGTAGCGACTTCATTGTCGCGGCCTCCTCGCGTAAGCGTAGACGCTGAGGAGTCTCCGTCATCTTCACGTGCTGCCCTTGTTTCTCTTTCTTTAGAGTGATCATCTCCTTGCGTAGTCGTAGACGCGGCTAAGGAGTCTCCCTCTCCTTCTTTAGAGTGATCATCTCCTTGCGTAGTCGTAGACCTAGAGGAGTCATACGGGTGGACCAGGAGTTCCAAATCCGCTAACCGCTCTTCGAATGCCATTTTTAGGACCGGATCGTTCCGAAAGTAGCTTCTTTGTTGAGCATATTGCAAGTAATTCCTCTCTATCTCGCGCGCCAGTGGGAGCCATGATCTATTCTCTTTTTCATGTGGTGCTGGTCCTTCTTCAGAAGCTATTTCACGTTGACTTTGTACCCCTGCGCGGACTCCCATCTCTTCTGGGTTGATGAGACACAAATTGTTGCGGATTTCTTCCCCGTTGGGAACGAGAGAAGACTCTGTACTAATATCTCCTATATTATCAATATCTGCTACTGCTTGATGAGAAAGCTCCTGCGACTGCGTAGGCGATGAAGACTGCATTCTTGGGGTTTTCTTTTCCTTCGCGGCAACTGCGTTCGACTTCATGGCTACTTTGAACGCGGCCTCATCAAGTTTCCCGAGATACCAGCAGAGATATTCTCTGAAGGGGTTTTTTATTTCAACTTCAAGTCGTGATCGTGAATGCGAAACTACCGAAAGAGCGTCAGCGTCTACGTCGCGAGCAACTACCGAAAGAGCGTCAGCGCCTATGCCGCGATGATTGGCCAACATAAACCTCGCTTCCTGCCACAACCGCTGACTCAGGTTTTCCAGTCCGTTGGTGACAGCTGCATCGACGTCCATCGGTGGTAGTTCTTCAAACAAGAGTATTTCACGTCACTCTTAGCGATCTTCCCTAATCTACTAAATACTTGAAATTATGACCTACTTCCATCTTCTACTTCTCGAGAACGAGATAGTTTTTAATCTTAGTGGTGCATCCTGATCCTGGAGCTCGAGGACCCTTTTTGGGTCCCTTTTCCCCTTGAAGGAAAGCCTCTTGGTCTTCAGGATCTTGGTCTTCAGGATGCTTCAGAAGATGCGGTTGCTGGGGATTAGAAGGGTAAGCCTTAACGTTTGTACAAACTCCGTGCAGCAGTGCGAATAAATTCAGCCGGCGATCCGTCTTGTTCATCCTTGCGGCCATGATACTCACCAAAAATCAGGATTAGATCAGGTTCACCTGCTTAGTTTCCCCTCGAATGGTGTTGACCCCTCAGCAAGGGAAACGACTACAACCTCCTATTCCTTTGTTTTTATATATAATCATAAATATCCATTGTTCAGGAGGAGCTTCAAGAACCTGCTTTTAATACAACAGAGTTGTCCACCAAAAAATCGAAATCAAAGCCAGATACAATAAATGTACTAGTACTATGATCGACATCGACTCTCTCTACGTTATGATTATCAAACTACTCTTAACACCAACTCCAATTTCTTTGATTGCGCCGATCCTCGTCGTACACGTCGTTCCCGTCTTGTGCCTGTGCGACTATAGTTCTTATAGGACTTCTTGCTACTCCCACTCCGAAAGAACTTCCGAAGTTGAAATCCATCAATCAAAGGGAGGAAGAAGATCTTCATTGAGGAGAGCAGCACATACAAGATGATGATCATGCTTTTCTGCAAAATCAGGAAAACATCAGTGATAACTTCTTCATAAATTCATGTCGGATATTCTAGATGAAATTATATCTACGCTCGATAAAAATTTGCTAGTATTAAAGCACATCACAGTATTCTTGCACTGTTATCACTGAAAGGAAGTTAGTAGTCTTCTTTTCCCGATGAGTTGTAAAGCACGAAAGGCACATCAAATTCAAAAGCAAGATGTTGGAACCGAGATGACTCGTTCACTTTTTATAAAGCTCTGCGGTTGTATCGCTGATTTCCCCGCAGGCCTCTGTATTTTATCCAGCAGTTATAAACAGCCAGCAAAGCACCTTATAACGCTTTGCTCTTTTTTGAAAATTGACTTCTGAAGATCAACATTCCTACATTCATGTACTCGCCAACAACAAGTCGCTCAACAACGCAGATAAAAGCATATAATCAACGAGAACAACTCCGTCAGCACGACGAACGGAAAAAGTCGTGGTCACCTGCTCGTCCACGAAAATTATAATAATGCTGCACGTCGATATTTTTATACCAAAAAAATATACGGCGGGTATAAAGAAACAGATATGAAAGGGTCGTCTTCAACATTTAATAGAAGTAAGTACTTAGATCTTCATGAGGTAGAAGGAACTAGAGCAAGTAGGTCATTATTCGTGCTCACACGAAATGCGGACGCAAGAGATCGCGGCTACACTCAGTGCAACGCAAATAGTTACTTTCACCTATGTATTGGCAAATGATAATGAAGTAGAAGTAGAGGACCATGCACCATCTACTCTCTATCGAGATCTACAACTTCTAGTTCTAGTCCCTACGACCCTGATCATCTAAATCCGTGTCTAATATGAAGAGTGTGAGTGAAAAGCTGTCTGAACATGAAATAACATAATTGATGCAATTCATTAAGGAAGTAAAATACAATTCTCAGCAGCTACACCAAAATACATGCCCAGCACCTCTTAGAGGACCCTTTATTCTGTGAGCAGAAAAAACTCATTCATTCTCCTCTGCTTAAGAGTGAGTCTGCGCTCGCCTTCATCTTCAGCGCTACTAGAACCTGAAAGTTCATCACCCGATTTCACATGGACTCACCCTGGAGGAGGGCAGCTTACGCGTTCATCCTCCGTTCGTCGTGTTCTAACACTTCCCTCTTCACAAGCTCACTACACTTCTATAAAGCTTTCATCTCCTGAAGTTTCTCATACAACGGTCTAAATTTCGGCTTGCACGCTTTCGACAACCAAAAACAGAAATTTCCTACCCTTTCTCGCTATCTCAACACTTCAACGGCCACGCGGAGCTTCCTGCTGTAACAGTTGTTGAAAAATGACATGAGCCTTCTTTTTGAGTCACTCGAGTGCTTTTTTGGTTTTTTCACAGGCTTCTTCGAAAGTAAAGAAAGTTCTTTCAAAAGTCTGACTTCACCTAAGTTTTAAACCTGTCGTTTTTAGCTCGGCGGGCACTCGGCCTACTGTTTGTTGTATCCTCAATGTGTGTGACCGCCTTCTTACTTTTCTATGTGGTTTGCTTTATTTCTTCTATTCTCGCCCTCTAGTTAATTAAGCACTGACTTCTTATCTAGTTTCCCCACCTTTTTTACGCTAGTAAGAGTACTACAAAACGCAGCTTTTCGCTTTCCGCCTCAACAACGCCGGAATGTTGATGCTTCCGGGAGACGACTAGCTAGTACTACGTCCGTGCGAAAACTCTCCATCAAGAAGAGTATGGTGCGAAGGCTTTATAGATCTAGTACTAGTTAAACCGACCTGCATCTTCTGAGACATGCACGACTCGATCTTTCTACTTATCATGCTTAGCTTTGTGGCCGTGGTCGTCATGTCAACATGCTACATCAGACAGTATTCGACTTTGTTTTTTGGTGTTCTTTAGTCAACACAGCATGGTCATGATGTCGAAAAAAAATTTTCCAAGAAGCTCACTTCTCTTATCATTAATGATCGGGTCAAGCTTAGTGATGCCCATTTAAAGTTTATCCTGTTATTCTTCTTTTTCTGGAGCACAACCTTCAGTCTAATCATGTGCTTTTTGCCAGTGTTCACAGCGCTCGGTTTACTGCTTCCTCGTCGACATCGTGCTACTAGAACTGCTTGTCCGCACGAGGAAGACACTATGGTGGTCTCAAGTTAGATTTAATCTGGTAGAAACACCACTTCTAGATAGTTTCTGGATCGATTTTCCCTGCTACAGTAGCACACAAGCAGCAGGAGCAGCAGCTTGATTACTGAAGTTCTGGATCGATTTTCCCTGCTACAGTAGCACACAAGCAGCAGCAGCAGCAGCTTGATTACTTAAGGTTCTGGATCGTTTTGCCCTGCTACAGCAGGCAGCACACAAGCAGCAGCAGCAGCAGCAGCTTGAATAAGTTCTGGGTCGTTTTCGAGGGAATCGTCAGCGAACTGAAGGGCCTCTGGCTTCTTCTTCACGAGCTCCAAAAAAAAGTCGCGGTGTGATATTAGAAGAGTTTGAAGTGCTGCTGTCATGTGTTCACAGTCAAATGCGGCAAACGAACCTTTGCTCTACTTTCCATTTGAATGGAATAGCACATTTATCCAAAGTAGTAGAGTGCAAAGCATTGATTTTCACGATCTTGCTCTTGATGTTGAGCAGCTTACAGCATTCCCCTGTTCCTAAGAGGTTGATTTTGGAAGAAGAAAGAACGAACACAGAAGATGAATCTATTTAGTACTCTACTACATAAGAGAACGTACTAGGGGACCTAGGGGGCGAGAAGAGTCAGAGAGGGCAGGGGAAGACAGAGGAAGCAGAAGTAAGAGACACAAACTAAACTAACCGGCAAACACTAAAACAGAGGAAGAAAGGCGAGAGTACCCAAAAGGGTAGGAGAGGCCAGGGAACAGCCACTGAGCACCTCCTGCAGGCTGTTCTCCCGTCCCCCAGTCTTCAAGATAGTCCACATCTTTCCATATAAAATAATTATGAAGGCACTCTAAACCTTGACCTTCATCAGTGAAAAATGCGAGAGCTAGAGGCTTGCTCTTCACAAGAACTTATGCTTACTATCATAAACGACCTAAAGGAAGACGAGTCATAACTGTAACTGCGTTTTGCCAACAACTACAAGTACTTTTATTTAGACATAATATAATTATTTTGATAATGTTATCAATGAATAATATTAGATGACGTCACCGATAAAAATATTTATAGAGGAAATATTAGAAGGGCGGCTGGGACAAGAAGAGAACAAGAAGAAGAAGAAGAACAGCGAAAAGGAGATGCCATAATCGAACCAGAAATCCTCGTTGCGGATTAGACGGACTCGTCGCTTCTAGGTAAATGAGAGCGTTGTCATCGTGAGCAGCCGTATCTGCCGCCAGAGCAGCGTATTCCTTCTTCATATTCTCCGAGGCAAATGCAAAGGCTTGCCACTTTTTTTCGATAGCAATGCGCACAATTTCCCTGTCGTTCCGCAGCTCCTCGGAAGCAAAGCTTAGATTTTCTTTTGTTGCCTAGATGATGAAGTACTTCTCTACAAGTCCACCACACATTTACTCACGTGGCTTGATTCGGGGTCGCGGCCCGGAACTACGAACTCAAAGAGAAGACAGGGGCGGGCCTCCCTTGTCGAAAAACTAGCGCGGGTTCGCAGAACCTCGTATCTATAATGCGCACATTAACTGTGATGGAAATGGGAGACGAACAAAAAAAATCCCTATAGTATTCGTATATCTATGAATATGTTTATATATAAAAGTATGCAACGGTAGTTATGAGCGATGACCACGCCTATGATAGAGAAGATCAGATGAGCATGGGTTCGATGCTATGTAGCCCTAAGAAGCGGAGTACGTCAGGATTCGCCTCAACAGCGGATCGAACGATCTCCCGATCGCCTTTCGATTCCTTAGAGGCGAACTTAAGCGCATTATACCCTTTCACCTTCACGGCGTCTAGAACGAGGTCTCTGTTCTCGCGCTGCAGATCTTCCGAAGCATAGCGAATATGGGTCGGGTCGAGCTTTAACATGTCCAAAATAAAATCCCGGTCGTTTTGTAGCTCCTCGTTGCCGAACATGAATTCCAACGTTTGTGGCTCAGATTAAAGCAGGTAGTTCTATTTCAACTATACAGCAATGGTCGTATAGCTATAGGGAATGCATTTCAGAGATCATCTGAATACCCCTTTTCTTCTTCTGTTCTTTCTCCAGATGCAGATGACTTTGGAGAAGATGTACTTCCTAGTACACTCGTAATTAATAAAGCACGTAGCTCTATTTCACTACAGTATGGCTATGGTGCCTTGTACTGGTTCGTTGATGCTTGGTAGTTGACGTTAGTTACAATTTCACTGGTTGAGGTCGACGTTGAGTGAGTTCTACCTGCCCTTTTCCTCGCCTGTTGCTCCTCTTTATTTCATTGCTCGCTTTAGGCTCTTGTTCCCATCTAAAGGTTCTATCAAGAAGGGAGACGCTATGCAATCAGCATTAGCATAGTTCACAATAAATCACATGGGAGATGAATGATGTTACACTAGCCTTAATTCTTGTGGTCGTAGACCGGCGGCCATTTTTTGAAAAGTGTCAAAACAACTCTTTTGTCACCCCAAGCTTTGCCTCCCAATCGCACCAAAGCCTTCATTAGAAGATGATATTCAACTACTGATAGGTCAGATCATAAGTCGTAATGGCGGCTGACAAGTAGGAGCTCTAGGACTCCATCATGTTGATCGACTAGAAGTAGTTCTGATGATCGACTAGTAATTTTAGTAGTTCTTGTACGAGGTGCTAAGCACTACCGTTGTACTTCCTCCATTTTCTTAGTAGTAGTAGTGTACTACCCATTGATGGGGTATCTACTAATGCGGTTTTTCTTGATTTCATAACTGCAAAGCGTCGAAAGAATCAAGAGGATCGCCGGCTGTGTAACGTGAACTGTTCTCGATAGCGAGAACCACAACATCGGGATCTTCTTGTAGTCCCAACGATGCGAATTTCAGCGCGCTTCCATTTTCCTCTACAGCCGCCAAAACAATATCCTTGTCACCTTGTATTAGAAGTGAAGAAGATCACGGACAAGGCAGTAGCAGATCGAATGTCGTATAAGTGGTCGTGCTTAGTACAACTTGCAGCTTCATTTACTACTTGCTTCTGCTACAAC